TCTTCTCCGAGACAGATGGGCACAGTTGATTGGTCGGTCAGTTTCTCGAGGCCGAAAAATGACTCTTTTTTTTCCCAAAAAAACTGTCCTTTATTTGTGTTACCGGATCGTGTGCCAGCAGCTAGCAGCTGACTCCTCTCTCTCTCTCTCTCTCTCTCTCTCTCTCTCTCTCTCTCTCTTTATGTTTCATTTCCGTAATTGTCATAAAAAGTGCGACGCCAATATTATTATAACCACGGCGGTTATCTTGCTTATGAATACTTTTTGCTATTTTTAGCTCCGGAAAGTGTGAAAAATAGAAAAAGAGGGTGGTGGTATCAACAATTGAGGAAGTAGGGACACTCAGAGTCTGAGTATCCAGACCAAAGATTTTTCCAACGGAAATGAGAAAGGGACCCTTTTGGTCTTGTTTTCTGGGTTCTTATCGAGTTTCAATCAGACACGTTAACCGTCGTTTCGTCATCAACCAAGTGAGACTTGTCTTAGTAAATATTGTTGTCCTGAAAAAGTTTCCTCAGAAGTTTTCCTTTCGATGGTTATCGAAAATTCCTCAGATCTTGCAGTTTAGTGCAGAAATAGAAACCCAATCAAGTAGATTAGGTTCGTCAAAAAAAGTTAACTTCATTATGCCTCTTTCTCCTTTAAAACTTCCTTCTGGAAAATGTCAGTCCCCCGTCACAGGCATGAATCTGACAATTGGCTGCTGCTCATTATTTATGGCTCCTTTTCCTTTCAGAAAAAACAAAACATTTCCATTCGCTCCCTTCCTTTTCCTTCTTCCTCTTTAGTTTGTATCTAATACTATAACTCCTTTCCCCTTTTCCGATAACAACAATTTTAAGAAAGAAGGACAGTCTAAGAGAAACTCGAACAACAACTCTTTCCAACTGCTCTCTCTACGTAATGATCACTGCGCTTTCACAGTTCCGTTATCACCTGATAAGAGCAGATTATAGACAGGGGCGTCTAATTCATTTCTAGAATTTAGATGAAAGGCGAAATTATGTTGTTGTGCATCTACTCAGCTGCTCTTTCGACGTCGCTCTCTCTCCATCTGTAATTTTTTCATTCAGTTATCAGAGCCCCACGTGGCGTGGAGCGGACTGAAAAGAAAGAGCAAAAACGAAACGAAACCCGATTATATTGATAGGCAACTGATCATGAGTAAACACTAACTAACGACTGTTTGACCCGAGCCGTCTGCACGTAACAGTTGATATTGAAATCATTTTTGAGTGGAAACTGTTCGGAAGTGCGAGGAAAGGTCTCGAAAACATTAAAATACATTTTTTTAAAGTTTTGAGACTATCACGAGTAGACTTGTGAGTTTAAGCGAGGCTCATAAACGATGCTCATAAAAAAGGTAATCAAATTTTATCAATTTGATTGTTTAGAAAAAAAAGCAACTACATAAAATTCTTTGAGCAGCTGACCAAGGATCTAAGCTACCGTACCTTGTGCGTGGGCTCAGACAAGTTCCTCATCTGATATCAGAGTCCCCAGAGTTTAGAAATTGTATTTCCTTGTTTCTGATTACCAAGAATTTCTGTTTTCGGGTTCCGGGTGACTGTGCTCCCACAAGTCTGAGGCTTTATTCGGTCGGGAAATTTAGCTGACCGACCGACAGAATTCGTGCATTTGCGCATCATAATGCCAGAGAGTGTTTACGTACCCTGCATTTTATTTTACGACGCCCGATAAATACACGGCTTGATCGGCGGTCGGTCCGCGGTCGCCAATTTTCGACCGACCGAAATGAAAGCCTTACTAACAACAACAACAGTATCCTCTGGGTACATTTAGAATGCTCGTGTAGTGTGATCTGTTCTAGTGGACACAGATCAGATACACAGATCAAATCAAGTTCATTGTCCGAATCAGAATCCGATCTACATTCTTTGACTTGGGAGAAGAAGAAGAAGAAGTTCTTCTTGTTCTCCACGTTTCTACAACTTTCTTCTTGTCGCCTCGTGACAATCATTCTCCGGTGGTCGTTGTTTGATGTATATTCTTCTTCGTCCCAATCCATGAAAGATCCCATTGACCGTAGGTTTGGCAAACCTGCAGTCTCTGGTCTCGGAGATCATAACAACTTTATATTATAGTTGGTCCAACTGAAAGTGTCAATTACTCAGTTCCTTGTCTGTTCCATGCAAACACACCCAAAATGAATTGTAGTCTTATCATCTGTAATTTATCGAGAAAAAAACGCTTCTCGCAGAAAATGAAAATGGACACTGCACGGATAGAAATTGTCAGCATGTCCATTGTTGTGAGAGTCAGAGTTGCATCAGAATTACTCTTAATGAATGATAAGAGAGCCCCTGGCCTCACATCATCACCTCATATGTACTTTTTTGGTAAATATGCACGTACAAACCTAATCGAAAAACAGATTCGAGGCACTACAGCAAACAAATGGATTCTATATTCGATTCGTAAACGAGCTTCCTGTTTTCTTTTGGCTTTCTCTCCTAGAAAGAAAATAAAGTAAAAAACGTTATAGTGTTTGGCTAAACGAAGGACTAGGAGCAAACAATCAAATGAGTAACAGTGACACTTTTCAAGCGATCAAGAGGGTGTATATTTACATACTAATCAGGTGATGATATCATTTCTTAACGTTTTGGACCTCGATTCGGATACTCATTTCTGTCAGATGTCGCGGTCTTCGATTGTTTTAACTCGATCACGTGAAACACACTAAACAACAAAAGGTTTACATACCTCCCGTCTAGCCATCGGATTTCGAACAGTTTATGTTGATCCATCTGTGGTGATGTCACAAGAACTTTCACCAACCTTTAGTTCTCCATGGAATTCTAATTCTGATTCTCTCCTTCTCATTTTTGGTTATTTTTCAGACGCCTTGTGAGTGTTTTCACTGGAAAAAACCTAAGAATTGAGTGGGAAAAAAGAACTAAAAACAGTGACTACATCAACTACATCTGATACACTTGGGAAGAAGATTCACGAGGAACAATTGGTCTTCTGAATCTCGGGGATTTCGTAATTTTCCTCGATTTCCGTTGCTTCTTTTCACGTTAGTCACCTTTCCCGTCGTCTAAGTCTCTTCGTCCTTCTTCTCTCTCACTAATTTCTCAATTTTCAGTCGCAATTTTTTCTTCCATTTATCCAGAGAGGCGTCGAAATTGGAAATTGCCCATACACATCCATTATTCATCGTCTAAATTTAAATGGCCACCACTTCTCTCATCTATCCTAGAATATTGCTCGTCCTTTCTTCTCACGAGGACATTCTGGCGTCATTCTTCTGAAACGGGGAAGTGTTCCTCATTTAAAATTCATTGTCATGATCAGGTGGTGTTCAAAAAACCTATTCTTAGATTTTGCGAAACACCTTTCTTTCGTAGTTTTTTTTGACTTTGATCTCTGTCTGAAGATTTCGAATTCATTTAAAGCCACTTGTTGGGGGAAAAACAGAGAACCATGCTATAAGTAAAATGGGAAAAGGAAATGGAGCACTCAGAAGTCGTTCACCATGACGGCTTTTATTTATTGCACTACTTTTACTGAGAAACTCAAAACGGGAAGTTCCGTCCTCAACAATTTTAAATAGGTCCCGTAAAGGCTGTTGGGTCGTTGGTGGGTTGCCGTGGACCAAACTGTCCGTTCTTAGGAAAATTAAGCTCCGCCAACCAAAAACTTCTAGAGCCGTTATGCCGCCGAACCCTAACCGTCCCAGAACCAAAGCTTTGGGTCCGGCTCTCTTTGCTTTTATAGAGCAAAACAAGATGAGCTGCAAAAAATAGGTCGGACGAGTGATGAATTAGGCCACTTGTCCAAATAGAAATACATAGAGCTATGAACCTTAACTTGTTTTGTTGTTTTCTTTTAATGATATGATGATGTTTGAAATTAAACAATTCCAACATTAAACGACAGGAGACACCTCCTTCCTTACAGCCTAACTATAAAAATAAGAGATGTTTGTTTTGTTGACCTCCCATCTCAAAAACCGAATTTAACGGTTATGACTCAGTGGAATCTAGATGCTCTCTCCGCTTCTTTTCTCTCCACTTAAAAAGTTATTGCATTCATAAAAATTGTGCTTTGTTCTCTCAAGTGAGTGGATCAATCATGAGCATGTTTAGGATTTGCATGGCTTCCTTCTTCCGTTGCAAATATTCATCCATCCTGCCGTCACCTTTTGGAAAGCAAGAGATTATAGCCACCTCCCTCTCTAACACCTTTCCTTATTTAGCAAATCTAATCTGTTCCAATTTCCCTCCCCACGCAACATATCTATTTTCATGTTCCTAATCTTGTCACATATACTATAGATGTACATCCTTCAGTTCTTCTCTTTCTTCCATATAGTTTCACTGAAACTACACATTATTCGTCGAACCATCACAATTGTCTTGTGTTCCCCATATCAATAGATCAGTTTGAACATATGTTATAGTGTTATGTCTCTTTTTCTCTACCGTCTCTCTTTCTTGGTGCCGTGTTTTTGGCGCGTTGCCAACGACTCTCTCGGGATGGGCGGGGCCTACTCGCGGTCGAAGCTCCGCCTTCGCGAAGCGACGCCTCATGGACGCCCCTGTGTTCATAAAGGATACATAACTGATATTCAGCTGTTCCGACAGTTTCGGAGCCTACTGATTTTTCAATTTTTCACCGGAACCTTATCTGACTCATCTTTTGTTTTTTCTGTCTATATTACTGCCCCTCCCATTTTTCTTTTTCATTCAATTACTTTCTTTGCCTTTCCTCTTCCACCAACATTCTTCTTCTTCGTCCACCAGCCATCGTCCATCGACAAAAACGGCTTCCGGTTCATTGTCTCTGTTCCCCCGTCATTTCCTGACTGCTCACTCAGCTCGAAACCTCATTTATTGTCTCTTTTTGTCTCTTTTTACGCAAAGATCCATTTATCTTGTGTGACGTACCAAAACCTATGTCCATTCTAAACTAAACAAAACCTAATTTCAGTGCACACAAATCGCCCAAAAGCCATCTCCCTCATTCCAAAAATGCTTGTCGCCAACAAGAAGAAAAGCTTCCTGATGAAACTTCTCAAATTCGTTGGAAGAGGAAGTGAGTTTCGATTTTTTTTTTCAATATTTTGTCTTTCTTTTCCCACTGATTTGAAATATTCTGCTCGTGACACCTCCCGAGCAAGACCAAAAAGTGGCGGGTGCACCTATTTGCCCTTCTTTCTTCCCTTGTAAACACTTCCATCCGACCAAAATTTGATGTGTTGACTCTCTCCGCTTTTTTGTCTTTTCCTACTTAAAAATTTGCACATGGTTTGTCCCAAATTTGCTCATCGAGCTATCGGAAGAGAGTCACTGACGCAAAAATCAGAGGTCAAAGCCTAGGTCAAAGTTTCCCAAAAAACTGTGTTTTGAATTAGTCAAATTAAAAAAAAAAATTTTAGAGTGAAACTAGAAATACAGTCTTTCGACTGTAGTCGTAAATTATAAAGTGCAGCCTCCCTATAAATGAAGAACACAAGTTCACCTTGGTAGAATCATATGACTATTTTATTTCGATTTTTCAGATCAAGTCCAATCATCAAAATCATGCCTTGCACAGTCTACGAGCAACGAAAGAAACAGAGACAAAGGTGAGCAATTTGGGGAAATTACGTGCAAAAGATGGGTCTCGTGCCCTCGAGGCATAAATTCTGCGGGCTGTATTTACTTTTCCTGTTCGGCTGTTTTTTTGCAAAAGCTTGAAATTCCTTCCAATTAGTCCAAAGAAAGAAGAACGTACATTCTTCTAAATTGCTATGTTTTGATGTTAAACCAGTAGTTCAGATTAAAATTCGGTCTGTGTACCTGACAAAAAACCAATTTACTACCCGTTGTCACCTAAAAAAGGCCAGTCCTCACATAATAACCCCAAAAATAACAATCGGTCCGAAATTGCGAAGACAGGCATACAGTATCTGTGTACACTTGTAAACAAGTAGGAAGAAAAAAAATAAGAAAAAGATGAAGACGTTGATGATGTATGTTGCCAGTTTCAGATCGTCAATCAACTCGCAGTTCTCACACATCGAGCCAATGCCGACGATTCTGGAAGAGGACGAATTCTCGGTGGCAGCCGAGTGCCGTTGAACAACTATCGCCATTGAATAATGCCGTACACCCGTATCTCAGTCAATCAACAGGGTCCTTTCGTCTGACCCGAAACCCAAACCCTCACTGTGTCTAGTCATAGGAGGACTATACTTCCTCCGCACTTGAAACCATCTCTCTCAATCCAACACGGGTGTCTCAATACGAGTCGTTTTCAACGGGGATTCCATTTCTACATTTGTCTCAAATCCAAACCATTTTTTCTTCCTTTTCTTTTGTCTCTCTATTTCTCTGTCATTTTCCTCTCCTCTCTGTCTCTTTTCTGTATATTATAATTTGTCTATTCATTATTCTCGCCTCTCTGTGTTGATTTGATTTGGAAAGGACTGGAATTGTCAGTAGAAAAATGAATGACTTCAAATGATATATACTTCGTACAAGTGTTTTTTCTGCACTATATTCAGAGTCAGCCGGAATTTTCTGAAGAAAAATAAATTTGTAGAATCTAGAGTAAAACTTGATTCTTCAAGTGTCTGAAAGTTTTCGGTATTCGATGGACTGCGTGTAGAATATCAAGTAACCACCTCCATGTTTTCTTGGGAAAGACCAAATGCCAAAATTAGTCAAAGTATCAAGTTTCCTAGGTCGGATTTAGAATGTGTGGGTCAAAAAGGATTCTTGGTCAAAAAGTTTTGGAGAATACCTTAGCCACCATTAAAGCTTTCATTTCGGTCGGTAAAAAATCGGGGACCATCGACCGACAGAGCTGATCGGTCGGCATGTCGACCGAATTCGTATTTGCATTTGTGCGTCAGCATGTCAGAGTGTTTGCGTACGCAGCATTTTATTATCTGACACGCAAGTGCACGAATTCGGTCAGCTCCATCGGCTTCCGGGCGGCTGGACCAACAGTCGGTCGGCGGTCGCTGATTTTCGATGGACCGAAATGGAAGCCTTATTTCAAAGTTTCCCATTTCCGTTGATTTGAAAGTTAAAGTAAAATTATTTTTGAGAATCTATAAAGACGCCTCAAGCTACAGAAAATCTTGAAAAATTCGAATTTTGAACGAAAAACAAAAAAGCTGGTTAAAAAAACCAGTTTTGTACATTTTCTGAAAAAAAAACTGGACCCCTGAAATATTTATATGGATGAATCGTGTGTGCAGTTTGATGTGACTTTCATGTTTGGACTTTTAATGGATTGTTTCACTTTGAGTACATGAATAATAAATATAAACACTTAAGTCACTCATCTGAAGAATTTAAACTTTTAGATGTTTTCCCGGTTCATCTGAGTTCAAACGTTTGAACTATCCTACACTGCATTCTTCCGATCTGATAATATAATCTTCTTAAAAATGGCAAAAATGTTTATTGTCATGTGTACATTGTACTCAAATGAAACTCTTTTTTTGCTTCAAAACATCATATGTTTCGACTGCAGGCATTTCTCGGATGTTTCAAGTGTCTCTCCAAGAGATAGTTGTCAACCATTGCAACAAAACAGGTTACAGTAGTATCCAAGTATTTACACGACCCGCTTCTCTCTCCGACTTCAGCGAAAACAAACCATCCTGTAGACTAGTGAAGCAGCTACACGGGGGAGGAAAAATATACTCTCTCCTATTTTTAAAAAAAAGTTTTTTGTTACTTTTTTTCTACGTGAACTAGTAATATATGTCAAACTGTCAACTGCCAGCAAACAGCAGCAAAAAATCAAGAAAGAATCACGAAACGCAGGAGTAATAGGAAGGGTTATACAACTTATATTTCTGTGTTTTCACTCGAATGTGTTTTATAAATTGTCGATTCGTTTTCTTTTTTTGGATCATATTGCAAACTAAGGGGATCGTTGTGAATGATTCTAGAATCCAGGTGATCCTAATTCGATGAAGACTACATGTAAACAGGAGCTCCGATGTTTCTTCTTGCAGGTGCTACTTTTGAATTCGTCATTTTCTGTAGGCAAGCTAGTCTTTCGACACAAAACTTCTATCGGAAAAGATGAAGTACCAACTCCGGGATCTTGCAAAGAGCAGATCACAAAATGGTTTAATGATTTGAATCAACTGAAGCAGGGGAAATGTGAAAAATCGGAAGAATGTTTAGATGCTCTCGATCGTGAGTTTTCAGAGAATTTTCAGTATATTTCCTGCAAAAAACTTAACTTGCGGAAATTGAATGAAAATATGTTTTTGCTTCTTCCTGCATGGTCAACGTGCAGAACACTAATCTTTAAGCCAAACCTTCTGATGAAAAATTCATGATGAAGCAGGCAAAAAAGTGACATCGGGCGTCTAGAAAACACAAAAATAAACACCGAGTATATATTTTCAGAGTTAGACGCCTTCGTCAGATATCCGGCGCCAGGATCACCAAATATTAATGATGGGTCTTTTGAGAAATGTAACGAATTAAATAAGAAAGAAAATAGGCACCGGAGAAAATATTGTTATTTGATTCAATCGAATGAAAATGTGAACTGTCGGGAAGAGTATCATTCGGTGCTTTTCCACGAGAACAGAACTGCTTTTGGTATCTGTGGACCTGAAAATTGTCATGGAAAAGATTTTGCATCAATGTTTGGGGGCATGAAAAAACCCTTTCATTTCATGATGGACCGGCCGGTTTGTGCAGTTTTCTGTACAGTAAGAGACATTCCGAAGAAGAACATGTTTTATGTGTTTACGTGGGCTTCCGTCCTAAGATAGAAAACAGTATATTTTCTTTAGAAGTTTCCTGATTCTCCTCGTCAGCATTGTTTTCTTCTCGTCACTCTATGATTATATCAGGGACACGAGATATCGGTTGAGCTCAGAAAGTGAAAAGGTTTTTGGTGAGTTGAACACAGAAAACATGTAATTTGGTTTCGAAATGAAAAGATATTCTTGTTTTGGTTTCTGATTCTTACTGGAAATTTCGAAACTTTGTCAGTGCATAAACAAATCAACGGAAATGGGATTTTCAGTGATAAGAGATTACGAAATTTTTTAGGTCAACGAGCAATCTTATCATGGTCCCTCTGGTCGAACATTGAGTTTCTGTTCAAAGATAGTCCTGGATACATCAAATGTCTAGATTGCCTCCGTTCGATTACATTCACCTGGGTTGTTGGACAAAATGTTGTTGGACATCTGGCATTTTATGGTAACATATATTAGTAAACGCACAGGGATGTTCGGAATGGCGAAAATCCCGATTTTCAAAATTTCGGAAATTCGGATTATTCCGATTTTTAAATTTTAAGTAGAAATCCCACTTTCCCATCATAAAAACGGAAAAAAATTGTTGGAAAATTGACAAAAAGATTTCAAAAACGCAACAAGAAATTTAAAGTAATTCCGCTCCAGACCCGCAAGGAAACTATTGGTGTCCGCTTCTGATATACCGTAATCCAAAAAGTTCTAATTCCGACAAAAAAATTCGGAAATATTCCGGTCGGAATTTCAGGAATTCTGAATTCCATTTCGAACATCCCTGTAAACGTAGTCTCTGATTCGAACTTTTCAGATGCGGATCTACGAGTCAAATCTTCTGAAATATCAATAGCAAGTTCAGCACTTTCCAGTCTGATTCCAATCTACACCTATCTTTTTATATCTGGTCTTACAGTATCCTATACATTCATTCGGGTGAGCAATCCAATTTCGATGATTTTCTTTTAGTTTTAAACTTTGTTTTATAGGCAAAACCATCGATAGAAGTTTTGAAGCGGCCGATTACTTGGTTGGTATTCTACTTCCATCGATGGATAAGGTACATAAAAAGAGCTCTTCTTCATTGCATCACTATTGTTGATGTGCTATCTTCCAGCTTGGCATTTGGCAGTTGATTTTCAGTTCACATTAGTGGCGCCCATATTTTTGATGACATTCTATTACTCTACTGCAATAGGTAAACTCTGAAATAATCCAAAATCTGAAATTAGTATTCCAGGTACCGTAATAGCTATAGTTGCGTCACTAGCTGGTTCTATATTCACGGTTTACTTCTTTTACAAGCATCCAGGTTTGAACTCTGCGTTCACTGGAAATCATGAGTTTGCTTTCTAATTATTTACATCTCAAAGTACTATTTTTGGTTACAGACAGGATGATAAACTAGTGGAAATCATTCTCGCAAAACCATGGAATCAACTGGCGCCTTATATGCTTGGGATGATTGTTGGATGTTTCTTGGCGAAACATTCTGGAAGTCGAAGAATAATTCACCCGGTTGCCTCATCCATTATCTGGATTGTAGTGTCAGTATTAGGAGCGTGTGCTCTTATTTTTGGAAACCAAGGTACCACTTTTGTCGAAAAAGCCACAGCAAACGTTTTGACCCGAGCTGTATGGTCCCTTTGTCTGATCTGGATCATCGTATCGACTCAAATGAAATGGGCAGGACCGATAGGACATTTTCTGGAGCACCCATTCTGGCGTCCATTTGGAAAGCTATCATATTGTGCTTTTATTGTTCATCATATGGCTTTGTATTTTCTATTCAATATGGAAGAACATGCACCAAGATATGTCAGCTTCTGGCATGAGTATTTCCACTACACCGTCCCTATCGTCATTTATTCATATTTCGTAGCATTCTTTTTGAGCTTGATAGTGGAAGTGCCGATGATTAGGTTGGATAAAATGATTCTCGACAAATGTATTCCAGCATCGAAAATTGAAGAGAAGAAGGATTTCGATGATGATGACAGTGATTTTGAGAAGTCTGTAGAGCGTAGTTCGAGTGAAAAGTCCAAAGAAATGTCGATAAGTGATAAAAGCGAGAAAATAAAAGAAAGAAGTGAAGAGAGAAATATTGAAGATCAGAAAGACGACATGGAGAGGTCTAGGGAGGATTATTCAATGGACGAGCCACTTTTGGAAAGAGAATATTACTGAAATCATTTTTAACTTATTATGATCTCATTTTTCCGGTTCGATCACAGAATAAAAATTTTACAATCTTCAACCCCAATTTTTTGCCTTGTTTAACAACGACACTCCACCATCCCGCTGAATAAATTCCCTCTTCTTCTCTGTTTCTCCTTTTCTTCATAGTGACTCGTCTTCTTCTTCTCCCCAAAGTGACAACTTGAACATTTTTCTTTTTTGGTTTACTTTAACCTTGTTGTAAATTTCTCACCTGTTTTTTCTTCATTGGAAAAACGAAAAAAATAATCAAAAACCAAATTTCATCCAGACCGGAACAGTCCAATACCCTGTAAAGCTTGAATTACTGAAAATTATTATATCTCTGGTATCAATTCAACTTTTTAGATTTCCAGTCAAATCAAATGAAGGGCTCTGAAGATTACGATCAACGAGCCTACAAAGTCACCTCCAATCTGAAGCCATATCACGAGTTCAAAGCAAAATTTGGAAGAATCTTGGAAGAATACGACATTGAATTTCACGAACTATCGTTTGCAATGCTGGATCATTTTGAGAAAAAGAAACAGGTAATTATATTTTCTGGAGTTCGCCTACTTTGCAAATTTTCAGAAACAAGAAGAGTTCGAAAGGAAAATGAATTTATGTAAACTTCTGAAGAAAGTAATTTCGGACCATAACCCAACATGGTTGTTCAATGTGGTTCCAACTGGAAGCTCTGTAACAGGACTAGCCACAGAAAAAAGTGATTTGGATGTTGCAATACATATTCCTCAAGCTGCACTGATCGTTGAAGCAAAGTGTCAAGGGAGAAAAATTACTGAAGAAGAGAGGAAGATCATGTGGAGAGAGTGAGTTCATTATCGATTTTCGTTTTTATTTTCTTGAATTGTTTCAGAATGCAACTGGAAATCTTGCAAATTGTTAGGCTGGTTCTGGAGAACAACACAGAGATCAAACCATACATTGACTGGAAAGAAGGAGTTAAACTTGTTCAAGCTCAAATTCAAATTTTGAGAATTACAACGATAGATGGGATTGAGTGTGATATTAGTGTTGTATTGGATCTTTTTCTGTCTTCTATGCACAATTCGTTTTTGATCAAACATTTTGCGGAGTAAGAATTCTGAGCTCTCAGAAGCACTTTGTAAAAATGATATTTCAGAGTGGATCACCGATTCGGACTCCTTTGTGCAGTTGTCAAAGAATGGGGAGCCAGTACAAAGGTTAAGAATCCCAAAGATGGAGGTTTTAATAGGTAAGCTTTATAAACTGGGGGAAAATGTAGACATCAAAACATTTCAGTTATGCTCTCGTACTTCTGGTCACCCATTTTCTCCAATGTGGAACATCTCCACCGATTCTTCCAAATCTGCAGCATCTTTATAAAAGTAACTGGAAATATCTAAAAACTTCCCAAATAGAGGTTTTTTTTTCAGATGAAAACTTTTTCGCTTTGAGTGAACGAATTTTTCCATCCCGCCTGGATTTCGGTGCTCCTCTTCCACGACCTCTTCCACAGCAATCCGTTAATCCGGCAACAGTTTCTCAACTATTTCTGGAGTTTCTCTATTATTATGCTGACTTTGATTTCCACAAATATTTCATTTCTGTCAACAACGCGATGATCAAGAATCGGTAAAATAAAAGGGTCCACTGGTCTGAATCTAACTAGAATAATTTCAGAAAATTGACTGGAGAAAGTTCCGTTCTGAGTTCGAAATCGAAGCAAGTCTACATAGAAGATCCATTCGATTCTCATAATCCTGGAAGAACTGTGAGATCATTGAATAAAATTCAGAGTATAATGAAGAAAGTACAACAATCGTTTTTGATTATAATAGTTCAATTCTTTCAGAGACACATTAAACATGTTCGATCCTGATGCTCCTCAAAATCCAGACGCTCCAAGAGTGCGCTTCCAGTTTCCCACTATGGACGATATTCTCAAAATGGAAACTGATGTGGAAGTTAATGACGAAGGAGAAGAAGGAAACGGAGAAGAAGATGTTGATAACTAATCATTTGGGTGAAATACGAGTCAGTTGCTCCAACCTCCAAAAATTAATAAACTTGTACTCCCTCTCTACGAGGCACTTTTTTTCAAAAAATCAAATAACCGAAATAAACACATGTTAGCCACCAGGAGCAACAGGTCTCAATAGGCACTGTTTCACTAAAAAAAGCAAGAATAAGTGTCATTGTTTGTGTGTGCCCTCTGGTCTTGGGGGGTATTTCGCGCAGCGCTGGAGCTAATTGAGCAACAGACATATGCACACATTGAGGAGTCAACCAGCGTTCCGAAAGTGACGCAGTTGAGAAAAAGATGCAATATTCGATACTATTGCTTTTTCTTCTACTGATACTGTTTAGTTTTATTGATGATGGAGAAGCGTCATCTTCACCGAGGACTTTGAAGTTGTGTATGTATTTGAAGGCAATCCGAAGGAGCACGTCTGAGTGTGAGCAGGTTAATCTCGATAACACGACCAATGCCGAAGGTGAGACATTTTCTTTAAATTCAGTCTGAATTCTAAAAGGAGCAAAATGCTATAAACCAAATAGTCAACTGATAAAATGTTTGTCATAAACCCCAAAATTTTATTAGCTGTTACATTTTCGATATCTTTCGTAGCAACAGAAATAATTGAGCTCAAAGTGTACGGTATTTTGAAATACGATATTTTTGATAATACAGTTTATATTCTTGAAATAAAATCGATTTATGAATGAAACAACATGTAAATTCCAGGTAAATTTTTTGCAGAGCCAGCATAACGTTCAACCTGTATTAGAAACGCTGTTGAAATTGATGGGCCCCTCTAATTGAAGTGCCCTCCTTAGCGACCCCACCAAAATAGTAGACCGGCCCTTCGAATTCAGGTGTTGCAGTGTTCTAGTCTAGGACAATGAATTTCATTATTTCTTCACAATTTTTAACAGTTTTAAATGCTCCAAAGAAGTTATTGATTTTTAGGTAACTCGTCGAGCTCCACCATGTCTCCGCTAGCGAAAATAATCGCCAACATTGAAAAACGGAACGAAAAGCTGAAGTTGACCAAAAAACGCAGGAAACTCAGTCCTCCTCTTCCTCAATGTTCTTCAAATCTGGATAGTGGATATAAGGTATTCTTTCAAGATGTCCCCCCTGTGTTTTGTCTATTCTCTCATTCCTATACCCAACTTTGCCATCTATTTCACGCGCCAATCGTTTCCATTTCAAACGGCATTTCGTAGGTGCTGTGTGTCTTGTTTCCACCTGAAAAACTTGAAGTCGATAACGATCTCATTTCTGAATAAAGAAAAGGCGAAAACGAGCGAAACTACATACCATTTGCTTCCCAATTTCCAGCAATGCCGAGTGGACATCACATGTTCGTCTGGGTATAGTTGCGAGACAAACAGTAAGACGAGATGCTGTATGGAAGCGAATCATTCGCCGGAAATCGAAACGACGAGGACAACTGACGAGTACAAAGAATAAAGATGCGAGTTCAAGATAGTACTAATGGACGAAGTGTTTCAGATTCAAGACTTGCCCTTCAAACCATCAAATGTCATACTTTTGTCAGACATCACGAGCTAGAAAAACGATTCGAAAGTGTAGAACTGACCAGGATTGCATGTTTTCTAATGTTCAAAAATGTTGTGATGCGGGTGAGAGATTGAACAAATAGAAGCATTAGGAACAGGCATTTGAACTTTCAGGATGCGGATTCAATGTATGTGTTGTCGCCACTGGAAATTTCATTGAGAATAGTAAGCGGTTGCAAAATCCTCAGAAATTATTAAATTCAATTTTCAGCATTGATATTCCTTGGAAGCAAGTAATTGTCTGATCTCCATATGCGGGATCAAACCTCTTCTGGATTACGAGTCTGTATATATGAACTTCTCAAAAAAAATTGCGAAAATAAAGCGTTTATTAAACTGGTTTCATAAAAGAAACTACTGGAAATATAGGAGAAGTTAATCACAATTCTATCCTTATTTCTTGTAGCCGTAGCCGCCATATCCACCGTATCCTCCATATCCGTATCCACCGTATCCACCTGAAAAATTTCATTAAGATATTCAAAATTCATAGTACAGTATACCATGTGGGCATGGAGCATAAGTGGGGCAGGTGCAGCCTCCGTATCCGTATCCATAACCACCATATCCACCGTATCCGTAATACTGTCTCTTGACACGTTTAGCTGGAACTCCTTTCGAGTCGACGACGTCAAGAAGGGTCCATGAGATGGCAACGAGAAGTACAAGGAAGAAAATAGCTTTCATCTTGTTGGCTCGGATCGGAGCAAAATAGTACTGTTGCATCGGCGCTCATTCCTTTTATTTCGAAAAACTTCTCATTGATATTCATTCAGAATCCAGATGAGTCAACAAGAAAATTGGTGCGGATATATGCATTCAAAAAATAGATTATGACCCTGTTTCGCTGAATTATTAAATTTACGAAACTAAAAAAAAGGACAAACATTCCGAATGGATCTTTGATAGGCTAGAGGGGTGATAAGAACACATTGCCTCAGCCAGCGAAAAACAATCACATCATTATCTTACAATTAGAATAACAAGTTAACAGATTAATCAAATGATTTGCACGGTGGTTCACTCCATTGGCGGAAAAAATTTGTTTTTTTTTTCAAAACTTTATTCTGGTCAGAACCAAATTACAGTATCCATCCATTTTTTCTCCCTCTCTTGCCTCAAAATCCGTTCTTTACAACGTTCGGAACATGTCACTATTTGTTTATGTGAATAGTCGTAACACATAGAATTTGAATAGAATACTAGTGTCTATCGGTCACTTTTTGTTCAGATTTCAAGGCCAACATCGTAGGTCGATTCAAGAGGGCCGCCCTCCGAAAAAACACCATCTTCTTGTTCATGGCTCCACTGTTTTTTGTATTCAAACTTCCCGCCAAAAAAGCGCAATCCCAAAGGAATATGGTGATCATTATCCGCGCATTTCGGAACCTGTTAGCTTGCCTATATTGTGTCAAAAGAAGACGAAGGCTATGCCAACAAACGACGACGTCGCATTGGTTTTGAATCAGATGCGACGGCGGTCAGTGTCTCTTCTATTTCCCCAAGGATTCTCGTTTGTTCCTTCTCCTCCTCCGCCATTCATCCGTCATCCATCAGTCATTATCGTTGCCAGCCGTTTTCTGCCGTTCTCGCCTTTTGTCCTTATCATTCGATGAAGCCTAATCTTATCATTTCTCTTTTTTTGATCTTCATCCCTTGTTTTGTTGGCCGAAATAGGAGGCAGGTGTCTGTGGGTTGGAGTGGTGGAATTATTCAAAAATCATTGCAAAGGATTCTGAAGTGTTTTTCTTAGTAAAAAAAATAACTCCGCAGGAGGTAAGAGAGCCGGTTTCTTGTTATTTTGGGTACTGGAGGAATACCAAGTTACCCGAGTTAATGATGGTGCTTCTAGTGTCATCAAGTGGGGTATAAAACTGAATGACAAATTGGTCTTGTCTAATTTCTGCAAAAGATTACTGTATGAAGCCTAGTGATATTTTTCATACTTGTCACGGGCCGGCCGGGCCGGGTCAAAAAAAAATGCTCCGACCATAAAATAGCCTGCCCGAGACCTGTCGAACTGAGTCAGATTCTGGAATTCCGAAATTCCGAAGACTTCTTTTTGTTGAAATTTCGAAGTTATGAAGATTCGTTAAATTTTTCACAAGAATTTTCAAAAAAATCAGCTAAAAGTCAGTAGGCCGACCAGGCCAAGCCGGGCAGGCCCTGAATACGAAAAGTACTCTGTTTTTCGATTTTCGATGATCCAGAAATCCCAGTAAATGTTTCTGATCTTTTCTCTGAATATCATCAACTTCTCTGAATTTTCTGAACTTTCTCAAAGTTAGAAAACCATTTTTGAGTCTTGTGATGATTCTCTGAAAAAAAGCGGAAATTGCGAAAAATTCCTTATCTAGATGAACTTGAAAACCCAATATAAAAATAGGAAAAAAAGGGAAAATGGTACGCTCCACCCCTGTAAAATTTCGATTTCAATTCTGCTTTCTCTCCCATACAGTCATCATCCGTCGTCTTCCGTCCGTAAGAAGATCTAACGGTATGATTAACTACATCATTCTATCTTTTCCTTCTTTCTTCTATTTTCTTCCTCCTCTTTATTCTATCCTTTTTTTTGTTGCCTCCTTTATTCTAATCGCATAGTTATAGGCCACTCAACCTACAATTTTTCCCTCTTCATCCCCTCAATACATTTCATAACTATATACAAAATACTGTCAATATGTCTCAAGCACTTGAGAAATCAAACATTTCTTCTTTCCTATAATTAGTGTTGTCTGATGTTCTCTCAAGTAGCTGAAATTACATTGGCTCCGCCTATACCCTTCCCTCTTGTCATTCTCTCATTGTTTTTTGGGGTTGTCTCTTGGCCTTGTGATTCACAAATTGCCCGCAATTTCTGATTGTTTTTGTAGAGTTTTGAAGATTACAAATAGACGTGGGAAGAGTCTCGAATGAAACATTGTCTCCCTTGATTACTTTGGCGTCTCTGATTCTGAGGTTTGTGCCCACTCAATTAGGAGAAAATCGTTCGCTGAATCTTTCGGATTTTTCTTACACTACGTAGTGATTCTGATTTTACACTAGATTAATAAATCGAACAGAAAGTTTCAAAATAATATAGTTTAAGCTTACTATTGTGTTTCCTTTAATAGAAATCCATCCAACTTTCAGTTCAATTATCTCGTTTCCTGTAAAAGATATCAATAATTTGTCAACTGATGTATTATTTTTGACTAATTTTGGATATCTTTCACCGAAAGCGAGATATTAAAGTTTGAAGTTGACAGTCGGGGTAGGCTTCTATTAGAGAAAGCATTCGAGGGTTTATTACAAAACAAAAAGGTTCCAGAACTTTACAACTCAACTTAAAACTGGTAAAATAATTTTTATAGAACAAAGCTTTGAAACTTAGTAAGTCCCTAATTAGTTTCAAAGCCTCTTCATGCGGCCAATCAATTCCATCGTTGGTCATTGAAATCCCTTCCTGATAACCATCTTTTTCGGCTTTTCCTCCTTCAATTTCCTCTTTTTTTCCTTTTCTTTTTTTCGTCTTCTTCAATTTTTCGTTTTGTGAGTCACAAGCTAATATTTCACAACAATATCTGATATCTTGATTAATACCATCACAACCATCTGATTTTTCTAGTCTTGTGACTCTCTTTTTGCCCATTCGCATAATTACTTTTGGAACCAATTTCTATTCTCTCTGGATCAAAAACTGAGAAACCAGTACATTCCACTCAGCCTCTGTCTTTTCAAATAAATTTTTTCCGTTCTCAAATTCGGCGAGGAAGAAAATAAAATTAGAAAAAAATGTCGTGTAATTTAGTTCTGAAGAGAAGATGATACTTTTGGAATAGTTGTGTTGTCTCGGAGAAAAAACACTGTCTACGTCTTGATAACCACCAAGGAAATGATGTAAAAAAGGTTGTTAAGAAAAGAGAGAAAAAATAGATTGTTTGGTTTGCAAACTGCTGTTTGATCGTGCCATATCTTTACAAAAAAACTGCGAGAAGAAGAGAAGAGTGATAAAGGTGGTTTCCCCGTTCTTTTTGGGTGTTACTATCAATGACAATCAAAAATCGGGTAGGAAAAGGGAAAGTGATTTTCGAAAAAAAATGTGTTCCTTTGAAAGCTGTAAGTCAACAATTCCACTTTTTAAAATTTGTTGGAAAACGTAAAACCGTGAATGGATCCTCCCAGATACAGAGAATTCCAAAAGGACTGGTCAGAAATCGCGCCCCAGCGATAGTGAGATCGGGGCTTCTTGTTTTCTTTTTTTGTTGCGAGAGCATTGCGAAAAATCATATTTTCATAAAAAAATTTCACAAAATGCTAATATTGTAGATCAAAAGCAGAAGGCTACCGCGAAACCTGTAATAGAAGAGCCCCATAACTTTTAACTTGGAACATATATATCTCATTACCCTTGAAAGATGTCGAAACATTGTTAACTGATGAATTGTTTATCACAATATCCCCAATGTTCTAGCAGTTGACACATTTTTTGATATCTTGTGTAGAAGCCAAGAAAATTGAGCTCAGCCGTCACAGTATGGTGACCCTCCTATTACAGGTTTTACGGTACGACCTGTTTTTTTTCAATTCCTTAAGGTGCATGAACTTTTTTCCGGAGAAAACAAACCATCTGAATTTTCATTCATGAGCTGTTCTAGAAAACTACACTACGGTTATTTTCGAAACGCTGTAACTCTGAAACTATAATTTTTAAGTGCACTCCAAACCAACCTTGATTTTGAGATCATCTCAGACTACGATTATCCCAAAAACACAAAAACCGCCCAATTGAGATGTTTGTTTATGACAAACCAATTTTTAGGAAACCATAAACCAAACCTATTCTCATCAGACCATTGAAACACTAGAACCTAGTGACTAGGTATTACTTTTGTCCCAATATCCGTGTTCCCTTCACTCGAACTTTCAAAAAGCATACCAACCTTCATAAACCGACTGGCACCGCCGTGCTACAAGTGCCCTAGAAAGATAACCCATCGGTTTTATGCAGCTTTTGAATTACGCTCCGAACCTTGCGCACACACACATACATATACAGATCCGATCTTTGACTACATCCGACCCTTTTTATTTCATGTCTTTAAAATCAGATTTTCAAATCTTAATTTCTCTTTCGTTTCCTCATTTTTCCGACGAGAGACACCTTTTCGAAATCGAAGTGTTCGCGGGGGTGCCTCACCGTTTTTTTGTATGTGTATGTGTTTGTTTCCAGCCACAATTCTCCCATAGGTACTTGACATGGACATTAATTCGTTTTCTTTTTTCTTCATTCCCAAATTTCTTCCCATCATCATCCATTCCATTCTTCCTTCCTTCTACCAGTAACCGGCGGCATCTCGTCTCCTTTTTTTCTTCGCCTGCCATATGAACCAGTTCTAAACAAAACATCTCAGTGGCAGAAGAAGATGTGAGGAAGTAGTGGTTGGCTGCTTGATGGCGGAGAAGACACTCCCGCTAATCGCTACCTTCCAGGAGTTCTCTCACGATCTTCAGCCTTCAGGAAAAATGTCAGGAATTCGTTTTATGGCCAGGATTAGAGATTCCCTTGTTGTCTTTTGTCTACCACAATTGTTAGTTGTTATTGTTCCAATACATCAGAAATGGTCATCTCCTTCACGTGAAACATCTTCTCTCGTTAATTACCCAACCCACTTCGTTCATAAAAATGTTTCTTTTTCGGCTTCTTCTTCGATCTTTGCCATTGCAAAATCAAGTGGATCAGAAAGCGCTTATCAATCGAAAAGTGCTTTCATTTTCACTTGATTGGTTGTTGTTTTGATGGAACGTTTGGCTTAGACGAAGAACGATATCTTAATCTTCTAGATTTCTTTTTTCCCTGTTCTTCTTGAAATCTATCAGGAACCACTTATTTGTAACAATTTACTCCTCCCTATCCAGTGCAAACCGCAATGGACACAGTTGTCACTTTCCTTATTAGTAAAACCGTTTAGATTTGGTGTTTTGGCTTCCTTTTTCGCATTTTCAAAATGTTAATCTTGTCAACTCTGAACGTCTTCATTTTTCAGAATGTCGGACAATTATGTCCTTGTGGACCCATTGTCCGCAAAACCAATTGATTGCTGGAAGAAATATTTGAAGCAGGGAAGAGTATGTGAACCATTGAAACCGATGAGGTAGGTTGAAAAATAGGGGTGACCTTGTTGAAAAGTGAAACTGATCTTTCAGACTCGATACACCAATTTTCGAAAATAAAGTTCGATTTGTTTGCATCTCAGACACCCATGAGAAACTGCATGAGGTTAGTTGTTGCCTCATTGAACATTATTCTCACCTTCTCTTTTCAAATTCCAGATTCTACCGTATATTCCTGATGGCGACGTTCTCATTCATTCTGGCGACTTCACAAATTGTGGAGACATCGGAGAGGTGATTAAGTTTAATGCGGAAATTGGAACTCTACCACACAAACACAAAATTGTAATTGCTGGAAACCACGAGCTCGGATTTGAAGATGGAGAAGAGATGAGCGAACGTCAATTGGCTGGTCTTAACATGCTCGGAATCAACAAAGCTTACGAACTTCTCTCGAATTGTACATACCTTTGCGATAAATCATACGAAGCCTATGGTATAAAAATATACGGCGCTCCGTGGCATTCAATGCCAGGATATTCATTCTATCGTCCCAGAGGACAGAAAATTCTACACAAATGGAATCAGATTCCGGCTAAAGTTGACGTTCTTATGACTCACACTCCACCACTGGGACATGGAGACTTCAACGCATGGGACAAAATGGATGGTATTCTTTGTGGATGTGCAGAACTTTTGAATACAGTGGAACAACGAGTGAAGCCAAAATATCACGTTTTCGGACATGTTCATCAGGTACGAAAGCACCAATAGATATATTTGCTCTTTATTGTGGCTGTAAACTTTGATGGCCTAGAAATCCAAATGTTCAGTTTCCTAGGCCACCAACTTCTAAGTTACTTGGCTTAAAATGCACATAACCTTAAAAGACCTTGAAATAGATATACCTTATATAGATAGAACAATAAACGTTGATATCCAAAATTTTGGATTTCTAGGCCATCAACTCTATATGGACGTTAGTGGCCTAGAACTTTCTTTGTTTGAAGAAACCAAATAAATCGAATTGGAGGAGAAGTTCAAAACAAAATATTGAGAAAATGTCTGAAATATGAAATTTCATTCAATTCTCAATATAATATAATACCACAAATTTCGTGTTCTGAAACTTCCTAGAAGTTGAGAAAACCGTCTTTGAAAATCGCTACTTTTGCACTTTTTTCGCGGATTTTAATATTTTTAATAGTATCCGGATAGGCTATTCTTAAAATATCCTGAAATTTTGTTTAAAATCTAGGTTTACAAGTTGTTTAGGTTTCCTTGTAAAACGACCAATCAAACCACCTTTCAAAGGTCACCGTTCTCATCTAATATTTTGTGAACCATAAGATTTACGACATTACACACAAACAAATCTCTGCAACCAAAAACAAGAAGATAATCGTTTGTTCTTTTCAGAAGCATGGTGTGACCACAAACGGAGAGACAACATTCATCAACGCAGCATTGTGTGACCACAAACTACGAAGTGCATATGATCCAATCATTTTTGATATCCCATTGCCTCCAGGAAAAACCAAACAATAAGCTTGAAAATCACCAAAAAAGCTTTAATAACATATTCTGTCCATTCTCTTTCTCACTCTCTCCTTTCTATCCCTGTTCCAGCACCTATTCTCGTTACAGTTTCTCACTTTTGAGTTGTCAGTTCCCCGTTCCCATCTCTCTTCTCCCAACAAAAACCCCTATCAGATTTATGTGTTGTTCCTTGTGTGTATGTGACCCGAAATGCTGTTCTACCGGTCTACGTTTCTTCCCCCATTTGGCATTTCATCTTCGTTTAATTCCCTTTTTTGATGTGTTCAAATAAATGTACATAAACGAAACCAACGCAAGGTTTATTGAAATTGGAATGGTGGTTAATATGGCGAAGTGGTACATAGTGGCTGTAAGGGACAATCAGTTGGTGAAGTTAGATTACAAAAAGTGTGGACTAAGGTGCATTCGTTTTGTCCAAAACATTTTATATTATCACAGATTGCTTCCTCAGCAGGGCTCAGTAGTCTTGTTGGAGCGAGAAATGGTAGTGGCACTGGAATGATTATAACTTTATGATTTAAAATTTAGCTAAATCATTAAACAGTACCTTGTGAACAAAATACAAATTGAATCAATAACACAATAAGTAATAACAACGCGTGATTCGAGTTCATTGTATGTCAGTGAAATACTTTTTCAAAAACAACGATAAACGTAAATCCTCAACTGTATCCTCCCTTCATCTGATCAGATTTCTGTTAATCTGTTCAATCCTTTTCAGGTGTGTTTTTCCTCTCGCCATGTGTTTTTTAGGATGTTTGATTATCGATACACATAATGCAAATCATTTATCAAATATATTGAGCTCAAGTAATTAGACGTATACGATAGTACAGGATGGTTGTTTTGGACAGAAACCGGGAGGCTGATCGAAGCATGGTGTATCAACCATCACACATTCGTAAAGTCCATAACATTTTATGGCATCACAAGGATCCTTCATTCCAAGTATTTGATTGAGGGACGGTGTTGTGAATGCTGAAAGTCGAATAGGTTACTTTGAGGACTGGCGGACATCACATTTTTTGCGATGGTTTGCGAATCCTGTACAGTAGTTGTCCGGGGGAATACTCCCAATAAAAGCCTCTCTTCAAGCTCAGTTTTCAATATTACTAGAAGTGACATGGCTCAAAATAACAGCAAAACCTACCTCTTCGAAAAACGTGAAGTCTTTTTTTATTTTAAACAAGCCTTATAAGACATATTGAAAATCCCCATACACAGCGAAGAGGAAAATTTCGTGGTTCCTTTGAGCCATACAACTTTTAGAAATGTTGAATACTGGGAGAGGGTTACATTTTTTTGAACAAACCTTAAAAATTATTTTTTCGTCTATTATTTTTTTCAGTGAACTACTAATTAATTTGTTGATACTCAATTGAATTTACTTCATCTACAAAGTTATATTAAAAACGCCAAAATTATGCTCCAGACCTGCAATATTTTTTCACAGTAGATTGCATTTAAATTTGCAGTTCGTATTTCTTCTGTGGGATGTTTATATTTTTACCTAAACCTTTCTATTGATTGATTTTTCGTCATCATATAAAGTTTGAATCAGGTCTGCTTAGAACAGTGAAAAAAAGTTTCTTCAAAATTTATATTGAAATTTTGATAGAAGTATTTTATTGTGACTGAGCCATTTTCTTCGGAAAAAATCCCAGCATGCTGAAAATATGACACTGAAAAGTGAGCTTAAATTATTGGAAATTAGTAATTTGGCTGACAGGTGCACCAAGGATTTGATAGAATGACACAATTAAACGTACATTTAGTTTCTACTACATATTGAGTCAATAAGACAAAAAGAAGATAGATGATAGTTCGCATCGAATATTACTTCGAAATTACAAAATGTGAAATATTTCATATCCCCGTTCAAAACTGCAAAGTCTATATAATCCGCATTTCACTCCCACATAAACGCTGTCTCGATTATTCACCTCTCTAATCGATTCTCATTTTCCCCCATATTTCAGTCGTACTCAAATCAATTGAATTTCAGTGATTCGATTATGCTGGGAAATGTATAAATTCTCCTCGACTCGCCGCCTGCTCTATTTCTTGAGAACTGAGAACAGCCGCATTCGTTTCTGTTATTTATGAATTCTAGATTTTTCGTTATATTCGTATATTATCTTTTAATTTTATGCCGAGGTATTTAATATTTGGATAGTGATTCAAAAATTTGTGAATATTCAGATACAATGTGTCAGGATGTGTGTGAAGATGTTTCGTGCTATGGTGACGCGTTTTGTCATCAAGGGGAAGTTACCCAGATCGATGGCACTAAAAAGACAGTTCCCAAATGTGAGGATAAAACGATTGAAGATTATCATAGAGATATATTAGTAGCGAAAAACATTTCATGTTAGTTTGAAATGCTTGTTGTCTGAAACAAACGAAAACGTTTTTTTTCAGTATTAGTTCAACAACAAGACTATATAAACTCAAATGAGAAAGATATGCTTTGTTCCGGAATCACTTGCTATGGGTTGAATAAATGCACAATTGTTCCAGTTCCCTGTCTAGATAATCCGCAATGTATTAATTATCAACCATTTTGCGACGATTCTCCAATTTAATGTGTGATTGTTATTTATTTTACTGCTTATATATCTTTAGATTTACATTGTGGGTAGAAGTAAAAAGTAATCTCACGGTGCCGGAACTTGATTACTTGCTGTCTCCCACTCACCCAACCCACATTACTTGTTAACCATGTGAGCCAAAAAAGTTATTCATTCTTTCCGGCTATATGCATGACAGCTAGATTTTTGACTATCCTCTCTTTTTACCTATTCGTTGTGTACAAAGGTTTGACAGAACACCTAGTGTTATTTTATTATGTAAGAATTCCGTTTTTTCAGGTGTCAATTCGGATGCTTGTGAAGATGTTACATGTTTCGGAGATGCTCGTTGTAAAGTAGTTAATGTTGTATGTTATACAAACGGTAACAGATGCGACCTTCCCCGTTGTGGTGATAAGGATACCAAAGATTATGAAGCTGACGTGAAGTCGGCTATCGATGTTGAAGGTTTTGTTTTCCAAAATGTTAGTCACAGAATTCTTACAAAAAACAATTTCAGCACTTGTTAAAACATCGACATATATCAACTCGCAGGACCAAGGAGTATTATGCCAAGGGATGAATTGCTGGGGTAGCAACAAATGTATAATAGTTGATGTTAAAAAACTAAAGATCGTTTCGAAATTTCTTCCTTTGTGTGATGATTCTCCGACTCCGGCAATGTTGAAGCTCAGTATTCTACGATAGATCGTTAAAATGAATTGGTTTTTTTTCATATCCGGGTAGTCCTTTTTCATATTCTCTTTTTTGTTTTTTTTTCAAATCAAAGTATGGCATCTTTTCGAGCAGTATATGGAGCGTGAGTTGATATCGAAATCAGGAAATATTATAAACTGTTTTCAGAATAACTTTAATGGCACTAGTTATCATCTTTCTCAACTCATTTGCGAATGGTAGGATTGTACCGTATACAATATTCTCCAACATATGATTTGGCATGATTTATTAGCATTTGCTTATGATTGTATGCTGATTGATTTTAACGTTTCCGGATTTTTCGATTGAATGACAACGTTTTGTGGTTTATATTATCGCTTGGTATATCAATGAGAAAGTTTTCCACAGGTGCTGAAACTCGAGTCTAAATTGAAAAACAGTAGAAAACTTGATGAAGAATGATGAGATTCCTTGGTAAATTTTGGAAAAGTATAACTAACAATTTATTTCGAAAATTAGAGTTTCAGTCAGAGATAATTGAGCAAAAAATAATTGAGCATTAAATAAAAGTTGACGGTCAGGATGAGCTTCTAATAGAGGAATACGGTATATAGCTGACTAATATTTTCGTCCAATAATTCAGTTCGTGAAAATTGAGCAGAAAAAATCTAAAACAAAGTAAAAACAATTTCTCCGACGTATTAGTTTTGGCTCCTGAAAAATATCAAACACGAAAAACTTCCTGATTGGCCACCTGATTTCAGAAACTAATTTCCCACGCTTTTTTAAAAAATAAAATCAAATTCAAATTACAGAAGACAGACCCCGCTTGGCTCGTGAGAACCGACCATACGTCATTCTTAGCACTGCTGATAACCTTAAAGATTACGACCGTCTATGTCAGAATGGACCATCAGTAGATTGTTTCGGAGAATCCATCTGCAAAATTGCAAAAATTCGATGTCTCCCCAACACAACATGCGATCCTCTGATGCCGATTTGTGTTGACAAACAAATCGAAGATTATCAGCCGAGGACTTATAATGTGACTTCAAATCATTGAAAAATTCAAAGGCGTCAGTCAGAATCATTTTTTTCAGAACCTAATAAAACTTTTTTTTTTTAATTCCCGTTGCCCATAATTTTTCGGCATCTCAAATGAATAGATCGCGATCTTGTGAAGATTTGATCAACATACATATACCGTAAACACTCTAATAGAACGCCACCCGAATCGACAAATTTGAGCCCATAGATCTCATATTTGGAGAGAGAGAGAGAGAGATGTCGAAAAGTGGTTACCTAAAAAAATGTTGCTGATATCATGATGAAAATTTAATTAGTTGACAACTTTTTGATGTCTTTCAAAAGAAGTGAGATATATAGGCTCAAAGTGGACGGTCCGGGTGGCGGTCTATTAGAGTGTTTACGGTATCTTTTAGTTTTAATTTCAACCATTTAATAGAAGAGCCTCTCTAATTGAAGAACCCTCGAAAAGGAATTGAAAAAATAGAAGGGTCTCTTCAATTAAAGGGCTCCTAGTAATAGAAGGGCCTTCCAGAGGTACATTGAGACAATAGAAGGGCCGGTCCTATTTTCAGATTTTTTTTTTTTGATTTTCTCCATTTTTCATTTTCATGTTCGATCGGTCTGACCTGTAAACAAATTCCAGATTTCATAACGTTACAGTACTGTTATTTGTTATGAAAAAAAAATAATCGGATTGATTTTTCCTGAAAATATTGTTAACAATTTTAGTTCCGTTTACTTTCGAAATGCAAATTTAAATAACATTTTCGTTTGTTTCTCTCAAAAATCATTCCCTGACTTCTGAAACTGAAGAAACCTTCCGGTTGACTTGCTTTCTTTCTCCTTCCTCACGTCTCACCCAGCAATTAATCTTTTGACTCATCCCCTGGTCTCATGCCTTTCAATTCTTGTTTTGACAATTGTTCTTTCACACTTCTCCCACATACACCGAGAAAACCCATTTTTCACCTGAAAAATGGTAAGTTGCAATTTTTTTCCTCTCGATTCGAATCAGACATAATTTATTTCCAGAATCTATCAATTTTCGTGTTATCTGTTCTAATTGTTCTAGTGAGCTGCGGTGTTCTCAGTAAGCACTTCTGCATTGATTCTGACTGTGAGCCACAATTCTGAATTTCAGAAAACACGGAAGACCATCCAATTACCCATCAAGATACACCATGTGGTTTAACGAAATGTCCCGATGATCGCAGGTTCGGCTTTTAATTGGAAACATTATATAATTGAAATGTTTACCCTTATTTTATGATGCTTCCAGATGCGAATTTCCTGTGAACGAGGAAGAATGTGATAATGAGGATGGATGTTCTTCTTCTCCGAAATGCGTTCCTATTTGTGAGTTTCTGGAAACATTGAGTCTTTCGATCCTATCAAAATTTTGCAATTTTTTTCAGCGATTCCAAAACCAAAATGTGAGGAAAACGAGGAATTGAAGGAATGTGGGTCGGCTTGTGAACCAACATGTGATCAGGAACATCGAGTAAAAAATTATAGATCTTTGTAGAAACCTATTGAAATATCTTCCAGGGATGTTCGGCAGTATGTCTGACAAATGTGTGCCAGTGTAAAGATGGTTTCATCCGAGATTCAGTTTTAGGGAAATGTGTGGAAAAGAAAAATTGTAGTAAGAGATCTTTTTTGGAACATTCAATGAAATATAATAATAATGTTTCAGGCAAATGCACTCTAGAGTGTCCAAGCAATGAAAAATGTGAGATTGTGGAGTTGTCATGTGAGCAGAAGCCCTGCCAAATGATGGATGTATGCGTCGCTCGTGAGAATCCACACACTGAAGAATGACCTTATTTCTGCTGTTTTCTTGCCCTCCCAATAAAATGTTTATAGACGTTTCGAGACTTTTGTTTCTTCGTCCTTCTGACCAAAAAGTCAGTAATCTTTTGGATTCTTTCCTTGTCACGTTGTGGAAAAAAAAATGGGCGGACTGCCATCAACAACTGTTCTAACCGGCATGTGTTTTAGTGTTCCGAGACGATAAAAGATAAGTGTCATCCGTTAAAAAAACATCAGTAGACTTCCTGGCAATGGTAAGTGGTTTCTTTTGTCAGTATTCCAGTTATCGAATTTAAATTTTTCAGAAGTTTCTTGTACTCGTTTTCTGCCTCATTGCAGCTGGTTTAGCAACTAGTAAGTTTATCAATTCTCGGCTGTCGGTTTGTAACTCCTGATAGGAAGTTGAGAAAGATTCGGCTTTTGGACAGTTATTGGTCATGTTCTGGTCATCATTTGCCCAAAAAACGCCTATATAGCGGGCCATAGTCTATGGTCTGAAATTGAAAGTTGAAGGAACCGTGTAATAAGCTTGATTGGTTTTAACATCGTCTCATCCAGAATCTGACTAAACTCCGACCAGAAGTTGAAAGCGACACCCAAGTAGGTTGCTCCGTAACAAAGTCATTTTCCAGAGGAGTGTGAAAAAAACGAGGAGCGTGTCGCTTGTCACAACACGTGCGAGCCACAATGTGGATACACCCCGGTTGGTATCCGGAAGTCTGATCAGCATCCTAACCTCTCAATTTTCAGAAAACCTGTACTGAGCAATGCATCATGAACACTTGTGATTGCAAAGATGGATTCGTTCGCAACTCGTTGGGAAAATGTGTGAAGGTCTTTGAGTGCACAGAGGAAACCACCAAATGCCCACAAAATGAGCAATTCAGAGGGTGTGGAACCGCCTGTGAGCCAACTTGTGAGAATCCAAAGCCAATGGCTTGCACTAAACAATGCATTATAAATGTCTGCCAATGTGCCAAGGGATTCGTTCGTCATGGAGACAGATGCATTGCCGAGAAAGACTGCCCAAAATAACTTTTTGAATATTTTGTTTTTCGATGCAGCCAATAAATGTTTTATTACAAGCCGCTGTGCTCATCTGGCCCTTTCACCTGACTTTCAAGAGAAAAAAGTACGAAATTATGTTGCATAGACAGAAACAATGATAACCTGAACAGTTGTTGACTTTTTTCCCCGTTCAAATTCTGCAGGTCTTCTTTTGATTTCCACATCTCTCTCGATTTCTCTAGCTCCTGCGAAATGGGCGGACTGCGCCAGCACAACTGTTCATACCTGTCTTTTGCTCTGTGATAAAAGACAAGTGTTTTATCAGAAGAATCTGTCGATTCGAATTATTGAAAATTTATTGAAAAAATGGTGAGTCATATTTTTATTCAAATTTTTGTGTGAAAATATTTTTTGTGAATAGAACTTGTGTTCAGAAGACGCTTACACTGACATTCTGCTGTTTTCTCTCGCTTTGTACGACACTTCCAACCAGTAAGTTCAATGACTAAAAATTCAAAAAATATCGTGAAAAAAACTTATCAGTTGACAACTTTTTCATATCTTTGACAGGAACCATGATAAATTGGCTCAAAATTAAAAGTTAGGGTGCTCTTCTATGACAGGTTTTTTGGTACGATAGTTAAAAAACTGTTTAACCAGAAAAATTTCAGAAATATGTGGAGAGAACGAGGAACTTGTCTCCTGCCACAACACTTGTGAACCTCTCTGTGGATTCAGTCCGGTACTTAACTTTTTTCTTTTCCCTGTCTGTAACTCAAAATTTCAGCAAATCTGCACAATGCAATGCATTATTAACACATGTGATTGTAAGAAAGGATATGTTCGCAACGCCTTGGGAAAGTGTGTAACTGTTTTCGACTGCACGAGAGAAACGACAAAATGTCCGGAGAATGAAACATTCCACGAATGCGGTTCAGCCTGTGAGCCAAGTTGTGCCAACCCAAATCCAGAAATCTGTACTGAGCAATGCATCATCAATACTTGTCAATGTGCTCCAGGATTTGTTCGTCATGGCTTTAATTGTGTCTCGCCTATTGAATGTCCACCAAGAGGAATATAGTTTTTTCTCCATAATTTATGGGTCATAAATAAACCATTTCGAATTTCCGGAAGTTTTACAAAATGAGAAAAAAATATTATGAAACATTTCAAGAAGAATCAATATAACTTGTGCTTTCTCATAAAAAGTATTCTTTCTTCCGTTGTTCCTATTATCTTATGAAAGAATTCCCGATGAATCATCTTTTTGGTTCTATATGGAAAACTTTTGGAAGAAAAAACACCACGAATCATGAAAATTTTCCACAAACTAGTCTTTATTTTTGGGTCGACTGTTCTCTGCTTTTTAATCATCTTAATGTGTTTTCTGATATTGAAACCAGGATTCCTAGAACTCGTAACTTCTTGTGGACCGAACGAAGTAGCCGATGATTCCTGCGATCCACAATGTGAGATGACGTGTCAGTCTCCAATACTATCGGTTAGTTTTTGAACCATTACATTTGAATTTGTAATCCGTTTTTCGAAAATTCTTAGAAGAACTGCAAAGATTATTGTTCAACAAAACCAGGTGTAGAAAGAAGTGAAGAAAATGGAAAATGCCGATGTCAAGACGGATTTGTGAGAAACAATGGAACCACGTGTGTGCTTCTAGAAAACTGCGATGGACCTATTATATGATCAGTAGTTTTCGAATTCAAATGTTGTAGTTCTTGGAATATCCATGGCTTCAAATGTAAACACTACAAACACGCCTAATCCGTTGTGTATAAAAGTTGAATAAACTGACATTTGTCACTTTCTTGTAGTTTATTATTAATAATCGGTTTTATAACAAAAAAGGTATTTCGACATTCGAAACCAGAAACATTTAGTTTCTTGGGAGAGCATTCATGTTCAAACTATCCAAACAGAGCAAGAATCCATATCGAATAACCAATGATGTGACCTTTTCTGTTTTGGGACGTTTCAAATTTCCAATTTTTGTTTCATGACGCAAAATGATGATGAATAATGCCGAGTAAGTAAATAATTACGAAGCCATCATGAAGCTAGACTTCCTTTTTCCCTATTATCCTCATAGGTTTCATGGAAATGCTTATTCTCAGTTCTGAATAGTTCTGAATCATCTCGAAAGTTCTCAGAAAATTGATAAAAATACATTTTTTCTAGCCTATGTTTCAACGATACGAGCAAATACGATTCTAGGAAAATATCCCTATTTTCTAACAGATTCACCTGTCAAATGTCAATTTTACTTTTCCAAGTAATCGGTTTCAAGTCATTTTTTCAAATCAACCTGTTCTGGTTTCAAGGAAAACCTTTCCAAAATGCGTCTGTTGTTTCTATGGCTTTTTGTATATAAACCTTTCCGGGTGCCTGGAAACTAGGTCTTCTTGAATATTTTCCGGTTTTTTAAAATCTATTACAGTATCCCTTGCCTGAAAAATATATTGAACTGAAACTTCGTCATTTGAACAAACATCCATTTCTTATATCATCAGAAGACACCTCTGACTAATTCATGTGTGAAATTCGCATTCCAAAAAACCAATTAGTCATGTTTTTCTTGTAACTCTCGAACTTTCGCCGTTCACCTGAAATACAAACGTGGTCATTTGATTTTTCAGCATAATTGTAGACGTCGTCGTCTTCTTCTTGTTCTCTGTCTTCTCCGTCGTGACTACTTGAGACCGCCCAAATATTCAAAGAAGTCCTCTGTTCATTTAAAAGGGAACGGCCGCCACTACGAACCAAGTCGGTCTCCTCTGAGAAATCACTGAAAAATTATGATGGTCAGTTGGCAACTCTAATTCTGAAACCAACTTCTTTATTTTCAGAAGATGTTTATTGTTCTAATGTACACACTAGTAGTTGGATGTGTTGCCAAATGGTTTACTCCTGGACCTCCACTTTCCGAAGAATGCAGTAAAAACGAGGAGCGTGTCAGATGTGCCTACGACTGCGAACCTCAATGTGGATTTGAGCCAGTGAGTTTTACTTTGTCTCGCTCTTTAAAAAATGTTATTTCAGACAGTGTGCAGTTTCGAATGCAAGCCAAACGCGTGTGTATGCAAAACAGGATACGTCAGAAACACCAAAAACGAATGCGTTCATCGTCTAGAATGCACACCAGAGACTTCCATGTGTCCTGAGGACGAGGAGTTCCATACATGCGGAGCCCCGTGTCAGCCAAGCTGTGAAGATCCATACCCAACAGAGTGTCCGTACGATCAATGTATCCGAAGTGTGTGCCGATGTCTTCCAGGATTTGTCAGAAACGGTCCAGTGTGCACACCGTTGAGTGACTGCAGAAAAATTCCAACCCGTCCACTTGAGCTTTTCACATTGTAATCTTTATCAGAGAATTCTTCATTTTGTTACGCCAGTATATTTTGACCCAGTTTCTCTATCTCTTTTTGTGTAACACATAGCACATTCTTTTTCCCCAAAGATCTTCTTGCCCAATTGATATTTTAAAAGAACAACTGTTCATGTCAAAAAAAAGTTTTAAAAATAAATCTGCTAGTTTGATCTTATGTACAAAGCACGAAGACTGTTGCGGTTGATCTTGGAATCAGGAAAACCTCTGAGCTCTGGGAGTTCAGTGAGATGACTGTGAAGCAGGGAAGGTCGGTTAAACTTTCAAGGACGTTCTCGAGGTCTTTTTTGACATCATTTGAAGCTTGCAGATAATCCACGGACGATATGTTGTGCTGCGATTTTATGTATGCCTTCGGGTGGCCACAGCTCAGTCGGTACCTTCAATACTTGTTCCACGAGTTTAACTCCTTCAGGGGCTTATATATGAACAAAATTTAGACAAAGTCATTTTTTTCATGTCCCCCATCCTTGATAGGTATACGAACCACATTGACATAAAAAACACAATAAAACTTGTATGATTTTTTTTTGGAAATGTGTGTTCTTATCCGCCAATAGATGCCAGCTGTGCGCAAACTGGAAATCTGAAAATCTGTCGTAATAGATCCATAGCACTTTGTTCCTTGGAACCTCCATGGTTTTGAGTATCACGTCATGTTTTGAAGACAACTCAAAAATCACAGATGCCATTCATAGACTAAAATGTTATTTATTGGTTGTTCAGTCTCCCAATTAAAGTTCTAGACATTTTGAAAATGAAATCATTTATTTTTGGGTGATATCATTTTTCTAACCATCTTTTTTTCAAAAAACTTTTCAAAAAAAAAAGTTTTCAAAAGTCAAAACACATAAAGTTTCTTAGAAGTCAGTAGGGTGATTTTCAAAACACAAAACCCGACTGGAACAAAGATTATTACATCATTATGCCATTTTAAGGTTGTTTACTTTAAGCTTACTTCCATGTAGTATTGTTTACAACCGAAATTTTCGGAGAAAAGGCTGAAAACTTTTTTGACACTTCTCAGAACTCCTGCCAGAACCAAGTCAACATTTTGTTGATACGTATTCAATTTGTCTGAGTGGGAAGATTCGTTTTTTTTTGAAGTCTTTCTTTGGAAGAATGAATCTCCTGGAATTGCATTCTCTCCTCTGGACTGCGGTATGCTTCCAGAAATGTTCTGACCACTCTATTCTGATTGTTCTCTGAACGACCTGCTGACTGAAATGAAAAGTTTATCCTCCAGGTGGTTTGAGATCAGAAAAGTCAGAAGAATGAAAATTTGTGGTCAGAATGAACTGCTCTTTAGTGTCAGACTGGAGCAGGAAGTTGGTTGAGAGATTTGCTAGACTTCCTTCTTTGCAGGAAGTTCGTACTTTGTGCTGAAAATTTGTTGACGGAAAAATATGATTTGCGAAAGTACAAAAGAGCAAGACTAATAAATCGACATATCAGTTTCTGAGTTTTTCATAAAATTAACTCACTATCAATACATAAAAAATTGCGGTACATTTATCAAAACTTCAACGCGTATTTTTACAGTCATCATTCAAAACGAACCAGAAACACTCTGATAGAATGTCTCCCTATATCTGCACTTTGAGCTCAGTCAGCTCAATTTCTATAAGAGATAACCTAGATCTGTCAACTGATAAAATGTTGGTAATACTATGACAAACATTTTATCACTTTCTGTTATCTCTTCTAGAAATTGAAATAATTTTGAAAAGTCGTAAATTTCTCCGGATTGACCTGGGCAGTGTTGTAAATAAAATTTTAATTGAGGTTTATAATTAGGTTGTATTTTCTGAGAGAGTTCGAAGTCTTCATAACTTATCGTTTCACGTTGCCCTCCAACATTTTGCTGGTCTTCCATACCTTCCAAAGTCTCCGAAACCCCTCGATATGTCCCAATTATCAAATTATGCTCAGTCACAAACATACGCCGACAAGAAATGCTCCCAGAAAGAGATCTGTCATTCACTAACAGATTATTATGACTGAAAGACATACAAAATCATGCGATCAGTGGCCTTTTGCGTACATAATCTTCTAGTTTGCGTGTTCTTTGAATAGATTATCCGCGATTTTGGTTTCACCTGTGATGCTTTAGATTTCAGAATTTTTAGTTTTTGAGCCAATCTTCAATTCTGCACGTACACATAAAATGATGAGGATGCGTCCTAGACTAGGAAATAGACAGGAATGCTCGGTTGAACAAACTCAAAAAGGATGGAAGAGGTGAAGTGGGCAACAACTTTTTTTATCGCCAGAAAGCTAATCCAGCGTGACGTCCATTTTGTTGAGAAAAGGGAGAAAACACAAGAAGCCAACGAATTGCAGATTTCAAGATTTTTCATATGAAAAGTTTCATTCATTAAAATTCTTCTCATCGTTATAATAATGGTTTGCTCTTTTCACAAGTCCCTCAAAAACCCTTTTTTCCTCTTTCAGAAGTTTCTTCTTGTCTGTATTTGCATATTATTTGTAACTGTAATGCCTGATTCTCAAGGTAACGAATTAATTCTGAAAAAAGACCACATATTAATATTTAAGAAGAACAAAAGAAGAACGCATGTGAGAAGCATTCGTGTCATCCGCTCACAGAGTGTCAGGCTATCAAAACGAAGGAGCAGGGTACCGAAAAATGGAGTTATAAACCAGTCTGTATGAGAGGTAATAATAGAAATTTGGTCTCGTTGAAATTAGGCAAACGAAGAAATTGAAAGAATTGATGAATTTGTATCGGAACGGAGATAAAAAGGATCCGAGAAAACGGATATGATTTGTAGTTTGGTTTTTATCAAAAATATGGGTCTAAATGGTATATACCGTATTTCCTTTAATGCAAGAAACCCATCCAAACATTCAAAAAAGTGAATACCGTAAAACCTGTAAGAGAAGGGCCCCCACATGGTGAACTTTGAGCTTGGCAACTTTTTCATAACTTTCACGGGAAACGAGAGAATTAACTCAAAGTTAGGTGTCTTTTCTATTACAGGTTTAAGGTGAGTAGCGGAACCGAAGGAGAAGTTTTTTGATAAATTTAAAATATGGGTTAGATGAGCTATGGTTAAATACCTAACTCCTTATTTGAGGCTTCAAAAGATGTTCGGAATGAATTCCACAACTTTTCAACAAAAAAGCTGTCTCATTCCAATTTTCAGTCCCATCATGTTCCACCAAAAAATGCATGCAAGGCGAAAAGTGTTCGATGAAAGAAGTAAAATGTCAATTAACCCCTTGCTTCAAGATCCCAACATGCCTTCCGGATGTGAACGAAGCATCTCCGGAATATCAAATGCCACCTGCGTTTTTGGTTTAGATAACTGAATTTTGAAAAAAATAAATAATTTTATTTACATTATTAATACATTATAATCAGTTCCATCTAAAATCACAAATATTGAGATCAATCAACTTTAATAAATTCTTCGTCCTCCTCCTCAACGACTTCTTCTTTGACAGAGTTTCTCGCGTTAGCCGTGAATGTTCCACCGAGATCATCATAATGGATTTTCTTCATTGCAGCAATTGTATTCATCATCTTTGAGATCCTTGAAGCATAATTGATTATATTATTTTTCCGATAATATTCATGGAGGTCGTTGGCGATGGAGTCACGGAATGCATCACAGACATCGAAGGATTCTCCAATTATCTTTTCTTCTGAAAATAAAAAAAGTTTTTATTATAATAATTCAAATCAAGATACCATTGTGAAAAACAAAATTAACGATCAAAAAAGCGACTTCTTCAATTGATAGTTTCAACTGACTCAACGGTTTGGCCACTTCTTCGACACATCTCTGGGCAAATGTTTTATAATCTCTGAAAATTGTGATTTGTACTCAATTCCGATTGGTCAGAATCTTACTGTAGGGTTACTTTCAATTTGTTCTGGGCAACTCCCTCGATATCAAAAAAGAGAGCATCCAATTGAATTGCTCTCTCACACGAGATTGCAAGTTTCTGAAACACCGATATACAGTTGAAATGCGCTATTCAACTGAATATACTCAACCTTTTCAGTGGCACAACTTTCTCCAAAAATCTCAGCTGACATTTGAATTCTCTCGAATCGATAAATATTTTGCCAGAGAGATCTGAAAATGCGGGACTTCTCAGTCAGTGGAATATTCCGGAAAGCCATAGAGTGCATAGACATGATTCCCGTATTTTTGGCTTGTTCTCTCCAATGAGGCACCAATGTTTCCATTGAGAGGCGGTTGTCGAATTTGATATTCAGAGACTTTTGTGACTTTCGAACCAGCTGAAGCCCTTCAACAATTTGATAAAGTGGGCTTAGGGAAGCAAAATAGCCGTGATCTGTCGAGGGAGTATCCGAATAAACATGCGATGCATATCCTTCTCAATATTGTCGTAGTTGATCTCAGAAAGAACGGATTTCGAGAACAGCTGATCCTGTAAAATCCAACAACTTGTCATAAGACGAAATTTATTTATCTGATGTCACCTGAGTCTTAATAACCGAATATAGATTTGCAATCGGTTGGCTTGTGCTCGGCAATACGATATTTAGATAGCTCTTATCATCATAGTTAATCTCCGGAGATTTGACTTTTTTGAGCTCCGGGGATTTAATTTTTCTACCATCTGTAGAGTAGACGTCTCGATTCCATTGTACATCTGAAAAAAGAAAACTATAATAAACAGATTTTTGGACTCCGGAAGTTATGTGTGAACTTTTGTAGTACACCATCAGGTCCGTTTGATCAATTTAAAGTAGTATTTTGAATCTTTGAAATTCTTTGAAATTCAAAAAATGTCATCGACCAATCCTCGTGTCTGGTATACGGTAGCCAACTATCCCGGCCCCTATGATACTTACTATCAGCTGTCATTCCCATCCGGATACACTTCTGGAATCTGCAGTGACGGCACGAGCTTCTGGAAATTGGTTCAATTAAACATCACATTCATAAAAATGTGCTCGCCTACCTCCGAATCTTATCCAGACTGCATTTGCTCTTATCCTTCAGACAATCGTACTCTAGGTTAAGTACAACGAATCTCCTGAAAAATGCGGAAGTATTTGTAGACATAGATCATAAATATGCACGGAAGTACCTGAAAAATGCAGCGCAGGCTCTGCAAGTGGTAACTCCAAAATGAACTCCGTGAGCATCGAGTCCACAAATCTTGCACATGTTCCTTTGCGCAGGCATGGCAAAAAGGGGTTGAAAACTGATTGGAACAATTTCCATCATATCTGAAAAGATGAGACAGTTTTGGAATGACGTGTTTCCTTTTCTACAAAATTTGGTCTACGGACGACAGAAAGATCAGTTCCAATCTGAGATACTGTGATGAATAGAGGCAAAGACAATGTGATAAAAACGAAAGAAGACTGTATCTAGAAGATGTGTGGGGGAAAAGAGAATGCGCATCAGCAGAAATCACAAACTACATAGGATTCTTGTCGAGAAGACAGAACCCCCCGAACCGAGTTCTTCTTCTCCCTCCTCCTGATGAATGATACGAAATCTGTGTCGAACTGAAAAATAAGAACGTCTTTGTTTACTCTCAACGAGAAAGAATAACTATTTTGACTGGGTGGCCCTATTCTGAAAAATAAATAATGAAGTCAGAATGGAATTATAGTGGTGCCTGGAATTCTGATGTTACTAATGGGGCGTTTCACTACAAATCTGTCTAGCGGAACAAAATGATAAAGCTATTTTATGTCGGAAAACAAGACGGAGAGTTTTCCCAGAACCAGGGTATACGGTAGTCCAGGTGTACTAGAATTCTCTGTTCGTCCTGTTCGATCAGAATCATAAGAAGGGAGTCAGAAAACAAGAAAACAAGCCTTCGTTATGATTTTCACAAACAACCACCAGAACGTCTTCGGAATTTTCATCTCCCTAAAGTAATGCGAAATTGTGCTTGATGTGACCAGTTTGTGAGCAAAGCTCGTATCAAACATAAATGGGAGGAGAGACGAGGAGAGATTAGAGGATATGGCGTCTGGGAGGGGAGTGAGCACTCCGCTCACTTGGCGAGAGCATACTAAAAACGTGCGCGGACACACCGGACACAGATTGCAGTCAGAAGCAACAATAATCGTATCCAAACTTCTTAATGACAGGCGGCGTCCAAGATTTGTAAGTGGGCGGGGCCTTCTCCTTCTCTCCCTCCACGTAAACAGTGCTCGAAGCAAAATAGATCTGAATTGTTTTGTTTGAAAAAAACACCCGCGCTACAGATTCTGATTTGTGTGTCGTGGAGAGAAAGAAGGGGCGGGGCATCCAATTGATATCAACGGGTCTGTTTTGTGACTTTCTTTCGACAACGGAAGCAAGAGAATGAATGATCTACACCAATTTTTGTCACAAGAATCAAAGAAAAAATGGAATCAACTGTAGATGATGGGTCAGAACTTGAAAGGGATTCCTCCTATTTCGGCTGTACACTAAGACGTGTACACACATCCCCACTTTGAAAGATTCTTATCTTACCCGTTCTCAATGGATTGTCAGAAGAGAAACGTTTCTAGCAAAGAAAGAGTATAGGCGGGATAGGGTTCAAAAGTTCAAAGACAGAATTGATATGAATTTATTTTGCACCGAGAGTAAGGAGAACATATATTGCTAATACGGCGACCAATGAACATTGCAAAGTGAGGGAGGTGTCAACTTCATCAAGCGTTTATATAGTGCTCAGGATGTGATTACGCCAAAGTGCTTTCGCCTTTTTCTATTTCGATTCTTCGGGATGATCTCGCGATCTGATTCGACACATGAATGGAATGACGTGAGATACCAGACTGAAATCCTTGAACAACGAAGGTAATCCGTCGGAAGCAGGAAGAAACTAGAAACGTTTAAGTAGCAGATGTGATCTGTCATTAGTCACCTCGAAGTAGTTGAAAAGATTTGCAGCCAACAAAAAGATTTCCATCCGGGCAAGACCCTCCCCCAGACATTGCCTTTTTCCCATCGAGAATGGACACAGCTCTTCCACTTTTCTCAATTTTCCATTCTCATCGATGAATCGGGTTGGATCGAAACGGTAGGGATTGGGAAATATCTGGAAAGAAGCAAGAAAATCAACGAGACAGGAATGAAACTATTATCTTACGGTTTCATCTGTCATCACATTTGCAATCTGATGGATAACACCAGTTCCTTTCTTTAAATGATATCCCTTTAACTCGACATCTCTTGTCAGTGCATGTGGTAAATTCATCGGAAGGATGTTGGCTAATCGCTGAGTTTCCTGGAATATTTACCTATGATCATTTGATCTTTTGGAAAACGTTTCTAGCCCAATTCATTATCTTCCCAGATCTCCGAGGACATTTTAAAGGTGACGGTAGTCTTTGGGCGATTTTTCTAATTTTTTTCTTCTTGATTTTTTGGCCCCATTTAAGACAGATCAAATAGGATTTTCTGAAAACTCGTGAGAGCTTTTGAATTCCAGCGTTACTGATGTGTCAGCAGGTGGAAGACAGATTATTGTCTGAACTTGCTAAATCTACTTCATCGTCACAAATTACTATTTTTAGAGCTCAAGCCTTCTGGTGACTTACATTCGCAAAAGCGTTAAAGTAAACCAGTGAATTCTTGTCTGACATAGTAAGAAGACGTCTGTGATGACCCAGATACTCGTCTATTTCCTGATGAATGATCTTCTGAAAATAACTATCAAATGTTATATTTTAGGATTTTCGTAAGGTCACCTGCATTTCCGGATAATTTATAGCGTAGGCGAACAGGAAGCCGATTGTATTTGTGAGGGTGTCGAATCCAGCAGCCCAGATGTCGAAACACACGTTCTCAAGTTGAGAATCGCTGAATTCAAAAGCATTTGGTTGAAAAGTCATGTTTCTTACCAATAGCTTTCGAAGTCATTGTTCTGTTCTCGTTGGTACTTTTTCCTCAGATACGCCTCCACAAAATCGTCGTTGTGCTCTTCTTCATAGTTGATTCGAAGTTTCGCGTCTTGAATTTGTGCTCTTAGGAATCCGAATAATTCTCGTTTTTGTTCTTCGATTCTGAACTTGGAAATAGTTCAAAAAGATGCTAAATTCATGGAATTCTAAATATTTGGTAACTTGTCAAAGTGACCTAAAAATTGGTATTTTGGATCGAGTAAACCTGTAAAATTTGTTTAACTACACAAAATTGTAAGGATTTCTGAAATGATTTCAAATATAATTTTACAGGTTCAATTTATTAGTAAATTTTCAGATTTTTTCAATTCTAATTCTTCAAAAGTATGCAGTATTCACGGAAGTCCCAAAAGCCTTGGATAGAAATCGCGTCCCAGATAACCTTCAATTTAATAATTTCAAAGTGGACTTAAATTTGACCTGATTTGACAGTTTTTTTAGTTAATCGTTGTACGTTTGGTACTCAGCCAACGAAAAGAAAAAAAGAAGTGAGATCTCAGGTTCGCTGGGGCGCGATTTCTGACAATGGGTTTCTCGTCAGTTTCAAAGTTACAGTTTTGAACTCAACAACAATCAAAACCTAAAACTCACCCACTAACCATCTGCTTGACAATGAATGGTGGTATTCCATGGCAAGTGAACGCAAGAACACCTAATGGTTTTCCAACTTCTTCCATGAAATTATTTACTAATGTTTTGATTTTCACAAACTCATGCATTTTCGACTCATCGAACCGATATCCGAATAGAAATTGATTAATAACGCTTCCAACTGCTACATCAAGGTCTGTCTAAAACTCAAGGTTGGAAAATATGGAATCTGTTTCAACTCCATACCTGAAGAACGAAATCTTCTTGAAGAACCTCACAAGTTTTCAATTTCTTGACTAGCTCTTCTGCTTCTTCGAGAATTTTTGATTCCATTTGAGATTTTCCAACGCCAAGCTCTCTCAATTGAAGAACTGCAAACTTTCTATGCTCTCGCCAACGGTCTCCACTGATATCCATGATACCGTACTCTCCACCTAAAAATAAAAGACTACAGAAGTAATAATCGCTGAAAGCACCTCGAAAATATAAATTGAACTCTGGTGAGAGATATTTGTCAGCATACGTTTCCCCATCCTTGATTATTGTCTCTTTGATATCTTGATAATCAGTTAACACAACAAATGGAACGGGTCCTAAAAAATTTTCTAGAATTTCTTATGTATTCACAGTATATACCCATGTAGAAAGTGAATATTGGACCATACTGGTCTTTCCATTTCTGAAATATAGAGATTCCTGGAGCCTCAGAGCCAGAGAGTTGAAATAAGTTTCCAAACACGGGAATAGGTGTGGGTCCAGGTGGAAGACCTCTTCGTCTCCAAAGATACTGATGAAGAAGGAAGAAAACGAAGCAGAGCAATAAAATGAGAGGAATCATTTAGTCAATAACTTTGTTCTTAAATTGTTATCAGTACGAACTATATAGTGTTTTTATATTTTTCTTCCCAATTTGCTCTTCAACCGGTTGAGGAACTGTCAACACCTACCTGAAAATTTCGTTCTATCGCTTGGAGACGCAGATTCGTATTTTGTGTTTGCCCAGACTCAAGGAGTTGCTTTTGTCTTTATAGGTGCTCTTAAAATGTCAAAGTTCAGATATAATGCATATGTTTTTTGGTATATCTCGTTGTTTTTGCTTTTTTCCCATACATAATACTTCTGAAAATGCTTTCAGTGATCTTTGTAGGTAAAATGTGATTCGTGCTGGTTTTCTGAGCTCTCAAAACAAAATAGGTTTACTCGTGATAAGCTACAAACTCTAAAGTCTGAAGAAATTTAAAAATAGGCATGGATTTATGAAGGCAATCGAACAGTAGTTGATCGTTTTGCTTCCGTATAACTTGTCGCCACTTGAGCATTTTTGCAAGACAATAGTTTTCTGATGCAAGTGCGGTAGTCTAGACTGAAACAGAAATATAACAAATTGTGTGACGCATTCTAGACTAGAATCATACTTGATTTTGTAGAAGACGAAAATATTGGAGGCGCATGCGATATTCACAGGTATCCCAGCGTACATGTTCACAAGTTGTTTCCCATATGGAGTGGGGATGAAAAGTACAACAAAAGTATTCGCGATAGCTGTAATAGTCCATCCAGCACTGACCATAGATACTGTTATAAATATGGATTTGAAGACAGCTTTGAAGTTTTTTCCTGAAAAAAAAAACTACCGTGGCTTCATAGAAGGGCCTATCATAGGAGGGCCCCTTAACTTTTGAATTTGAGCCAATTTTTTCGGTTCCTGTCAAAGATATCGAAAAGTTATGAACTGATAATTTGCTTATAATGAAGTTATATTTCATCAGTTGACACATTTTTGATATCTTACATAGGAGCCAATAAAAAATTAGCTAAAATTTGACTGTGTGGAGTCAAACTTGACAGCCCTTCTGTTACAGCTTTTACAGTATGTACGAGACTTTCAATTTTAAAACCAAAAACCGGCCTCCCCGAGTCACAAAATGACACCTGCATCATAATTAGACTATACTCTTTCTAGATCTGTCACTTGTTTTTCCTTAGAATACTAATCCGAAAATGTAAACACATTTGCGTATGATTCATGATCTCTCATTTTGCAGAATTGTGACATTTTCTAACCGACACAGATTAGAAAAAGCATTTTCGATTTGTGCAAATACTAATTTTACGAATATTCCTCTAGGCTACAAATATATTATACAAATCAGATAAACAAGATTCTGGATGTGTGATGTGTCACGAAGTATCTCGAGGTGTTTACCTTGCTCCTGCTTCTGAATATAACAATTAACAGCTGTGTATAACATCGTTGTGATTACATTTAAAATAATATTGGATATAGACCAAATGACGAATGTTTGTGATCCCATCGCAAAAGGTACAGCACATGTAACTGGCCTTTAAAATTGAGATTATGATTTGTGCCTAAATTCGGTTAGAGTATCTCACGTGTTGCCTACTTCCATAAATGTCATGAACAAGAAGATAGCACTGTATAATAATGGAATTAGGAATTGAAATATGGTATAGAGCGAAGCATCTTTGAAGAGAACGTGATATCTGTCGAAGACATACTTGCCGAAAATCCGATTCCGGGCCGGAAGGGTCCGGCTGATGACTCGCTTCACAACTGATATTGGGAGCAAGACAACATACTGAATGATAGAGCTTGGCGAGCTTTACAACCACCAATGAGAACGATCCGGCTTAAAAAACTGCGTCATGGTCCGGGACGACGATTTTTTGAATGAACCATGATCCCGTTCTCAAAGCCGACTCATTCTTATTGGAGTTTGTAAAACTTGCCGAGCTCTTTCATTGACATGTTTCTTTGCTTACAATTTCAATTTTGGAGCAAGTTATCAGCCGGCAAGTGCCGGACCGGAATCGGCTCTTCGGCAAGTATGGTCGAAGATGTTTGTGCGCAGGAAACCGAATCATGCTTACCTAACAGGCCACTTGCAAGCGAAAAATCTGTCAATCCCAAGCAATAACATAAAGCAAGACGCACTTATCACTCCAAACAACGATGGAACGTTGAGAATGGAACACAAGATTTGAGGAGATTGGAAATCTCCAAATATATGGATAACGAAAATGAACTGTCCATAATTATGGAAGCAGTCAGCCAAACAGGTCATCATGATTAAGTAATGACATTGGGACCGCATTGATCTGAACTTTTAAAAACTCAAAATTTCATAAGATTTTCAAAGTTACTTGAATCTGAAGAATGTTACCACCATGATTGTGTTTCCAACTATTCCCACTAATGCGACAAATAACAATATTAAAGCAAGTGGAACAAGTTCTAGAGCTATCATTCTCAATCAATAATATATTAGTAGTTTGATCTGGAAAAATTATATAAAGTCAATCAAAAATGTCAAGAAAAGAATAACCGACAAATGTAGTTACGCTCACTCAATATGGATATCCAGTAGGATTTAGGTTTGTCGTTGAGCACGTGTTATGAATTCTCTGGAGGTCTTTGTTTTTAGTTTTGAACTCATCAATAACTGTCTATGAAGTCTGATACAAAGATCTGCCACTAACTACTGAAAGTTAAATTTTAGTTTCAGTTGTCCGGAAACAAATGTATTTTAGAAGGTCCGACCCTTCTATTCTTCCAAGGTACTTCTGAAGGGCTCCTCAATTAGAAAGTCCTTCTATTTATCCATTTTTTTCTGAATTTTTAAAATTAAAAATAAAAAAAAATAAAAATTTTCACTGAAAACGTACCCCGTCCAACAACGCGTTTGGATGGGGGTCCTTCTATTACAGGGACTCTTTCTATTTTTACAAGCCCCACTCGGAGCGCCCTACTATAAGAGAGGCCTTTCTCATAGAGGCTTTACTGACGGTATGAAGTTTTTTATTAAGAAAAGTGAAGAAAAACGACCAGTATACACAACACATAAAAAAGATCAGCTTCAATACAAATGCTGTTCTATCTTTTTGAAATTTAACATCCAGGTTAATGCAATTATAGCGAATACCAATGTTTTGATAATCCACAATGGACCAACACCGTATAGTGTGAACAATGTTCTGAAAATATTTTTTTTCAACAGAATTTAAAAATTAGGTCAAGCTCACGTTGTGAAAATGGGAGTGATCATGTAGAGAACATCATCGACTACAGTCATTGCACCATGAGCAATTGACTGATCAATATTTCCTAGAATTCTAGAGTACACAGTATCCAGAGATGTACTCATTGTAGGTATAGCGGGCCCAGCAACTAAAATGGTGATGGTCAAGTACCATATTGGATTGACAGCCAGAGCAGTGAAACACCAGGAATATTCTCTAGGATCACAACCGGAACGGGTAGTTTCTGAAGAAATAAATAACTTTAAGAAATACATAGCTTTGCAAAATACCATTATATCTAGCAACTGGAGTGCTGGAAAACTCATAAGGGTATGTAATGATATAGACGAGTCCAAAGGCTATTGTACAGAAGAGGAACATTTTGTGTTGTGGGATTCTGAAACCAAAATTAAATGATGCTCTCTTTGGCTCGAATGCCCTTTACATTTTTCCAAGATGACAAAAAATGTAGAGCAAAAGTACAGTGGAAGACATGATTCCGAAAATAACCATTGTGATGGAACCAACTTGAACAGTGGTTTTTCCATCCCAGCCAAATTGAACCATGTATAAAATTGAACCAATACTAAATACAAATTCTGATCTAAATATCAAATAAAATATTGACTAACGTGCTGAGTGTAGCATGAGAAAAAGTAACGGCAACTTTAACGAAGAAACAAACTCCGATCAGCTTCCAATCCAAATTGCTCTTTTTCATTTTTTGATAAGCAGCTCTTAGCTTTTCCATGGAGAAACTGGCTTGGGAATCACTTTGTCTCAGCTTCTTTGATTTTTCTCTGGTGATGTCCTCCATGAAAACGTAAATGACGAATACAGTGAGTATAGTCAAAATAAATGAAATCCAAATTGGAGCCGAATACAAATGGAAACGAATTCCGGGTAGAATTTCGTATCCAGGATATGGGAATTCAGTGAAGATTAGTTGGATAGCTGAAATATTTTATACTTTGAGATATTTATTATTTTTTAAACTCACTTGGTCCCACTATAATCGAAAAAATAAACGATAACCCAAGAGTTGCAAATGCACGGGGCCGATCTTCATTTGAAGAGCACAATGTAATATAACCACGAAGTACTGTACCTCCACCTGAATTTATTCAATAGAATCTGTAATACATTCCGATTTCACTCACTGTTGGCAATTCCTAAAAATACATAAACCGACATCAAAACGTATCTTTTATCGGTTTCAACATATTCAATGCTCAGGTAAATCGTACATGCAATAATGGCAATAAAACGGCTAGCAAGAAGAGGTATTCTGGAAAAAAGTCCTTATTTTGAAAAGATCAGAAAGTCCAGTTACCTGACAGATTGTGTCTTGTAACTCCAAATCGAAAATATCAGGGCAAAAACGGCATGACCACACTTTGAAGCTGAAGTAGCAAACCCAAAAAATTGAGCAGTAGCATCTTCATCTATCTGAAAACATACAATAATAAAGTTCTTATGAAGTATCGTAATACCTGTAATAGAAGTGCTTCTAACTTTTAATGTTGAGGTTTTCCTCGGTTCCTGTCAAAGATATTAAAAAGTTCTCAACTCATAAGTTGATTATCAGGATTTCACAAACATTTATTAGTTGACACATTTTTAATATCTTCCACAGGATATGAGATAATTGATCTCAAACTTGACAGTGTGAGGGTCCTTCTATTACAGGTTCTCCGGCAATTTAAAACACCTCTTTCATGTATGGCCATTCTCCAATACCGACTACTGAATTTTCAACGGCGTTCAAACAAGAAACAATTCCAGCAATTGTGATAAGTCTCCAATTTGTCCTTCTATCGTCTTTTGCATCTTTCATAAGTTCTTCTTCTAAAATAAGGCTCATTGAATTTTTCGTAATCTCCAAAATCCAAAACTCACTTTCAAGTATAACTCCATTTTGAACAACCGGAGAATCAGCGGGCACCTCGACATCCATAATTCCAAAAAATAAAACTAAAAGTCAACCTTCTCAATTGCAATACCGCCTCCTAATATAGCCTAACAAATTAGTGAAAGAGGGGTGATAATTCGTGTGATTTGTGTTGTTGAAAAGAAAAGAGAAATTTGGAAAAGATCAGTTAAAAATTAATGCGCAATAACACTACAGATAGCAAGACGTCAGGGCAGAAAATATACCACTAATTCGGTACTTTCTGTCTTTTTATGTCATGAAACCAAAGCTGTTCTAAGGATCCGACTGGGCGATGACAAACCACGCTTTCTTATTTTTATACTGACACAAACTCTGGCAATTATCGCAGTTGAAAAAAAAGGCGACGATAATTAATTTCGTGATAAGGATTTATCTGTTTTCTCATTGATATGAATGGGGTTCACACCCAGTTCCTTCCATTCACGTGAAATGAAGATACTTTTCAAGAAAACACTGGTACCAGATGTTTGATTTTTTTGTCTATGAAAAATTTCATTGTGTCTGCAGATGTCTCATTGCTTTTCCTAGCTGGGGTTCCATTGGTTTCTTGGCCTACGTACTTGAACTTTTGGATATTCTTGCAGATTACACAAAACGACCTTTTAGCAAAAACCTGTTTATTGAAGAATTGAACTATTATTGGAATTTGGTTTATTGACTTCATTCCACTTTACTAAGGTCTCGAAGATTGTATGCCCACAGTGCAGCCATTACGAAAAATAGAGCCGCTATAACCAGCCATAATGGTCCCACTCCGACCATTGTGAATATCGATCTGAACTTTCCTAAAATTAGAAGTGTATCTAAGGATTCTCTTACGTGGTGAAAATCGGGGTGATCATAAAAATAACATCATCGACTATGGTCATAAGTCCATGAGCAATGTTCTGATCGATATTTCCCAGAACTCTTGAATACGTAGTATCCAATGCAGTACCCATCATGGGAAGACATGGTGCAAAAATGATGACTGTAGATATCATAAAAAGTAATGGGTGGGTAGCTTTTGTTTCTTCACACCATGAGTATTCATCTGGGTTACATCCAGCATGTGTTGTCTCATTATAAGGTGCAATGGGTATACTGTTGAATGGGAATGGATAGGTGACGATGAAGTACATTCCAGTTGCAAGGATACATACCAGGAAGACATACTCCTGGTGGATTCTGCAATTTCATTTTAGCACTACTTTCATTTTTTCTCCAAGCTCTTCTCACATTTCTCCCAAGCGACAGAATACATAAAGCATGAGAACTGAGCAGGAAATAACACCGAATGCAATCATGAGTGTTGATCCATAACGGACAGTTTCGGTTCCAGTCCACCCATACTGTACCATGAAGACAATTGACATAATTCTAAATTTTTTGAACTTTGAACTTTTTTTCCAAAGTTCAAAGCTTACGATCCCAAAATAGCGCTTAAAAAAGTAACGGAAATCTTGACAGTGAGACAAACTGCTATCAATTTCCACATCAATCCACTGTTCTTCAATTGTTCATAGTTTTGTTTCAACTGTTTGAATGAAAAGAATTCTCCACTTTCATCGTCATCAATTGAGATACGATGTACGTCTGTCATGTAAACCCATATGATTACCGCCGTAATGACAGTGAGAACGAGAGAAAACCAAATTGGGACTGAATAGACGTGGAAACGGATACCGGGGAAGACCTCGATTCCCGGGTAGGCAATCCCACTGAAAATTAACTGGAGGGCTGAAAAGAATACTTGATGAGTACGGACAATCATTTGGTCACTGACTAGGCCCTATGATGATCGAAGTAATCGCAGATAGACCAATAACTGCAAAAGCCCTTGGTCTGTCTTTTGAAGATGAACACATTACAATATATCCACGAAGAATTGTGCAAGCACCTAGAAATCCAATCCTGCGAACATGTGATTCTCATGAGACCGAAACTCACTATTAGAAACTCCAATGAGAACATAAACTGACATAAGAACATATTTTTTGTCAGATTTGAAATATTCAACACTGAGATAAATACAACAGGCGATAATTGCAATGAAACGACTTACTATCATAGGGTATCTGAAACATTTTTTTTCCAATTGTGACAGAAACTTATTATAAAATTAGTGCAGAACCTACTTTATAGATTTTACCTTGAAACTCCATATCGAAAAAACTAGAGCGAAAATTGCATGAAAACATTTCGAAGCCGATTGAGTGAACCCAAAGAACTGAGCGTTCGCTTCCTTATCTATCTGAAATGAAAAAAAACTATAACAAATACGCTCCATTGTACACTCTCTCACTTCTTTCATATACGGCCATTCTCCCATTCCAAGTACCGAATTTTCGACGGAAATCAAGCAGGAAACCACACCCGTGACAATGATCAGTCGCCAGTTTGTCGATTCTTTCGTCTCCGAGGAAACGGTCGCATTTTCTGTGAATGAACGAATTCGTTTTCAATTAGACAACTTAAAAATCCTTACCTTCGTCTGAAGATTTATTTTCATAAAGCTCAAACCCATCAGCGGAAATCATTGCAAAAAGCAAAAAAAAAAGAGAAAAACGACTAGTGTCGCCCAAGTTCGGCCAACACTGCGCATTTTATCCCGGTCGCCGGTTGGCGATGAACATGTTGTTATCGTGATTTGTGTCCACAAACGGTGAACAAAATTGGTATATGAATGGATTACGTTTTTCAGGTGTTGTCCTATTGATTGCCAAGTTCGAAACCGAGCTTGAGTCATCGTGGTGGTTCATCTTCCCCAGAAATTATTTTTTCAATTTTTCATAATTAATAAAGTCATCCAGTCTTACTACTAGTTCTTATTATTGCATTTATTTATTTATTTATTTCAATGAAGGGGAGAAAACCACTAACACGTGAAATGTCAATGAAACTAGGAGATATAACAGGGACATACATTTTTAGTAATTGGGAGATGAAGGATAAACCGAGTTAGTAATTAGTTGAATTCAAGACAAGAAAATGTTTTAGATCACAGGATAATAGTCGATTTTTGAAAGCCGCTGACGAGGGCTTTACCGGAAACACATTGGCGGGTAAAGAGTTCCAACATCTGATTACTCTATTAGAGAGAAATTGAGAAGATATTTTTGTTGAGTTTTTGATAAGTGATTTGAGATAGTATTTGTGACGTCGCAATGATCCAGCATGATTAAATATTTCGAAAATTGGAACCTCCATGATAATTTCTTTGGAAACAATAATTTTATACGTGTAGACCAAATCATTATAGAGCCTGCGATACTCCAAGGAACTTAGCTGACATTCTTCCAGTGCTTCAAAGTATGAAGTGTATGCCATCCTGAATTTTTTGAAAATTCTGAAAACAAATGACTTTTGCACCGATTCCAATTTTATATATGATCCTTTAGGATTGGAGAAGTGACTATCGTTCCATATTCGAGTAAAGGGCGTATGTAAATTGTATAGCATTTTATAAAAACACTCCACGATGCGTTTTTTAGAATGGAAAAGAACATGTTGATCCTCTGATGTGATTTCCGAATAATCAACGAATAATGATAATGGAAACTCAGGTTACTGGAAAAGTAGATTCCAAGATCACGGACATTTTCCACAGGGGGAATCAAAGCTTGATTTAATTTGGGATTCATAACATTGGAGTTGGCATATTTTCTTGTTGCATTGAATTTGATGTATTCGCACTTTTTAGGAGCCGCTTTCATTTTCCACTTCGAGCACCAATTCTCCAATTCCATTAAATCTGCATCAATCAATCTATCATTCGTATCATAAATTTTCAAGTCATCTGCAAACAGTAGATAGTCACTTTGAAATTTGTCCCCAATACAATTAATATATAACAAGAAGAGGGTAGGCCCAAGAACAGATCCCTTCGGGACTCCGGACAATACGCGCCTCTCCTTCGATAGTATATCATTGATTTTGACTTGAAATTTTCTGTCCGTGACAAATGAATGGAGCCAATTTCTTAGTTTGGGAGATATCCCAAAGCTTTCCAACTTATGAATCAATTTGTTTATCGGCACTGTATCGAAGGCCCTCTGGAAATCAATATAGACGCTATGGGTATCTAACCCATTTAAAGAATTGAAAACAAGCTTGTTCTGGTAGGCGATCAGTTGGGAAATTGTACTTCTCTGATTAAGGAACACGAATTGTTTTTCTGATAATAGATTATTTTCGGATAAGTATTGGACTAGATGTTTGAGCATTCCGAAAAATACGGAAGTCTAATAAAAATAATCACTTCGAGAATTGCCGTATATCCTCTAGTATAAAGCAACCCGAATCGTAAACTTTGAACTCAATTATCTCAACTCCTGTGCGAGATTTTTAACATTTGCCAGCTGATAAAATATTGGTGATATTATGATAAATAATTCATCAGTTGGCAAATTTTCAATATTTTTCAAAGGAATTGAGATAATTAGGCTCAAAGTTAGTTGTCTTCTATTAGAGGAAATACGGTATAATATTTCCAGCTACAATGTACGATAATTTATACTTCAATGTATCAATCAATCCAATTGTCCACCCAATTACCAATCTCTCTATCAATTTTTGACGGCAGCGCATTCTTCGAAGATCTCTTCCTCCCATTGATGATATCATTTTCGCCGAAACAGTGATTTGTGACCAGCCGCAATTTTTGTCCTTCATTGAACACCAAGACACATTGAAAAGTATGGTCAAATAATTTTTTATTTGCACCACGATTCTTTCACTATTTACTCATTCGCAACGAATTAACTTATAACAGACAGAACAGTTGAAAAACAAAATCATTCATTCGATACAATTATCACAATGTTTTTTTTTTCAATAACCGGTTTAGTATTGACTGATACCAATAGTTTAATTAAACACAGCTGGACCCGTTGAATTAAAATTATTTTCGTAAAAAAGGAGAAAAAGAAATAAATTAATACATGTGGGAGCCAATCTTTTTGATGTTCAAGAACCAAACTGTGGCGATTGCGAAGAATACAGCAGACTTGATGATCCACAGTGGTCCAACTCCTAGTAATGTGAACATGGTTCTGGAATAAACAATTTTCAATATCACTGTATCACTATCGAATGAAAACATACGTTGTGAATATTGGAGTTACCATGAACACAATATCGTCTACAATTGTCATTGCTCCTTGAGCAACACTCTGATCTACGTTTCCTAGAATTCTTGAATACACAGTATCCAATGCAGTATGCATCATTGGAATCGATGGAGCTGATATAATCAATGATATGACCATAAAGAAGTATGGGTTGACTGCGATCGCATTTTCACACCATGAGTATTCAACTGGATTACATCCGGCATGCGTTGTCTCATTGTACAGTATTACTGGTTGACTGTTGAAATCAAATGGATAGGTGATAAGGTAAACACATCCGGAAGCAATGGTACAAACCAGGAACACCTTTTCTTGTGGAAGACTGAAAGTTGCTTATGTTCAGAATAAAAGTTCAAAGAACTCACATTTGTCCCAATTTACAGAAAATATATAGAAGTAGAATCACACAAGAGCCAACACCAAAACCAACCATCAGCATTGATCCCATTCGGACAGTTTCCGTACCAGTCCATCCATATTGCACCATGAATAGAATTGACATGAGTCTGAATCACAAATTTAGGACAGGAACAATTAGTATATAAGATCTTACGATTGCATGGTAGCATGCGAGAAAGTTGCAGCGATTTTCACGAATAAACAAACAGCAATAAGTCTCCAATCGAGATCGCTTCTCTTCAGCTTATTCAACGTTTCCTTGAACTGCTCCATCGAGAACATTGGTTTATTTTCTTCCTCTTCCAGTTTGCTTTCTGTGGAGGCTCGGTGAACATCTTGCATGAAGAATGCAATGAAGAAAACTGTGAAGATTGTGAGAATGAATGAGAACCAAATAGGTGCCGAGTAGATATGGAATCTCATTCCGTGTATAATTTCGTATCCAGGATAAGCAATGCTACTGAATAAGAGTTGAAGAGTAGGACCAACTACAATCGAAACGATGATCGAGAGACCGATTACAGCAAAAGCTCTGGGACGGTCTTTGGTGGATGAGCACATAGCGATGTATCCTCGAAGTACCGTAGTAGCACCTGAAACCATGTTAGACATCTATACTATCTTCACCCATATACCGTGAACACTAATAGAACGCCAGTCAAACCGCCAACTTTTAGCTCGTTTATCTCGATTCGTGTGAAAGACATCAAAAAATTATCAATTAACAAAATTTTTATCACAGTATCAAAAATTTTTTGTCAGTTGACCACTTTTTGATATCTTCTACAGGGACCGTGAAAAATTTAGTCAAAGTTAATAGTTCGGGTATCGTTCTATTAGAGTGACAATGGCAACTCACTGTTAGCGATTCCCAGTAGAATATATACACTTCCCAATACATATCTCTTTCCTGATGGTACATATTCAATGCTCAAGTAGATCAGACACGCAACAATCGCAATTAAACGGCTAGCCATAAGTGGGATTCTGAATAATAACGATACGTCATCGCTTGTTCCGGTTGAGTTCTCACTTGACTGAATGTGTTTTGTAACTCCAAATCGAGAAAACCAGTGCGAACAAAGCATGTCCACACTTGGATGCCGATGTTGCCATACCGAAAAACTGTGCCGTTGCATCTTTGTCTATCTAAACACATCAATTATTCGTGACACGTTTATTTTTCTGGATTACTCACCTCTTTCATATATGGCCACTCTCCGATTCCCACAACAGAATTTTCCACAGCATTTAACGCGGAAACAATTCCAGCAACAATGATCAACCTCCAGTTTGTCGTATCCTCACTGTCAGGCACCACGAGACTGTCTCCTTAAAGAGGAAGTTCAAAAATGATGGCTCATTTTCAGAGTTCCCCTTTAAAACGGTCATACTTAAATTTTAAAAAACTCACTTTTCACAGAAGGCCTCCTCTTTTCCAGCATTTCAAAATTATTTGAAACGCCCATAGTTATATGTGTTCCTGTCTGGAAATGATTTGTTTCAATAAGGTTTATAACCAATCAAAAACAATGAAATAACCGGAACAACTACAAAGTAGAAAGAAAGAAAAATGAAAAAGATATGAAAAACTTGTTACTCACCGCCCACTTTTTTTGGGGTTTCTGTTCGAAAAGGACATGTTCAGAGATGTATAAATATGAAGTTCAAATCATACAAAAAGAAAAAACGGAACTGGAAAATATTCTGTTTGTCGATTTTAAGAAACTTCTAAAAACGAACATGAAGAACGGCGACCTTTTGAAAAATACAAAAAAAAAGTTTTTGGTTGAGCAAGGAGAAAAGGGGGGCTTCACTAGGCAACGCGAAAAATAGTGGACGAATTTTTAGGACACAAAACTTGAAAAAAAATAAAAGAAGCCTTGAAATCGATCAGAAAACATGAAGTGCGAGCTAGAGCAAAATGTGTTATACATATAATCGAAAGTGATATGAGCCATGTAATTATGTTCATGCGAAAAAAAGAAATAACACTACGAATAACACATTTTATAAAGCTTTTCGGGGGGGGGGGGGGGGGGAAATGAGCAGGAAATCTAGTCAAAGAACAGGGAAAAAATTGAGCCACAGGAAATTCGCTGAGTTCAAAAAATAGGAATTTGTCATGGGCGGTCAGAACAAGTGTGGGAATCTGAAAAATCATATATGCTTCAGAAAGTGCGGAGTCTGGGGAGCTAGTCATAGTAGAGACAAAGGAGTTACGCATACTAAAAGGCTCTAATTATGATTTTTCAGTTTTGGTGATGTCCGCAACATATGGTGTTGTTGGAAACTGTGGATAGTCTGCTTCGAAAATATGTAATCGATTTTCAAAAACTCCAATTGATTTGTTTTCAAGACCTACTTAATCAGTATCGACCATAAACGTGGCGGGTCGGGTGTAACCGGTGGGGGAATTTTTACCGGCCGGCCTTGACCGGGGGTTTTAATTGGATCCAACATCAACATAAAAAAGTTGATGATATTTGGCACCCAAAAGGTCGGAACATGCCGAAATTCAGCAATTATCACGGACCTTTGAAAAAGCCCGACGAACCTTTGGAAAAATTCAAATATCAAACGGATAAATATCTGAACTAACGATCAAAGGATGATTGCACACACGAGTCTTTTTCCTCTCCTCCCCCATCAAATTTGGCCATTTTAAACAGTTCCGCCACATTGCGTACCTCCCCCTCAATTGAATTCGCTGACTACTAAAAGTCTTTCTGTGATTTGTGTCAAAAGACTGTTTTCGGGATTTAAAGATGGGAAACAAATATGAATCATGATTTGGTGACTCGTATGTTCATTGTCTACTGACCTACTACTATTACTCATCGTCGTCCGGCTGAAACTTTTTGCAGATTTACGTATTTAATAAGGCAGGGAGAAACGAAAAATAACAGAAAAGAGGAACAGGTTTATGCTATACACCATATTCTTTTTTTTGTTTTGTTGATCGAAGAAGTGGTCAAACAGAATAATCATTAGTTCCAGGAAATCAGCTGTTAGTAGCGGTTACATTCAAATATCGATATTTCAGACTACAGAATCGTAGTCGGAAGTTTTATATAGTCATAATCGACTGTTCATTGTGACATGGATTAACTTGGATTACAGTTTTCGATTAGATGAAGTGTAGAGAAAGGCCGACGATCAATCACGTTCATTCCTATCCAGAATCAATGTGTCGAATGTCACAAAAACGGAAATTTCGAAAATTTTCAGAATATGCAAACAGACAATTCAATAAAAAATTCTATAGACATTTTTTCATGTTCCCGTACATACTGCCACAAACCAAATAAATCAAAATATTAAACAAGTTATAATTTTATTTCAGTGGTAAATTTTATTCCAAGGATAACACTGCAGATGTAGATGAGGACTACAATCCGAATACACTCCAACTCATGTTTTATCTTGATTCCAGATCTCCACTGTACTCATCAAAAGGACAGATGATTATCATTTTTCCGTTCAATCCTTCTTTTGGTCAGACACCGAACAACTTCGTAATGATTTCTGTATTATTGCTTTCTCCTTTTTTCTTCTTCTTCTTCTAATTTTCGATTTTGTCCTTTGTAAAAAAAGAGACTACAAAGCACAATAAAGATCATCACCACCCCCACGAACGATTTCTCTTCTCCATCAGAAAACTTGACGAATCGTCACAGAGAACGAGAGATAATCGTCTAGTTTATTTCACTTTCAATATGAGATTTGACTGTATCTGAAGAGGAGTAAAAAATTAACCGAAGATCAACTAGTTACACGGAGGCGTTGCTCTTGAGCAGGTTGAAAGTTTTATTAGGATTATTCAAATAGTGACTGATTCATTGGGCACCTCCAATAACATCTCAACCATTGGTGCTGAAAAAAAGAAGGATGGGAAACGAAAGAGATGGAAAGCTTTTGATTAAAATTAGACGAAGAATTCTCTCAAAAGAATTCTTCATTTTGCAATTTCCCCTCCAGACTCGCCGGGCAAATGAAATTCTGGTGGCCCCGCCGTCTTTGAAGAACTTTGGGACGTTAATCGTCATTATTTGATTTTGCAGAACTGATAACTAACATGAATTATAGACTGCCAGGTGTGCTTGAATAACCTTTATGAATAGATTAACTGAATTATCGCAATGCTTGTTCTATTTTTTCTGGTGATTCAGTGTACTGTTTTAGAAATTAAGAGTTGGAATTCACTCGAAATATTTAAAAAAAACTGAAATTTTATATATTGTATTGGCAGTGGAACGTTCTAAAAGTCTTTTGGTTTTTTGATCCTTATAATTTTTCTTGTCCTTGGATGTTTTTTTGGCCCTTTGAAAAGTCTAGGAATATCAGAAATTCCATAAAGTCCAAAAAAAACATTTTTAGGATAATTCCAAGTTTCTGATTTTCTGTTTAAAATTTCTAAATTTCCTGATAAATTTGTTTCAAAAATCTGACTTTTTTGAAGTGATCAGATTTTTTTGGAGTTTTGGAGTTTTCCGATTTTTTTTAATTACTGGTATTCCTAGAACTTTCAAAGAACCAAAAAGATATATAGGGACTAAAAAAACCGACTAGAGTCCAACTTTCGATCCGCCTTAAATTTCGAATTTCTTAAATTTTCGATTTTCTATGAAATCCAAAAGTACCATTTGATAGGATAAACACCTTAATCTTGTATTAGAACACCAGACGTCAAACTTCCTAAAGAGGAGACTTAAACACATCTTGTCCTGCTTAACTTTTATTTTCAGCTATCCGGAAAAATGCAAGACCCGCAACCGGCTTATTATGTACATTTTTTTTTTCAGAAAATTCAAAATTAGTCATGAAGAATTTTTAAAATTTTTATTTCATTTACTCTTTTCAATTTTAATTAGATTCTCATGATTTTTTCAAAAGACGTCTACCACAGAACAACATACTTCCTCAAATTTCAAGAGACGTTCAAGAAATCCATGCTGAAACATTTATGAACAGGAAATCCGAACTACTCCGAAAACAAATTTTTTTTTGTCATTGAATTGTTTTTTTTTTCGTATCAGGCATCGTTGAAAATCTTTGTTGAAAACTTTCACTATTTCATCAAAAAGTGTTTCAATTGACCATGTTTTTCAAAATCCAAAACACAAAGTGCATAGAATGAAAATTAGATTGAGAATAAATAGAAAGTGATTGTTTTACTTCCTTTTTCCATGTTTTCCTTTCATTAAAATTTCTGCCACGAGATCAAAGGACCCTTGTAGCTGGCTACGAACTCGGTACATCTGGTGGGCGGTCTCTGTTTGTTTCTACTTGAGCAGTGGAATCCGTAAACATTCAAAGACTTCTACTTCTTTTTTTCACACTTCTTTTTAAGTCTAGATCATCTAAGATCTATCACAAACATTTAAGTGCAAAGAATAAGCATTAAAATTTTATTTGGTTCCAAATAAAATGAGAAACTTGAATCTTTTGGTGATTTGCATGTTGAAACTGACTCCTACATGGAATCTGATACTTCGGAGACAAACGAACATGATTTTTCTACATTTCCGACAGAAATCACATCCAATTTTTCTCCATCTGATTTCTAGCCTACAAACCGCGCACATCAATTAATGCTTCTTTGTTGATTCGATAACAAAAAATCTGACGTCGATCAACTATTCGTTTATCTAGTTGTTCCCAGGTTTAACCAGAAAACATATCCAAGTTTTCATGTGAATCTATTTTTCATGAGCCTCATCTTGCTATCTCATTTTCTCAGATTTTGCGTGCCTGACCGGACGTTTCCTTCCGCTCAGATGACTTTAATTTGAATGTCTTGGAGGCTTCCGAGTTTTAGAATATTTTATTGTTTCGCACGTTTTTTGGTGAATCAAAAGTGAGATTTCAGAGTTTGGGAAATATGGATGTCATGGGAAATTTGATTAAGAAATCGATTTTCGCACTTTTAGATTTTGCAGAGCGGTATGACTTGCATGCAGTATGAAATTAGTTTACAGCTCGGCAAGATCTATTAAATTTATTTGGCATGAGCAATCCCATTATTCTTGTGTTCCCTGAAAAAGTTCCCACGAGCTCCTAGATCACACCTATTCAATTGATAAACAGGTGTAGGTGTAAACTCTCAGGTTTCACAAAATTTCAAACATCAAAACTTCACTCTCTGTCATAAATACTTACTTTCGGTTTTAACTTGTTTTTATTTGTTTCACCCCCTCCCCCATTTGTTTTCAAGGTCATTTCTCGTTTTTTTCAGGATAACTTCTTTATCAAAATTTTCGCATAATTTTTTCAAAATGTTTTTGTTGAATACCACAATCACTCTATTAGAATGGCCCGCCCTTAAATTTGATCCAATTTATCTCGGTTCCTGTGACAGGTATCAACATTTTGTCAACAAATAAAATATTTATTATAATCTCACCAACATTTTATCAGTTGACTACTTTTTCATATCTTATACAGGAAACGAGCTGCATGGGCCTGAAGTTGACAATTTGGGGGGGGGGATTCTATTAGAGTGTTCAACCTTATTTTTTTAAACCGGAAGAATGAAAATAGATTAAAATCCGTGAAAAATATGTGTGAGCATAACATTTCTGCCTTCTGAATTGCCAAAGAAAACATCTTACAATTATTGGGTCCATTCATGAAATTTTCTAAAGGTATTCTAGATCTCTGCTTCTTCCTTGGGAAAAAACACAACTTTTTATACATAACCCGAAATAAGAGTGTGCTACTCGCCTTATATTATTTTTTGCTTCTCATTTTTCAGTCTTTCATCTTTTTTTTCGCAATATAAAATCGTCTTTGACATATTCTCCAAGCTTCTTAGCAAGAGAATACGCAAGAAAAAAAAGAGAAAATAAATGCAAGGATCTTCTGGAAGAATATGCGGACCATTATATTTTAAGGAATTCGAATAAATTCAGTTTAATTTTTTTTTCCATCTCTCCTTATACCACTCCTTTTCGTTTATGCATGTCAAATGTTCCCTTCTTCTTCTCCTCATTTTTTTTACAAATCCAAGTTTTTCAGAGTTTCCATGCAACAAAATGTGCTTGAAGTCATTGTGGCAGTGGCATGGCGTTTGGAATATTTGGAAATCTGAATGTCATTGTGGCGATATGCAGAAAAAAGATCCTGAGAACCAAAGGAGGTATAATTATTACAATAAACGGGTTCCTTCTAGATTCTAGATTTACAGCAATGTTTGTAATGGTCCTGGCCTTTGCTCACTTGACATGCAACATTTCGGAAATTGTTGGATTGTTTTTGCAGTTGAGGTGAGCTGGTTTTTTGAAGTTTTTTGTGACCTCAATAGTCCTTGTTAAAATTTACGAAAAAAAATACATTTCCAGATTCCGTCCAATGTCTAGAAAGAAATGTTTTGAATACAATGTGCTCTTCAGTTTTGCTGTGATGTTTCAGTCTGCCCTGTACTTGTCAATGGCTCTGGATATCTGTTTCAGCATAGTTTTGCCTATTAAGTAATCATTGAAAAATTCCGAGTGTTCAGTTTTTAATTTTTATAGACACATGATCTGGAAAAAACGAAATTATGTCACTTCAATGTGTCTCTTTCCCACTATCTTTGCCATCTCAACCACACTGGTCAGCTTCCTTTTTATCCCCGACGAGGAGACACCGCACTGCATTTTTATGCTAAGTGAGCCAATTTGCCATATGTTTCTAATTAAAACCCGTTGTGTTTTCCAGCAACAGAAATGCAAATATATCAAATGGTCTCCAGTTCGTTAATTGTTCTAAACGTACTCACTCTCTTCATCATAATATTTTCTGTCATTTGTGCAGTTCGGAAATGTAAGGAATTCAGAAAAATGAATTCAACGTTTCAATTAAACATTTTCAGCGGAAAGTATGCGTAGCAGTCGACACTCTAGTGGATCCAGAACCAACAGTTTACGAGAAGAGAAAAACAAAGTTTTCCGATCAACGTTCTTTTTGGTTCTCGTTTATATTATATCTTGGTGGTCAGCGGTCATTATATTCCGAATCATCGTCGAGTTTGTCAAGGATGTCCGGGAAGTTGTTCACTTCATGCCATACTTGGTAAATGAAATCTTTTCAACAGAAATGAAGCATCTAAAAATTGATTACAGGTCATCATAGTAATGCCAAACTTCTGCCAAGCTTATTATGTGACCTATTTCCGATCTCCAAGGTTCCGAAAAGCGTTCCGCGAACAGTTCCACTGGATAACTTGCGGATACGCATTTCCAAAAATATTCGACAAGGAAATAAGTAGAGGAAGCAAACATGGAAGTGCCACGAATTCTGCACATGCAGCACCACCGAATACTGATTCCGATGGAAAGAAATTCAAAAGTGGAAGTCAAAAATCGATTCGATTTTCTGTCACTGCTGTTCAAGCTCATATTTGATGTTTAATTAAATTTAACATTTTCGAATGATTTAATACAATTTGTTCAATATGTATCTTGGAGATCTCATATCATTGATAAATCAGATTACGGTTTTTTATGATCTTAATAAATGATTATTGCCTGCTCCTATAACTTGGTCACTTAAAAAATTATGAAGTTCACACTGAATGTCTGGATCTCCGAACATCTAAATCTCTCCAAATTAGTTCCTCAATTACAGCTTTTCTTAATTTCTGTAAATCTGTGATGCCATTAAAAAGTTCAAAAGTTCAGATATTGGTGTCCCAATTCCTTTCAGCTAGAGATCAATAGTTTGAACTAGATTCCTGTAACAATTGTTCATTTTCTGATCCAATTCTCAAAAGTTCGAAAATCCAGCGAAAACATTCAATTAACCTACAAAATCAACGAACTATTTGTTACCACATCCAATTAGCATATTCCTTTCGATGTCCTGCTTTCTTTTTTGGGTATAAAGGTCAGAAGAAACGATTCACAAGAATCGACAAAATGAGACAAGACATCCAGTGTCTACGAGGTGTTGCTATTCTTTTCGTTCTCGCTTACCATCTATATCCATCACTTTTTGTCAATGGTTTTCTTGGAGTTGATATGTGAGTTATTTCAAAAATCACCTTTTTAAAAAAGTTTTATCTTGTTTCAGTTTCTTTGTCATTTCTGGATACCTTATGGCCCAAAACTTGACAAAGTCGAAACTAGAATCCGTCTTCAATTTTTTCAAGTTCTACTACAGAAGGTTTCGAAGAATTCTTCCTCTCTATTATCTAGTTGTATTTGTGACTCTTGTTCTGGTTCATTTGTATCTCGGGGATTTTTGGTGGTACACAAACAGAAGATACTCCCTGGCTTCTTTGTTTTTGGTGACCAATCAGCTCATCATTCATGACAGTGCAGATTATTTCAGAGAGGTATTTTTTTAGAATTCAGAATTTGAAGTTATTGTCAAGCTCTAACTTTTCCCCATGTCCCTTTACCATAAAAAGTCACTATTTCCAGTTCCTTGCCGATGGTTCTTCTTTGAACGCATTCATCCATTTATGGTCTCTTGGTGTTGAAATGCAGTTCTACCTTCTGGTCCCATTCATCTTCTTCGGGCTCCAATTTTTGAAAGACGACTTATTCAGACTGATTGCTGTTTCATTAACTACTCTGATCGGCTTCATAGCATTTGTATTCATCAATCAGCAATTTGCATTCAACTTCATGTTCCTTCGTCTCTGGCAATTTTCCGCAGGATTCGTTGCATTATTCTGGAAGAAAACAAGCTTCTACAAATACTCGGAGAAACTGAAACCTGCTAAAATTGAAATGGCGATCCCAATCGAGAAAGATGATCTAGTCACTGTTTCTCTATCAATTATCGCATTGTGTATTTTGCCCAACAAGATTGAAGTTCTTCTGCTAAGACCTTTCGTAACTTTGGCGACATCGTTTGTAATTGCCAGTGAATCCCAGGAAAATCAGGTACATTTTCAGATTATTTTTTCACAGATACTGTTTATTTTTCATTTTAGTTCTTGAAATCAACAACTCTTTCCTACATTGGCGACATTTCTTATGTGATCTATCTCGTTCATTGGCCAATTATTGCAATTTTCCTGACATCGACACTGAAGTGCTACTTGTTTTGTATCAGTAAGTTTTTGAAATTCGAATCACAGCATTTTTTTTAAACACTTATTTTAGTAGTCACCGTCTTGGCTTCCATTATGCTACACCACCTTTTCGAAAAACAGTACTTACGCCTTGATTGGAAAGTGATGATCCCGTTGATTTTCTTTCTGGTTCTGAGCAATGCATATTTGCAAAACAGTGTCAGAGAACACAGTTTCTGGAACAACACTTTCCCAGCTGAAGTTCAAGAGATCGTTCAGAAAAATAAGATAATGCTCCCAAACGTTTGGGAAACAACATTTTCCAACAATCGAAAAGATCCAAAAGATCAATGTGAAGAAAAAGTATTAGAAAATCTGGAAGGAAGAGAACAAATTTTTGGATATTGCAAATACCCTGTAAGCTCATTTTGTTACCAATTTGTTTAATGCAGTAGTCATTTTCAGAAAGGACATGGAAATTTCTCAATCATGATGATCGGAAACAGTTATGTCATGAATCTCAATGAACCAATCAGAACACAATTCAACTACAACTATTCCGAATATCGAGCCATTTCTATCGGAGGTTCTTCTCAGTTCTCAGTTTTTCACTAAAGTTTATTTTTTCAGAAGGATACGGATTTTATGCCGATTCACCAGGATCTCAACGAGCGTTGGAAATTTTCCAGAAACAAGTTCAGGAACACAAACCGGATGTTGTCTTTATATCAGCCAGGTTTACCTTTTCTATTTGAATGATTCTCCAACTTTTCTTTCAGATACTCCCCCACCATCAGAGCTCCATTGAAACCAAACGATGAATATCTACAGAAAATGAATGAAGGAATAGAGTTTCTAGAGAAATACGCGAAGAAAATCTACATATTGGGATCGCATCCTTTGTATAATCTGAATTTCCTAAACTTCTTTTTACATTACGCAGTCCAACGGTCATCAGAACTCGAATCTCTTCACCTGAATAAACATAAAGCAGACGAAGAAATGAAATATGTAATGAAACGGTTTAGTATGGTGAAGTGCAGCAAATGTCAAGTGGGTGAACTGAAAATCATCGAAATTAAAAATATAGTTTTCAGTTCTACGATTTGAGCCATGTATTTGTGGAGGGTGATAAGTACCTGACATTCGACCGAGAACAGATGCTTTCCTACGTGGATAACTCCATTCATCTAACCAAACCAGCACTCGATTTATGCGAACCAGTTTTCAAAAGAATCGCAAATGAAATCCTGGACGTTATTTAAAACAACCTCATAGTATTTGTTTGTACTGGTATCAACCAATTTTTTTTGAATCTCTCCCTCTAATTTTTCTCCGGTTATGACAGACAAATTATTGGTAATGAAGCATGTAAATAAAAGCGGATTTGAAAAATTTTCAAACTACAGACAATCGGTGGTCTACCGAATGTTTCTATGAAGTTTTCTTCTTGATCTCTACGATCCGAAGGCAGATGAGGTCTCCCGGTTATGCGTTTTTAGATTGATCTTTTGCTTTTTGTTTGATTCTGGACTTTTGATCTGCATTCCGATTTTCGATTGGAAAGGGAAATTGAAAAGAAAATAATTTCAAAAAGAAAAAACACATATCATACTAGACACAAAATGTTTCGCTTCTTTCACTTTTGTAAGAAAATTAAACAGAAATCCAGTCCTGGTTTGACTTTTGAAAAACCGTACTCGACTATTTTTGGAAATTTTATGGGCCCGAGTTGTCAGCAACTTTTTCCTGCCTTTTCAAAAAACATTTCTGGGTCCATTAAAAAATTAACACATTTTCTGCCAAAGTTTGCAAAAAACTGAACAATTTTTATCACAAAAATTTTTCAAAAGTAGTGTCAGTAACCAGGGCCAACCGGGCCTGGCCGAGCTGAAGAAGTGCCCTGGTATTTCAGTAATAGTACAAATTATGAAAAGTTTCACCTAAATATTCCAAGAAAAAACAACCTGGCTAACATTCTGGTTTTTCAATTATTCAAAAACTTTGTTATATATATTTTTTTCTCGAAATTCTCTAAAGATGAAAATCTGACTATGAGTTTTAGCCTTATTTTTGTACACAAATTAATAGATTATATATTGAAACTGTTTGAGAAAGCAAACTATTCAAAAAATAAAAACTAATAGTAGAAGGAAGTGGTTACATTTTGTTTTCCGGTTTCCCAGATTTCAAAAACGATTTTCCCGTTTTCCCAAAATGCTTCTCAAAACTCATCCTTATTTATTTCCTCTGTAGTTTGACTTCCATCTGATTCGTATCGAGATCATTCGGACGTTTCTAGATTAGCTTTTCCGGATTTTTGCGCATTTTAGATCATTGAAGCTTCACCATCCCTCTGTCGGACTTTTAATTTCTTTCTTTCATCTTTGATGCAGGTTTTGACAGACCCTGTTTTACGTTAAGTCGGTTAATCTTTCGTTCTTTAAAATATTATCACAAAAAAAAACAATGAGACTGGATCTACAATGTCTTCGGGGTATAGCTATTCTACTTGTATTGATCTTTCATCTTTTCCCCAAAGTGTTCATAAATGGATTTTTGGGAGTTGACATGTGAGTACATCAAGGATAAGTTACCATGCTACAGTTTTATAACTACAGATTTTTTGTGTTATCTGGATTTTTAATGGCCCAAAACTTGACAAAAACGAAACTGAAAGGGATCAATGGCTTCATTTCTTTTTATTACAGAAGGTTGAATTATCATTCCAGAAACTTCAACATCCCGGTGTTTTTTTTTCAACATTTCAGATTCCGAAGAATTCTTCCTCTATACTATCTAATTGTGTTCTTAATAGTTCTTCCTCTATACTATCTAATTGTGTTCTTAATAGATAATGGTACATTTGTATCTAGGTGATTATCTCTGGGAGAACAACAACAGATATTCTCTGGCATCTCTGTTTTTGGTTACTAATCAACAAGTCATTTATGACAAGGATGATTATTTCATAGGGGTAGAATGCATCGTATTTCGCTAACTTGAAACTTTTTAATTTTTTTTCAGTTTTTCACATCCACAACATCTATTAATGCATTCCTTCACCTGTGGTCCTTGTCCGTGGAAATGCAATTCTATGTACTTGTTCCATTCATTTTCCTAAAGCTGCAGGATTTAAAAGATGATAATCAGAAAGTCTGGCTGTTAAATTATCTCTTCATATATGTACAACTTTTACATTTCAGTTCATCACGGTTTCATTGATAACCCTCCTTGATTTTATTGCACACGCTGTGGTTGAAGACTCATTCGCATTCAATTTCATGCTTCTCCGCCTGTGGAATTTTCAGCTGGTTTTATGGCCGTTTTTTGGAACAAAATCAAATTTAAAAGTTTCCCTAAAGAAAAAGACGAACAAAATGGGACTATTTTTGAATTTCCATTTGTCGAAAAAGACCTATTCACACTATCTTTGTCAATTCTGGCATGCTTTCTATTACCAAACAAAATCAATGTTCTGATAATGCGCCCACTGGTCACATTGGCTACTTCTTTCATTATCGTAGCTGAAAATAAGAATTGCCGGGTAGTCAGGTGTATCCTATGAATGTATTATGAAAAAATTTCAGATTCTAACATCTGAAACACTGGGATATATTGGAGACATCTCACACGTATTGTATCTAGTACACTGGCCAGTGATTGCTATATTTCAGCCGTACACAGTTAAAAACTATGTATTCGTAATACGTAAGTAGTTAACGTACATGTTAAAAATATTAATTTCTTTCAGTTTTCACTTTCCTGTCTTCTATCTTCTTCCATCACTTTTACGAGCAGAAATATTTGAAATTAGATTCGAAAATTTTGATTCCATTTGTGGTAATATTGATTCTTGGGAACGCTGTATTGCAGTACAGCAAGCAGTTTCTGGAAAATGGAATACCCAGCAGACCTTCAAGAAGTAATTGATGCCAACAAAGCACAACTACCGTATTCCTGGGTTCGCGAGCCGATAGATTTCGGCTGCACCGAACAGCCAATAGACAATTCAGAAGAGGTTTCCAAAATAATCATCGGTTATAATACATGTCCCGTTAGTTTTGTAACTTTTTTAACTCTCGAAACGAAATGGAAAGAATTTCAGAATGGTCGTGGAAATATTTCAATCATGATGATTGGAAACAGCTACGTTCTGAACATGAGAAATCCAATTCAAGCCCTTTTTAATTACAATTACTCAAGTTTCAAATACAGTGCTCTTGGAGGTATATCAACCTCATTTTCAAATATCATCTGAAAATTTCAGATTCCTACGGATTCTACGCAAACAATCCTGGGTCTTACGCAGCGGTGGATTACAATCTGCGAGAGCTTGAACTTTACAAACCTGATGTCTTGTTCATATTGAATAGGTAAATTATAGTTTCCATCTATTTTATTAGAAACTTGATGTCAGATATCCTATATCCCTCAGAGGACCAATAGAAGAAAATGATGTTCATGTTCAACAATTGAATGAAAACCTCAAGTCTTTTGAGAAGCATGTGAAGAAAATTTACATTATGGATACACATCCGTTATATAAATTTGGATATGTTGATTTCTTTTTGCAAAACGTTGTTAATCGACCTGAAGCTCTAGAAAGTCTTCATTTAGACCGTAGAGAAGCGGATAAAGTAATGAAATACACAAAAGAACGATTCAGTATGGTGAAATGGGAAAAGTGTCAAGTAAGTCATTGAGAACTAATTTCCAATCATCTGAAATTTCCAGTTCTTCGATCTCAGCCACGTGTTTCTCGACGGAGATAAGTATTTGAATTTCGACCGAGACACTCTAGTATCTTATATTGACAACACTGTGCATCTCTCTCCAGCAGGTCTGAAGTTATGTGAACCTGTGTTTAAAAAAATTGTTGAAGAAATTATGAACGAAATCTGATCTCTTAAAAATGAACATTTTACATTATTTTGAATACCTGTGCACAATACACCGACAACAGCCGAGAAAACTTTTTCCTGGATTAATTTCTTAAAAAATCATGTTTCCGGCGTTATTCCCTTTTTTGAATTTGAACAAATCAACATCATTCGGAAGGTCCTCCATTTCAATATTGGTCTTCTAATTTTTGAACTAGCTTTTTCCAAATTTCGAACTTGAATTAGGTCCAGTTGTATCAATTCGTGATCTGTGTTGTTTTTTTCTTCGTGATCTTCTGTATGTCTGTAGCCTGCTTCATAAATATTATCCGACGCCACTTGGGTCTCGCAAACGTGTTTCATTCATCTTTTAACACCGTCTAATTTCGGCAGGAGACGATTTTTGAAAGACATTCCCGCCTAATTCCTACAATATAATTGACTTTTTGGGATCAAAAAAGATTTCCAGGATGAGACTAGATATTCAATGTCTTCGTGGTATTGCTATCTTACTTGTATTCCTTTTTCATCTTTTTCCAGATACAATTGTGAATGGTTTTTTAGGAGTTGATATGTAGGTTCCTTATGCATATTCTGAAAATCTATTGGATTTCAGATTTTTTGTAATTTCCGGATTTCTGATGGCAAAAATCATAACTAAAACTAGGATCACTAAAGCCAATGACTTTTTGTTGTTTTATTACAAAAGGTTAGTACTCAATTCTAACATAAAAAATTACAGTTTTTCAGATTTCGAAGAATTCTTCCGTTGTACTTCCTAGTTATATTTGGTACTGTAATAATGGTGCATTTTTATTTGGGAGAGTATCTCTGGAAAAACAATAACAGATATTCTTTGGCTTCTCTATTTCTGGTTACTAATCAGCTAGTGATTCACGATCAAGCTGATTATTTCAATGCGGTATCAAAAGTATATAATGATTGTCCCAGAAAATGTATGTCTACAGTTTTTCACTATGACCTCATCTATCAACGCATTCCTTCATCTCTGGTCCCTATCAGTTGAAATGCAGTTCTATCTACTTGTTCCATTCATTTTCTTAGGACTCCAGATGCTAGAGCACAATTATCTGAAGGTGATTTTTATCATTTTCTTGCTTTTGACAGTTTCTATTTTTCAGTTAATTGCAGTATCTCTAATTACCATTATTGGCTGTATAGCGTATCTCCTCGTTCTCGAACAGTTTGCTTTTAACTTCATGCTGCTTCGGCTATGGCAGTTTTCCGCAGGCTTTGTTGCGTTATTTTGTGCCAACCCGGAAAAACTTCCAAATAAAGCTGAACTTTCAAAAGACGTCATTTTCAAGTTTCCATTTACAAAAGACGACATTTGTACCGTTTCTCTAGCAACTCTGGGATCATGTTTGATACCACAAAAACTGAATGTTATGATATTACGACCAGTGGTTACACTGTCTACTGCTATCATAATTTCATCTGAAAACAAAAACTTCCAGGTACGCAACAGTTTATTCTCATCAAATTTATGTATTGACAGATTCTCTCTTCTAAACTTCTTGGTTATATCGGAGATGTTTCTTATGTGCTCTATCTGGTTCATTGGCCTCTTATTGCCATTTTCCCTCCATTCACAATTCAAAACTATCTGTTTTTAATTGGTAAAGTTTTCCCTTTCAATATCAGAAATACTGTGGATTATTTCAGTATCCATATTCTTGATTTCCACTGTTTTGCATCACATTTATGAGCAGAAGTACTTAACACTGGACTGGAAATCGATAACTTTACTTTTGTCGGTTTTGATACTCGGAAACGGACTTCTACAAATCAATATCAGACGAGAGGGCTTTTGGAAGAATGATTTCCCCACCGATATTCAGGAAATTATCGATACAAATAAAGCACAGCTTCCATATTCATGGTCTCACGAACCGAAACGTTTTGAGTGTACCGAAGAGAAAATAGGAGATCAGATTGAAGATAATCGAGTTTTCGGATATGGCTCATGTATTGTCAGTATTCAAAATATTTTTTGTAATTTTTGAGCATAACTGAATTCCAGCGCGGCAATGGCAACTTTTCGATAATGATGATCGGGAACAGCTATGTCATGAACTTGAGAAATTCAATTCGGACCCAATTTAGTAGCAACTACACCGACTTTCGATACGTTTCACTTGCAGGTACAACTCAATATATTTTTTCTTTCGTAATATTTCAATTTTAGCTGGCTATGGGCTCTATGCTGATACTCCAATCTCTCATCTTTCTCTCGAAATTTCTAGAAAAAACGTTGAACGATACAAACCTGACATTTTGTTCATATTGGCCAGGTACTAAAGGATTTGAACTCATTTGAAAGGCATTTTTTTCAGGCACTCTTCGTCCATAAAACAACCAATCCAGGAAGATGATGAGTTTGTTCAGCAAATGACTGAAAATATCAAGTATTATGAAAAATTTGTGAAGAAAATTGTCATACTAGATCCTCTTATTCTATTCCCACTTGGGTTTGTTGATATATTTTTGCAAAATGTGGTCCATCGACCTGAAGCTCTGGAAAGAGTTCATTTGAACCAAAGGATAGCTGATAAAGAAATGAAATTTGCGAAGAAACGTTTCAGTATGTTGAAATGTACTAAGTGTGAAGTAAGTTCTCATATAAATTATCATCATGGTCTTCGATGCTTTTTTTCAGTTCTTCGAGTTGAATCATGTCTTTTTGGAAGGGGACAAATATCTGACATTCGATCGAGATACTTTGATCTCTTATGTGGACAACACAATCCACCTCAGTTCTGCAGGACTAAAAATGTGCGATAATGTGTTCAAAACAGTTGCTCAACAAGTTATGGATACGATTTGAAAATCTCAAAAAAATACAATAATAAATATAATGTATCGTAAATTGTGTTAGAATTTTAATAAAAACTGTGAAAAACTCCGAACAGGTAGCACAATAAAGGAGGAGGGACGGGAGATCTTTCGGATGACCGCTTTTATGTATGCCATCGGGACCTATCTTTTCTCCACAGGTAAAGGGGGACTGCCGAAAAACTGCTAAATGACAGCTGAAGAGGCGCAAACTGGCGAATGACTGCTAGTTGGCAGCCGAAGGAGAACCGACGGGCCGTCGACGGTCCGTCGACGGACAGTCGGTACCGATTGGAAAACATACTTGAAGGTTCTGATTGGAAATCATGCAGAAAACAATTTCTCCTACTCCCACTAGATTATAAGAAATGATAGAATCTTATTTTCCTCAAATATGACCACCTCAAAAAATAGGTTGTTGAACGACTGCTAAATGACAGTCGAAGAGGCGCTGACTGCTCAACGACCGGTGGTTGGCGGTCCAAATTCCTTCAGAATGGAAAATTTTGTTGAAAAAATAGTTCTCTCTAAAAACATCATAACAGTCATAGAGGGGTCTGGGAAGCTAAAAAATGCGTTATTAGAAGCATTTCTATATCAATTAGGATTTGAGGCGAGGTTGGTGAAAAACTGCTAAATGACAGTCGAATAGGCGCTGACTGGTTGATGGCGGCTGAATAAAAAAATATGTTTGAACATTCCTTGGTATATATCTAGAAGCATGTGTTAGCATTTTCGTGTTCCAAGATCTTTACTCGAGTTGTCATTGCGTGATAATAATCAATCGTTCAGGACACATGTTCTCGGTCATATTTTTCAATTTGCTTAAGATTTCCGACGAAATTTGTTTTTAATTTTGTACAATTTGTGTCTGAAAGTGCTATTTTTCCGTTTTTTTTCAAAAATCACAACAATTCGTTTTTAAATGCCGTTTTATAACTGCCGAGTTTCAAAATTTCGGTCATAGAGATTTGCAACGACACTCCGAAATCCCGGCTGCGCCTTGTTTAGCGGCACAAGACTTTACTAATTTTTCGTCTTTTTTTCAGTTTCTTTCGCTTTTCGAAGTGTTCTCTTATTGAAATTCAGTATTTTTCGCTTAATTTATCTACCTACTGGCATAAAGAAGCACTGAAAAGCTTTGCGCACTTTCGCTCTGCGCGTTTTTAGTTGAAAACGCAGAAAAAATCGCCGAAAACTCCTTGCGATGAAAGTTTCGAAAGTTTCGCTTTTTTTTGCTTCGGAACGTTACAAATGCAGCCTTTCAGGAGTTTTTATATGGTGAGTTGGTAAGTTTTTATACGTTCCGAAGCAAAAACTATCGTAAACTCTGAAATTGTTCATGCGTTGTCGAAAATTCACCTCGCCGATACTTCATAGGTGTGACGTTTTGCAAGTGCACTGTTTGGAAAGTAACAACTTTGCAAGGTTCGCACAAAAATTAATACGGAAATCAGTTTTTGCTGTTTCTGACTCGTTTTTTAAATTTCACATGCGAAACCTCGCCCTTTTGAAGTCTGCTTTAAAAATGCCGCAGAGCCAAAAAATCTAAAGATTTTTTTTACTTGCCAGTTTTTAGTGTTGCGAACGCATCAATTTTACTTATTTTGAACGTACGCGAAACGTAAGCGAAAAATACTGTTCAATGAGAGAAATGTACATACCGAAAAACGAAAAAAGTTGAAAGGGAGAAACGAAGAAGAGAAAGAGAACGAAAGGAAATAAAAAAGCTTCTGATTTTTCGAGTTGAGTTTCTATGAAATTTGAGTTTTGCGAAAACACAGAAAGAAAATCGGAAGTTCTGTCTCATTCAGAACTTGTGATTTCTTATGTGTTTTCTCTTGTTCTACTCATAAAAACTCACCTTTGAAAAAATCAGAGTTACTTTTTAAAAAACAATACACAATCCACAGAAACTATTAGTTTAATAAAGAATTTCTATTGTTTATTACCTGTTTAATGATGAACTGTCAAGAAAGCGCTATCATTTTTGACGGCCCGTCTTCGAGGCGCAAATCGTTGCAGACGGACCGTCGGCGGCGCGCGATTCGACTGCCGACTGTTCGCTTTTCGGCAGTCCGCGCCCGCCAGACGGCCCGTTTTTTGGCAGTCCCCCTCTACCTGTGTCGCGTAGCTTATTCAATAACTGCACAACAACTTCAATTAGGGTTTGCAACGGGGCTCTCGCATTTACGCGGGAGCCCCCAAAGCAGGGCGGGGATTCGCCCGCGCTCCACCCGTTGAAAAAAAATTATGCTGTATCATAAGTTTTGTTTTTTTGTGATTCATGGTACTCAACTAGTCTACCCTGAAAGTTACAAGCCAAATGATTCTTTCAATTACGCGTGATTACGTAAAATATGTCGCCTTGAGGGGCAGGATCAAAACCCCAAATCTCCGCCCTTGGCTTCGCGGGGCGGGGTCGCCTTAATTCCATCACTGGCCAACCGCATCTTCAGTACTTCTCCCATATGTTCAACACCCCGAGCGACTTCTATGAACAAAAATTCGAGACATTTTTTCAAGTCCCCAGACCATCTCACAACTTTCTTTCCCAGCAAACAACAGCCGACGTCAATCCAGGAACCAGTTCGGTTTAGATCTAAACTTAACGAACGAATACAGTTTCGCTTTCTCTCTTCCGCGATACAATATGACTTTTTTGAATACGCTTATTGGAAGATAGCATCTTTTTTTGCATTGAATGATAACTTTGATCAATTTTTTGAATTACAGGAATATATTTTAGAATGAGAGAAGATATACAATGTCTCCGTGGGTTGGCTATTTTGTTCGTTTTGAGTTTTCACCTTGCACCAAATCTATTCGTCAACGGATTCTTGGGAGTTGACATGTAAGACAATCTTCGATTCTACAAGTACTAAAGTCTTCTTTCAGATTTTTCGTGATTTCTGGATTCTTGATGGCAAAAAATTTGACAAAATTAGACTTGTTAAACGTTCATAATATTCTGCTGTTTTATTATAGAAGGTATTTTTATGATTTTCTATTTTTCAAATTCGTCTGTTTAAACTTTTTCCAGGTATCGAAGAATCTTGCCCCTGTATTTATTATCAGTGTTCGCTATACTGATAATGGTTCATTTATGTTTACCAGATTTGTTATGGTGGAACAACAATCGGTATTCTTTAGCATCTTTGTTTCTGATAACTAACCAACTTGTGATCCACGATGAGGCTGATTATTTCTATGAGGTAAAACTCAGTTCTTGATAAAAATTTTCATTAAATTTGTTGCAGTTTTTATCGTCGTCTTCTTCTATGAACGCATTTTTGCATTTATGGTCTCTTTCAGTTGAAATGCAGTTCTACCTCCTGGTACCATTTATATTTTTGGGTCTCCAGTTTCTCAAAAATGATTATCTAAAGGTTTGTTTTGTGAGCTTATACTTTTTGAATATAAACCATTTCAGCTCGCAGCTTCTTTTCTAATCACCGTTTTTACATTCATCGGATTCGCAATGGTCTTGGACAGGTTCGCCTTCAACTTCATGTTTCTCCGCTTGTGGCAATTTTCTGCCGGCTTCATCGCATTGTTCTGGACCAGAATAAATAAAACAAAACTGCCAGAAAAATCTGAAACAGATGTGAAGAAAAAATGGAGTAGCCCAATAAATCAAAACGATTCAGTGATTATTGCTCTATCAATTCTTTCCCTTTGCCTCCTTCCATCTGGGATCGATGTGTTGTTTTTAAGACCGGTGGTCACGATAGCAACATCTTTCATTATTGGATGCGAAGCACAGAATGTACAGGTACTTTTTCCAGTAATTATAGTCATTTCAATAAAAATTTCAGCTATTCACATCCAAAACTCTTGGATACATTGGAGACATTTCCTATGTAATGTACTTGGTTCACTGGCCAATCATATCGATTTTGTTTTCATCAGGAATCAAGAGTTACATTTATTGCATACGTAAGTAAAAGTTTTTAGCGATAATCATATGAAAATACTTTCAGTTTTGATATTCGTGATATCGATTCTACTTCATCACATCTTCGAGAAGCAATACCTGAAACTCGACATGAAAGGGATTTTCCCTCTTCTTCTTCTTCTGATATTCATTAATGCATATTCACAGTATAGCGTCCGGTATGATAGTTTCTGGAATACCACATACCCAGAAGAAGTGCAAAAGTACGTAGACGCCAATAAAGCACAACTTCCATTGTCTTGGTTGGTAGAACCTAAAAAAGATGAATGTGTCAAGGAAGATCTGAAGGATAACTCAATTTACGAATCAAGCAAATTTGGTTACGGTAGATGTTTGGTGAGCTTTTTTCTCCTAAACTTTTCTCATCGACGATTTTAGCATGGCAACGGAAGTTTCTCCATTATGGTCATTGGGAATAGTTACGCCTTGAATTTGAGGGACACCATTCGTTCCCAGTTCAATTATCAATATTCAGATTTTCGATATGTTTCTTTAGCAGGTACCGGGAAAATTGTTTTCGCTTCCAAATTTTGTGATTTTCAGAAAGTTATGGAATCTACGCAAACAGCTACTGGTCAGCGAAGGCACTGAACATTTCAAAAACGAAAGTTGAACTTTACAAGCCTGATGTCCTTTTCATCACCGCAAAGTTAACTTCAACCTGAAGCAGTTTCCAAGTTTGATTTTCAGATATCCACTGTCATTGAGAGATTCCATCAGCGAAAACGATACAAAAATTGAGGAGATCAATGAAAATATCAAATTCTATGAGAAGTTTGTTAAAAAAATCTACATTCTGAATTCGCATCCAGAATATAAAAGGAACTATTTAAGTCTCTTTTTGCGAACTCTTATCTATCATCCAGATGATCTAGGATCTCTTCATCTAAATCGGATTCAAGCCGACAGGAAAATTAAAAATGTAAAGAAACGGTTCAGCATGGTCAAGTGTTCCAAGTGCAAGGTAAGTTTCGAGTCAAGGCAAGCCTGTGCCAAGGCGGGCCGAAGTATTTAGATTAGGGTGATTCTGGGATACGTAGGATACGGTGCCGATCATAAATATATGAAAAAGTGTTTTTCAGTTGATTTTGACAGTTTTCAGGAGCCTGGAGCTTGGCTGTCAAGTGACTTTGAAAACTTTGGAGGTTATAAAACAGACATAGATTGAAAAATTTGCATTTACAGAAATCCCTGAAAATTCCTAGTATTTTAGTTACTTGCTGATTTTTTGAGGACGCCTGCTTTTTTATCATGTTTTCAGTACAAAAATAGGGAATAATGGCGTCCTCCAGAAATCGGAAAATAACTGAAAAACAAGTAATTTTCCAAAAATTTTGTAAATGCATAATATTCAATCTAGGTCTGTTTTATAACTTCGAAAATTTTCAAAGTGATCCGACACTTGACAGCAGAGCTCCAGGCTCCTGAAAATAGACTTTTTCTTATATTTACGGCCGGCTCTGTATGTCACGGCCAGCGGACCCCGGTCGCGGGTTGCACAGCCTTGACACACGGTTATGGTTGACCAAAAGTACCAATTTCAGTTCTTCGATTTGAGCCACGTGTTTGAAGAAAACGATAAGTATTTGACCTTCGACCGAGATCAGCAACTCTCTTTTGTCGACAACACCTGTCATTTAAGTGTTGCCGGATTGAAAATATGCCAACCAGTTTTCGAGAATATTGCCAAAGAAGTTATTAGTAGCATGTAAAACTTGTATAATTGAAACTGACTAATTTCTAATGCTAAGATTTCTAGAATAATTGTAGTAATAAAGATTTACATGGAAAATCCCAGATGTTACTTTCCTCACAAGAAGACAATCCAAAAACAAACCAGTTTCTGATCCTTATCTCATAACCAAAACCACTGCCTTGCTTCCGCAGTATAATTACATACTGGTCACATAATCAATTGGGGATAGTTACTGTTTTTTTTTCATTATCACTGGTAAAGTTGGCTATCGTTATTCGAAAATGAGGACAGATATACAATGTCTTCGGGGAATAGCAATTATTTTTGTTTTGAGCTTCCACTTGGCTCCGAATTTATTTGTAAATGGGTTTCTGGGAGTTGATATGTAAGTTTGGAATTACCTTTCTGCAGTTTGAAATAATTGACTTTTTCCGATTCTTCGTTATTTCTGGATTTCTGATGGCTAAAAACTTGGCAAACTTGGATTTATTGAAATATCAAGACTTTTTATTATTTTACTACAAAAGGTAATTATCTCGTCTTCCCTAAAATCCTATCAGGTTCTTTTTCAGATTCCGAAGAATTCTCCCCATGTATTTCGTATCGATTTTTCTTATAGTCGTTATGGTCCACCTGTATCTCCCAGATTTTCTGTGGAACAACAATAACAGATACTCATTGGCATCTCTATTTCTGATAACTAATCAAATGGTCATTCATGATCAAGCTGATTATTTTAACGAGGTATTTGGAGACTTTAATTTTGAAAATATTCAGAAAAAAGTTCAGTTTTTCTCTTCATCATCCTCAATGAATGCGTTCCTCCATTTGTGGTCATTGTCCCTCGAAATGCAATTTTATCTTCTTGTTCCTTTCATTTTCTTAGGCTTGCAGTTCCTCAAAAATGACTATTTGAAGGTAAGTTTAGAGAATCATGTCAGGTTAATTGAAATATTAAGTTTCAGTTATTCACGGTTTCACTAATCACTGTATTTGGATTTATTGGTTTTGCAATGATCTTGGACAAATTTGCATTCAATTTTCTTTTTCTCCGCTTATGGCAATTTTCCGCTGGGTTCATAGCTTCATTCTGGATGAAAATTCATAAATCTAAACTTCCAAACAAAACTCAAAATGATAAAATAGAATCTGTCAAAGAGAAAAAGTTCAAGTGTCCTTTCAACAAGGAAGATTTTGTGATTATTGCTCTCTCAATCCTGGCTCTATGTCTCATGCCAAACAAAATACCATTATTGATTTTGAGACCATTGGTCACTTTGTCTACTGTTTTAATAATTGGATGTCAGACTGATAAGCTTCAGGTAAGACGTCTTCGTTTATTCATATCCTCGAAAATTCCAAGTTTAGCTCCTACAATCAAAATTTCTGGTGTACATTGGGGATATGTCATATGTGATTTATCTTGTCCATTGGCCAGTTATTTCAATGTTTCTTTCGGCTACAATTCAAAGTTACTTATTTTGTATAGGTACTTTCAATCGTCTTCATTCTATTTTTTATAGAATCTTTTTTTCAGTAACCATCATTGTGGCATCTATTATTCTTCACCATCTTTTTGAAAAGCAGTACCTGAAACTAGAAATGAGTGGTATATTCCCACTAGTTTTTCTTCTCATTGCCACCAATGCCTATTTGCAATATAGCATCAGAAACGATAGCTTTTGGAGCTATAAGTATGAAAATGAAACCAAAAAAATTATTGACCAAAATAATGAATCCTACGCTCCACTTTATGATTTTGAAACTCGCAGAGGGAAGTGTTTAGAGAAGGATTTAGATGTTCCATTCGAGAAGAATCAATTACTAGGATACTGTCGGTATCCAGTAAGTCTATAATTCTCCACATTTTTCATTTCAGCCAATTTTTTTTCAGCCAGGAAAAGGAAACGTTTCGGTGATGATGATCGGAAACAGTTATATTCTGAATTTCGTAGATCAAATTGAAGAAAGTTTCAAGTTGAATTATTCAGAGTTCAGATACATTTCCATAATAGGTAGCTCAAAATATTTTGATAGAAAAATTCATAATCATTAGTTTCCAGCAAGCTATGGCACATTTTCAAGTAGCTGGAAGATATCAGAGCAAGCGCTGGAAATATCAGAAAAACAAGTTGAGCTATACAAACCTGATGTACTTTTCATAGTACCACGGTAAGTTTCCCTGTTAGAATTTTTTAAAATTAACTATTTAGGTACATGCAAAATATAAAAGATCCAATTCGTGAAAACGATGAATTGGTGGAGGAGATGAACAAAAATATCGAGTTTTATGAAAAGTGAGGTGTTTTGTGCTTTATCAGATTTATTCAATTTATTTCAGATTCGTCAAGAAAATATACATCTTAGATGCTCTCCCTGAATATAGTGAAAACTTTTTCACATTGTTCTTACATTATTTGATAACACGACCGGAAGATATGGAGCTTCTTCATTTGAATAAAAAGAAAGCAGATTTGGATATGAAGAATGTGAGGAAACGATTGAGAATGATAAAGTGCACGAAGTGCGAGGTGATTTGAAAATCGGAATTTCTGTTGAAGTCTAAACTTTTTTCAGCTATTCGATCTGAGTCATTTGTTTGTGGAAAACGATAAATATCTGACATTCGACAGGGAAAACATGATGTCTTATGTCGATAATTCGGTTCATTTAACAACAGCAGGAGTTGCACCATGTGATCCGATTTTTAAAAATATTACCAAAGAAATATTGAATAAATTTTAATTTTTTTGCTTTTTCAATCCATACATGTTGATGGCTGCTCCGATCCTAGAGATGTTCGGAATGGCCTATACAGAATTCCGGGATGTCCGAATTTCAAAACTTCGGAATCCGGTTTGGAAAATTTTGGATTTTCGAAATATTGGAGTATTCCGATTTTTAAGATTTGGTAATTTCGGATTTTTCTGAACTCCAAATTTCCTGGGCCGACCCGCTTGAAACTTTTAACCGGCTCGGCCCGCTCAAAAAAGCTTATGGAAATTTTGGTTATCAAAATGTGTCCAAACTTTTACTATGTTAGCCAATGAGGGAACTGATTTGTTAATTGCGACCTAATATAATTTTTCAACAGAATCAGCCACTGGTGTGGATTCTCGAAGAGTTCCAGATTATTCCTCTTAAAATTTAGTATCCTTTATTCCTCAAAAATGGATTCTTCAAAAAATGCTTTTCTCGAACAACATATAATCCTAAAAGTATTTCCACACAGTTACAAGTAACCAGTTTATTGTGATCCTAATCTTATTAGAGAAAAACATGGAAAGACAGTAGCAACTATCCAAGCAGTGGCCACTTACACAATAGCATAATCAATTCTGTGTTCTCTTTCTTTGGTATCAAAATGAGGAAAGATATACAATGCTTGCGAGGAATTGCAATCTTATTCGTTTTATTATTCCATCTTGCTCCAAACGTTTTTGTGAATGGTTTTTTGGGTGTTGATGTGTAAGTTTTTTTTTCAATATTCACAAATATAAGACTTCTTTGAATTTAGATTTTTTGTCATATCTGGATTTCTTATGGCGAAAAACTTGACCAAAGCAGGAATGGTCAAAATTCATGATTATTTGTTGTTTTATTATATGAGGTTTCGACGAATTCTCCCACTATATTTTCTTGCCGTTTTCCTAATTACCGTAATGGTCCACATCTTTCTGGGAGATTTCCTGTGGAAAAATAACAATAGATACTCGTTGGCTTCTCTGTTCATGGTTACAAATCAACTTGTTATACACGATCAAGCTGATTATTTCAATGAGTTTTTGGCAGCCACTTCCTCACTCAATGGATTCCTCCATCTGTGGTCCATATCAGTCGAGATGCAGTTTTACCTTTTTGTGCCAATTATATTTTTTGGTATTCAATTTTTGAAGAACGACTATTTGAAAGTGAGCATTTTCTAAACCTATTCTTTGGCCAAAGTTCAAATTCAGTTAGCTACCGTAATGATTATTACAATATTTGGATTTGCTGGGTTTGCAATGATTCTTGATAAATTTGCATTCAATTTTATGTTCCTCCGACTTTGGCAATTTTCAATCGGATTTTGTGCATTGTTTTGGAGCAAAATCCAGCAAAATAAATTACCGAATAAAGCAGATGATGTCCCATCATGGCTCCCGTTAACAAAAGAAGACGTAGTGACTATATCCCTTTGTGTTCTGAGTCTTTGTCTGCTTCCAAGAGAGGTAGACGTTTTGATTTTAAGACCATTGGTAACCCTGTTCACAGCCGTCATTATTGCTTGTGATGCACCAAACGTTCAGGTAATATTTTTTCTATTAGATAATCCATTAGGAAATTTTACCTTCCAGCTGTGGAAATCTGATGCGCTAGTTTACATTGGAGATATCTCGTATATTCTATATTTGGTTCATTGGCCAGTTATCTCCATTTTTCTTGCAACCACCATCAGGAGCTACATTTTCTGCATCTGTAAGCCGTTTTTGTTGAAACTCCTTTTCAAATTCTGAATCTTACAGTAACCATATTCATTGCTTCTATTCTGCTGCATCATCTTTTCGAAAAGCAGTATTTGAAGTTGCGAATGGGCGCAGTGTTCTCATTGATATTTTTTTTGATTGGTGCAAATGCGTATTTACAATATAGTGTTCGAAATGACAGTTTTTGGAATATGAATTTGCCAGATGAAACGAGAGAAATTATTGACAAAAATCGGATACTTTATGTGTCGCTTTGGGATGTTGAAGCTCGAAAAGATAAATGCATAGAGACAGACACAGACACCCCATTCCCAAAAAGCAACCTTAAAGGTTACTGTAGATATCCAGTGTGTAAAACCTTCCATTTTTTCTTTGTGATCCGAGTTATTTTCAGCCTGGAAATGGAAGTATCTCCATAATGATGCTAGGAAATAGTTATGTGATGAATCTTGGAGAGCATATCCGAGCTCATTTCAATTACAACTACTCGGATTACAGATACTTGTCGGTTTTAGCAAATTACGGACTCTATTCAGACCACACATTGGAATCGGCACAAGCATTGCAATTTTCAAAAAATCAAGTAGAATTATATAAACCTGATGTTCTTTTTGTGGTTTCCAGGTTAGTTTCTTTAGTTCCAAATTGCATACACTTTTAAAATCTTTTTTTTTTGTTTCTAGGTATATGGAAAACATTAAAAATCCTATTCAAAACAACGATCCTATAGTCCGGGAGATAAATGAGACTATAGCATACTATGAAAAGTAAGTACAACTGCGAATAAGTATTATTTTTCCACATTTTCAGATTCGTTAAAAAGCTCTACATTCTCGACGCTCATCCGATGTATCATGAAAACTTTCTGAACCTTTTCCTTCATTTTGTGATTACGAGACCCGATGATTTGGACGTTCTCCATCTGGACAAAAAACTAGCAGATGATGAAATGAGGCCGGTTAAGAAACGGTTTGCAGAAATAAAATGCAAGAAGTGTCATGTAAGTTTTGACACAGGGACGATAAAATTAACAATATCATTTTGCAGTTCTTCGATTTGAGTCACGTGTTTGTTGATGGAGATAAATACCTAACATTCGACAGGGAAACTCTAATGGCTTATGTTGATAATTCCGTTCATTTAACAGGTCCAGGAGTACAACTTTGTGAACCGGTTTTTGAACAAGTTGCAAAAGAAATAATGAATAGTTTTTAAATTATTATTTTGGTTTTTCTCTACCGAATTTCATATCAATATATCTTTCGAATTTGATCTTATGAACTATGTATAACGCCTATCGTTTAGGCATTCTTCAACGGGGGAAATCTCTTTTTAAAATCGTTCGGAAGACAGGAAAGTAAATATGAATGTAGGATGAACCTATTCTTTTCTTTCCTATCGCTTAGCATCACACTACACAGAAAACACGGTGAAGTCTGGATGAACTGTATATCGAATTTAAATGTATGGAATGAAAAACGTGTTTTCCGAACAATTTTAAAGAATGATACAAAATAGGATGGATGTAGGATGAACATATCATTTTCTTTCCTATCGGTTAGCATTACACTATAGACCAAAAATAAATTTATGAAATAAAAAGGGATCTGATTCCAATCTTCACTACATGCGTGTCGTTTACATAATTTATGGATCAAGTGGCAGAGAACAACTAGACAAAATACGGTAGCCTGAAAATCTTTGAACATTCGGTATTTATTGAATCGATTTCCACGGCTTTGCGTCGAGTTTTCTATTATTTTTCCCCCAAACAACTCGGAAAAGTTAATTTTGTAAAGTGAAAAAAATCGACTGAAAACGCACGAAAATCAAGAAAATAAATCCGGAAATTAAAAATGCTCTTAGGTTGCGTTGTGAGACATTCGGCCATGGCCGTTTTTTTTCCATATCTCCGATTGTTATATCAAAGTTATAATAGTCTCGAAGTAATCCTAAATAGTTCATATTCAATCAAAAGATTTGTGAAGTTTATAGTTCAGCCATCCTTCGAAATTGTGTCATTCCTTATAATCGTTCGGAAGACTGCAAATTGGAAGAATGTAGGATGAACTTATTATTTTCCTTGCTATCGCTTAGCATCGCTCTACACAGAAAACACGGACTTACTATAGGTCAAAAATAACTGTATGAAACAAAAAAGGGACCTGATTTGAATTCTTACTACATGCGCGCCTTTTTACAAATTTCATGAATTACGGGTGTGTGAAAATTAGACGAAAACCGAAGACTTGCTTTAGGAAAATTTTTAGCTGTTCCCAAATGTTTAAATTCATTCAGGAGAATCTTGTCTCTATAATACCTCGTTATTATTCTGGATGTAGTCCTAGTTCATATTCAATCGAAAGATATTTCATGCAAAGACAATAGCTCTTCATTCTTGATACAGAAATTTATCATTAGGGATTGTTCAAAAAACAAAAAAGAGTTCTACATGGGAAAGAAATAGCATGCCAGTCCACAAAAAATTAACGAATCTTGCATTTTCAGCCAAGGCGGAAAACTTGTTTACTTCTTTCCGCTTGTGAGTTTTCTACATCATTCCGCTTCAACAGCCTGTAAACATCACTGTTTTTATAATAAGCAACTAGAATGTGACCTCAAGCAAAACATTCGGTATGGCCGAATGTACAGTAGATATGTAAATGGAGAAAACATGGGCATAGGGAGAGTGCAAGCAAAAATTGAATATTCCAGAATCGGATGAGTGAAAATTCCAAGTTGTGCACTCAAGTACGAAATTACGCCAATCACGAAAATCATTGGAATGGCGGCTTGAATTGTGAGACACTAAAAAATGCTTTTTAGAAAAAGAATAAAAGAAAACTCTCACTTTTAGAATTTGAGAATGATACGATTTTAAATCATTAGAAAGCATTTCCGTCTTTCTTAATAAATTGTTCATAACCTCATGTCTCAATACAAAAATGGCCACATAAATTGGGAAAATTGGACCACAGAGATGAAGAATCACATAGATTGAGGCGAAATCTTTGATTGTTGGTATTCCAGCAAGAAGGCCATCCGCGTGCGATAAATTGTATTGTGGGAAGTATCTATCCGCATAAGGAAGAATGATTTCCCGATTTACTACAGTAGGCCAATAAATCATCTGAAATAATTTTTTTATCACTGAGCTGATTGTGATGACAACAAACCGCTTGTATAAAGGAAGGCATATAAATGATGAGAATGATCAGCACTAAAACTCTTCTGGATGTTTGACGATGATGAAGAACATAATATCTGTATGAGAATGATAAGAGTAGGGACCAAACATTGTGTGGGAAGCAGTGATAAAATAGGCTGAGCCTAAATCCAAATTTAAAATTCGTAGAAACTTTCGATATCCGAGATCTTACCCAATTTTACATGTTGCACTTCCTGTATACCTGCACAAACCATGGAACACATAGATCAACGTCACATCGAAAGGAGTTATTATGAATCTGAAAAATTCCTTATTTTTGAAAAATTTGTTATAAAGGCCTTACCGAAGTTGAATGAACAAATCCAAGTCTTCGTAGTTAAGATCAACCTCACCCACCTATTTTAATGAGATGAGCACTCATTCAACTTGAAAATATTCGGACTCGTTCTTGTTTTTCACATCTGGTTTTCTCGCATATAAAAACTTTTTTATGAATAATATTAGATTTTTCTTATTTTTCAAATCCGATTTTTAAATTTCGGTATACTTTTCATGTACTCTGGAGATTTCCCAAATACCGTAATCCTGAAGGGTCCCTCTAATTGAAGGGCCCGATTTTTATGAATTTGGAGCGAGAGTTCACTGAATTTGTTTTCATTGAGAGAACTTTTGTTCATGAAACCATCTGCTTTCAAAACTCATAGGCCATAAAACATCTATATATGGTAAACCATGTATTAGAAGGGCCTTCTATATTTTCCCGCCTATTTTTCCGAAAACTATGATACATAAATACAGTGAACTCTCGCTCCAAATTCATAAAAATCGGGCCCTTCAATTAGAGGGACCCTTCAGGATTACGGTATTTGGGAAATCTCCAGAGTACATGAAAAGTATACCGAAATTTAAAAATCGGATTTGAAAAATAAGAAAAATCTAATATTATTCATAAAAAAGTTTTTATATGCGAGAAAACCAGATGTGAAAAACAAGAACGAGTCCGAATATTTTCAAGTTGAATGAGTGCTCATCTCATTAAAATAGGTGGGTGAGGTTGATCTTAACTACGAAGACTACTGGACCATAACAGGAATAAAAATCGAAAAATTGATTAAACTATAGTTAGATGATTTCATTTTGTCGAATAGTTGAAGGAAATTTGGCAGATGACGTCAATTTGAAAGCGGTATTCTCGTTTGGAATATACGACTGTGAACCACTGGATGGGAATATTAAAAAGCGGCTCCGTAGAATATGTTGTTTTACCTGAAAAATTCGAAAACTTGGATTCCCAGTCAATCAATTTGCACCTCTTTGTTAAAACATATATAAACTGCCGCATTTGCACTATTGTTAAGCGAGACTGCAATCATTACGAAACAGTAAAATTCGACTCTTTGGTTTCCGAGAACCAAAGGGAAAATACGAAATAGGATCCAGCTGATAGTGTAGAAAACTGTTATGAGACAAAACTGAGTTGCATATCTAAACTTGAAAAATTATCCAGTATTTTGTTGTTTATGTAGAAACTAACGCATATTCTTTGTTCCCAGCAGTCGGCAACACCATTTTCTTAGAACTCCAAATTTTTATTGTTATCTTGAAATTAGCTTAATGAATTTAAATTTAAGAACTTTCACCTACCATGCTATAGCAGACAAACGCCGTGAATGACGTAGTAAAGTTCAAAGGCACATCAATGAACATGTTCGAAAAGTTCTCCGCCCCCGTCGAGAGATAGCTAATTGAGAGAATACGTGAATCATAGACTAAAGCACAGCAAGGGAATCCAAACTGGGCGAGATACGTCATCGCAGTACACAGAGGGAAAATAAATGAGAAGATGACAAGCAATACTTTGCGGCTGAATAGGTCTGGACACTTGAAACAAATGACAACCAGCCTATTCACTGACATTATTATCTGTGTTATAGATCCGAGATACCAACAAAACATAAATCCTGTTCCAAAAATAAACGAGGTTTTTAAGTTAGTTGTACTAGTGGGGGTATAAGCCTGAATTATTTTGGAGCTTTTCTAATACAACTCTCTAATGCGACGATCTTACAGTTGTTAAAATCAAAGGTGCCAAATAGCAAGTAGTGATAATCAAATTAACAACATCGGCAAACAAATTGACTAAAGAAATGACATAAATCGGACTTCTCTTCGAAACGAAAGCCAAACGATACACGGGAACAACCACCAATGCATTTGCGATGAGACCATAGAAAGATATACCTCCTAATAGGATTCCGAGACAAAGTTTAAACGTAATTTCGAGCATTTTTAAATTTTCTGAAATGCGGAAAATAAAGAGTTCATGAAGAACAAAGCATCAAAAAGAGAAGTCATAATTATAGGGATTTCAGGATACGCAATGATCTCAAAGTATGATTACAGACCATGGTAATGTACGTGTTAGTTTGTGATCGAGTTTAAGATGTAGAAGGTTTTTTGAACATTTAAGTTCGAGTTGAAGAACTTTCATAAGCCGGAGGCGAATGTCTGTCTACATTCTTAAATTAATAAAAAGCAACTATTTTCGGAAATGTGTCCATTGGAAGATACTATTTTGGGGTGCAAAAACATTTATTAGAACTATTGGAATAATTGTAAAACGTCAACTTCTGAATTGAATTTAAGATGTGGCTTGAAAGTCTGATGAGCTATAAAACTGCTCTTTTTAAGGCATTCAAAAATTCCGTAGACAGAAAAAATCATTATGGGGAGTATATGAGAAATTAGATAGACTAAATATCAAAAATCTGAACTTGTCTGGTTTCAAGCGATAAAAACTACAATACTTTGAGTTTCTCCAAAGAGCCCACCTCATAAAAATGCTCTAGAAATTACAAATTCTCTCATCCAACAATATACAGTGAACACATCTACTTGCTAGAGCAATCCTAGATGAACAGGAGCGGGAGAATTGCCCATGAATTATCAAAGTATCAGGTTCCGGGTATAACAAATACCGAAAAAAAAGAAAATCCCGAGAAAAGGGCGAGGATCGGTAAATGCCTGGCAACTGGAGAATTACGGACTAGAACAAATGTTTTACTATTAAAATTAGGAAAACATTTTTCAGAGCTGATCAAGTAAATGAAGCAACTGGAACTCTCCTCGGAAACCATAAAGATTGTCTGTATTATTGTTTTTGGCGAATACTCTAGAACCGTTCCTAGGAGATGCTCGTAATACAAAAACTAACTCTCTGGAGAAAATAGTTTATAGTTCAATAGAAGGTATTTACATAGATATGAACGGATGATTTCAGAGAACATTAATATTTCGATGCTGTATTGGTAGTCGTGTTATGGCTGTGACGAACGACACTATGACCATCTGTCGAATTGTTACCCACATCAGAGGAGTTGGAAGCACGGGTGAAGATGCTGAGTCCGCTGGATTTTAAGTTCCTCATAACCTAAATTCTAGTTGGAGATTGATAAAAATAAAGCAATAGAAGGACCTCTTGATTGCTGATAAGATAGACCAGCGCATTAGCACTGCTATTTATAGTAACCCCAGCGGAAATACAAATGAACCATTCTAATCCTCGATTTCCAATTGCTACTGGAAACACACGGAAAGTTATCCATGAGAAGGTGTAGAACATTGAGATGAAACAGAACTGCATGGCATATCTGAAAGTTTAAGCTAAAAAACGTTTAGACAGATGCAACATTTTACTTACGTCACTTCTCGGTTCTTCCTGGATTTCCTGTTGTGTTGAGTTGTGAGAGAAGCAGCTATTCCTTTGGTAGATTGGCGAACAGTCCAGACGATCTGCAGGATGTGAAATGCAAAAATTAACATTTTGATTTTCAAACTCACCATTGCATAACAGAACGTCGCAATTACAGATGTGGCAGTGTTCAGTGGAAGGTCAATAAACATATTCGGGTAATTGTCAAGTCCTTCGATTTGGTAGTAAGAATAGGATAGAACAACATGATCGAACACAAAACTAAAAAAAACATTATTTTCAAAACCCTGGTGTCCCGATTCTGGACGATTTCAACTCACAAGCAACATGGAGTTCCATATTGAGCCATGTACATCAAAAAGGCACTCAACGGAATCAGAATGCAGAATATTTTACAGATGTTACTGCGATTGAACAGGTCACTTCTTCTCAAGCAGATAACGATAAAACGGTTGACAGCCATGACAATTTGGGTCATGGATCCTAGATACCAACAGAACATGAAAGTGGACCCCATCAGTTTTGGAATTGTTCCAGTTTTGTCTTCAGTGAAAAAGTAGGTCTGAAGAAAGTTAAAAATTCGTCATTTGTCCAGAGATCGAAGAGTTTTTACCTCGAAAATAATGGATGGTGCCAAATAGAAAGTTGACATTAAAACATTCACAATGTCAGTGGCTATATTTATAAATGAAATCACATAGATCGGGCTCTTGTTTTGGACGAAAGCCAAACGAAACACTGGAATCACAACCATCAAATTTACGATAAGACCAGCGAGAGAAAGTAGACCGAGACCACATCCGAGAAACGTTTTTAGGGTCCAAGCAACCATTCTGAAATTAAAATATGTATTATGCTCTACACAATTTCCGAAAAATACTAGATTTTTTTTTCAAAAATGACGAAATAAAATATTCAAAATGAACACAATAGGAGCGAATTCTAGCTGTATAGCATTGAATTTATGATTCAGTCGTTAAAGGAGCTAACTAACGACAACATGTTATTCTAGACAAATTTACATATGCGGAATCTAAATTGGCTTGCTGAAAATCAAAAGTTGTTTGAGATATTTGATATCACACTCCTGGAAAAAATATTCCAAGAAAGATGTTCTGGAGAGTGGGTTTTGAAAAACGAAACTTTTTTATTTTTCATTTCGGAAAATTTCTAGAAGAGTCTCTCATTCCGGAAAAGTGGGTGTCTTGGACTCGGAAGGATACGTGATTCAGATGAAATGTAAACAAAAGAGCTATTTGCACATCCATATAGTAAGAACTGAGTGGAAAAAAAGGGAATGAAAAGGGGCAAGTTGGAATTGAGAGTGTCTTAATGTTCGGAAGAAAAGAGTGAAATTGATTCCTCCACATTTTTTAATTACTTCTAAAGCCAAGAGAATAAGTGTCTTAAGTTACCAGTAAACGCCGTGGGAAGAAATATATACTCACAAAACACAAGATTACCGTAGGCTGTAAGAGTTAGGTTTAAATACCCAGCGCCTAATCTGCACCGTCTTATGACGCGTACCTTTTTTATTGTTACCAATGATCCTTAGCTTTTTTTTATTGAAAGAAGTACCACATGCTGGATATTAGAACTTAGCAAAATAGAGACAATAAGAATCTTAAGTCATAAGCCTAATCTTTTAAGTTCAAATAGCAAGCTAATATCTCAGAAATCCAAGGGAACAATAAGTGACAATAAACCAATTTTGTAAGGACTTCATCTATAGACTAAACTCGTGTTGAAAACATCTGCCTCGTGAGCTTGCCGGTTACATGTGTGTGTGAAAAAAAAGAAGTGACAGCTATTTGCGTAATGCAACATGTTGGAAGTGAAACGTCTAGAAGTTTATGGGTGAACGCTTTTGGAGTGGTTAAAAATATAATTTATTCTATATGAAACTTAAATGATGGGTTTACTTCTTATTATATTAGATCCAAAAATGACTTTGCTACAGTAATTACAACCATTAGAATTATCAATTAGTAGTAGCAGGTCTGGATTAGATCTGACTGGACACCGTTGCTGCGGATATTTTCGACGCGAGCCAAGAAGTTCGCATAGATTTTTGAATTTCTCTATTCAGTGCCAGATAAATGATGGCATTGGAAGAGCAGTTCAATGTCACCAAAAACGGAATCACAGAATACCACTGTGGTTGATCGGCCGGAACGATAAATGGAAGAATTTCAAACAGAACCCATGCCAATACATAAAAAATAGAAATGAGGACGAACTGAAGTAGAAATCTGAAAAGCCAATGGTTCCTCAAAAGTTCAACACCGCCCTCTTACTTGCTGTCCTGACTGGATCGATTTATATTACTCGCCACACTCTTCTGAGAATTTCGAATAGAGAAAAACACGGCGACATAACAAATGGTAGACGTGGTTGTACAGACAATGTCGTAGGAGACAAGCATCAAATTGGAGTATGAATACAATCCTTCGATATTTATGAATAACATTGTGAGAGCATCTTGATCCAATATGAATCTGAAATGTGATTTTTAGTTCAGTAACTTTTTTCTATTTCAGAAGGTCCAATGAAAAAGAATTCTTGGAAATTAATCAAAGTTCATTTTCTGATAAGGCTTCCATTTAGATCTTTCGAAAATCGGCGACCGCCGGCCCAGCCGACCGACCGCCGTCGGCTGCCGGTCGGTCGGTCAGTGGACTGAATTTCCCGACCAAGCAGGAGTCTTTTTTTTAATTTTAAAAGAGATCTCAAAGTGGTAAAAATCTGTAGAAATCTTACTTGCAACATGGGAAAAGATATTGAGTGCAGACAACCGAAAAAACTGTTGTGGTAACCAGAAAGAAGAAAATCACGAGGGTGGTGTTGAAAGTAAAAATGTAATGCTTGTTGAGAGTGATAACGGCGAAACTGGAAACAAAAAAACTTGGTATACTACATATAATTCTTTCCCAACTTACCGATTGACAGCCATAACTATTTGTACAAGGCACTCCATAAACCATCCATTTAGAAAAACCCCACTTAAAAATAAATTTACGAAGCTGTCCCGTGATCCTGCGAGAAGATATTGCTAAAAATGACACAATCAAAATATTTCTTTCAAAGGTTAAGATTTACATCCGCCATCATCGAGGTTGATAGATATAAGCCTAGCACAGAAGCTTGCATTAGATCCGATATTATATTGAAAAATGCAATTATATAAACTGTGCTCTTCTTTGAAATAAACGCCAGTCGGAATACAGGAACAAAAATTATGATGTTCAGAAAAATGACGACGATTGATAAACCGAATGATGAGACACCTAGTAAATACTTGAGCGTCATTACTGGAAGGTTTCGTGAAAGGAATGGATACTGAAGCAGTTATTTTATATTGAAGTTTTGTAGTCGATGTGTCACGGATGGCGTACCTGGCAGCCGGATGAAAACAACGTTTGGATCTCTGAATTGTATAAAGTAAATACATGAAATCAGTTATAAAGAAAAAATTCAACATCGATCAAAACATACAATGTGGGTTGGTATAGAATTGGTTTACTCATATAAAAATAATTTATTAAACCATCCGAAAAAAGTTTGAATATTGTCAAACAACACTTTGATTCATATTCTGAAGCAAGCCAATCGATCGAAAGGGCTGATGCTTCCGAGCTGGAATGAATCGTATGGCGACGTGTGTGATCGGTGCGACACTTGATAAAGTTGTCATACTTGCTATCGTCCGATTTTGTACTGGTGTTGGAGTTTGAGTGATTCCCAGATAGCGAAGAACTGAGATCAATTTGTATGGTGTCAAATGGCTTTGGACCTAAAGATCACAAATTGCTCTGCAAAGCAAGATGAATCTATTTACTTCACTGTTGAAGAAAATGTATATTATGGCGTTCGAAGTACAATTGATGGTATAGAATATTGGCACGAGAATGAACCATTCCACGTGTCTGTCTGCCAAAAGAATCGGCAGAACTCGGAACAAAACCCAAACGAATATGTAGAAAACCAGGAGAAGACTGGATTGTATTGCAAATCTAGAAAAGTTAAATTGTTTCGTCTTGGTTTGAGAGTTTTTACCTGATGTCTCTTCTCCTTCTAACTTTTTGTTGATCGCCTTCGACCGTTGAAAATGTAGCTGACGAGTTGTGAACGGTCCAGAAGATCTAAAAATATAACTTTACAGGGTCCGCCAAAATTACGTGTGCAAGTGTAGATGACGTTATCTCCAGAAGTAGATGCGAGATTAAGACGAAATTTAACAGATAGTTTATTTCAACGCTTGAAATCATAATTCAACAAAAATTATTCGATTCTACCTCCTTTGGCAGCGACCACGGCACGAAGTCGTCGAGGGAAGGCATCAATGGTGGCACGCAGGTATTCGACGGATAATTTGTCCCATTCCTCAGACAACGACTTCTTCAGGGCCTCGATATTTGCATGAGGTCTTGCGCAGACCTTATTCTGCAGAACCCCATACGGAGTAGTCGAGCGGGTTCAGATCAGGCGACGAAGCCGGCCATTCGTCCTTTGGTATGAAGGCGGGGAAGTGGTCCTTGCACCACTGTTGAGCCATTTTTGCGGTATGAGCAGGCGCTCCATCTTGCTGGAAGATGTATTTCTTCTGACCGAAGTGGTTTTGAGCCCACGGTAGCACATGCTTCTCCAGAATCTCCTCAACGTAGTATTTTTGGTTGATTTTCACGCCTTTATCAACGAAAACAAGCGGACACTTCCCATCATAGCAAACCGCTCCGAAAACCATGATGCTCGCAGGATGAGAGGCTCGATGGATTGTTTTACCACGCTCAGCTGCTTGTTGAATATTTGTGGCCAGCACTCGGTGGTTTTGGCTATTAAATTCAGCCTCGACACTGAAGAGTTTCTCGTCCGAGAAGATGGTGATAAGATGATCCTTTTTGCGCGTGCCAGCGAGAAGGCGCTTCGCTTTGATGAGCCGTTTCTCCTTATTGGCTTGGGATAGAATAGCAGCTTTTGTTGCTCGATAAGAGGTCATCTTCAGCTCTTTTCTGACAATTCTCCTCATTGATGTATAGGAGATATCCATGTCATCTGACATCTTTTTCATGGAACGATGAGCATTTCGCCTGACTTTCTCCCGGACGGCCTTGACTTTCGCTGGAGTTCTTACAGTCCTCGGTCTTCCTCTTCCCGTACGGTCCTTGAGGTGGCCAAGCTGGTTGAAACGACGGATGGTCGCGAAAACCGTGTTTCGGTGCACTCCGGTCGTTTAGAAATGTCTCCTGTGCTTAAACCTCGCTTGTAAAAGTCGACGATCAGAGTACGATGAGGACTTGCCGCTGTCATTTACCTAAAACATAACCGATTGGGATGAAACTTGGCAAACTAATAAATAATGAAATAATTAATAAAAATTTTAAAAAATTGCGCACCAAAAGTGCGTCAGTGCGCAGCGCCATGGCGTCAAAGTTGTGCACACGTAATTTTGGCGGACCCTGTATTGCTGGTTAATTTTATCTTCTACCAAGATGTAGCAGATTGCAGAAATGATGGAACTAGATGCATTGAGAGGTAGATCAAATCGGTCTGAATAGTTGGGAACACCTTCAATGGGGTAGTACGAGTACGATAAGTATTCTTGATCGAACAGAAATCTAGAAAACAGTATCAGAAAAGTCAAAATTTTCGTTTGAACTTACGCGCAACATGGATTCATATACTGTGAATGGTACATTATCACAAAAGAGATTGGGATGAGCAAAGAGAACATGACAAGAGTTGAAGTGAAGGTGAATAGGTTGTGCTTACGAAGACAAATGATTACGTATCTGGAAAGTGGGACATACCCTGATTTTCTATCAGTGATAGTACCTGTCAAAAGCCATTATCATTTGAGTAATGGTCTCAAAGTACCACAAGAACATGAACGCGGAACCAAATGCGAGAGTCCATGGACTTTTCTTTCGAGTGCTAATCAGAAAGGACTGAAATGAGAAAGTTAATTCAGCTCTTAAAGGAGGGGGGAGATGAAAAATAGTTTTCTCGAAATTTTGTTCATATGAGTCCCTCGAGGAGTTGAACTTGTGGACCCACCGTTGGAGGTGCCACGCCGCTACCGGCTACCCTATGTTGGCGCAAGCTGATTCGCCTCTAAAAAACAGTAACTCACATTTGTGATAATACTTGGAGTGAGAAAAAAGACAGACATGGTCATCTGCATGACATCAGACAGTATATTGAAGAAAGCGATGACGTAGACATGGTTTTTTCGAAGTATGAAGGCTAACCGAAACACTGTGAACAATGCAAAAATGTTCAGAATCAAACTTGTCCCGGAAAGAATTCCGAAGCAGAAACCAAGGAAGACTTTCAGAGAGAACTGCATTGGAACTCAGGGAGAACTGCACACGCGCAGAATGGATGAGGGAAGTAGTCAGCCGATTTTGAGCAAAACGAGAGCTAAGAAGGTTTCTGTCTGAACGGAAGTTAATCAATGAGCATGGTACATCATGTGTGTTTTCAATGATTTATTAGTTTTTCAATACACAAAATAGAAATATTAGCTGTAAGGTTCGTAGAAAAAGACGTTTTCGAATAATCAATGTGTGCGAGCACTTGGGATGGGAATAGTATGAATCTTCGATTGAGTATGCTGCTCATGAGAAGTATGATCCGATGTTCGCATGCCGGTTAATCGGAAAAAGCGGCTTTCGGATAGTCTTCTGCGTATCTGAAAAAAAAACCATGGGTACGTGGAAAACTTGAGTAACCTACCTCTTGGTTGAAGACAAGATAGACAAATGCATTGGCACTGCAATTGAGTACGTGGCACAACGAGGTTAAAATGAACCATTCGATTTGTCTCCCGTTGAAAATTATAGGAAAAATACGGAACATGATCCAGGAGAAAGTGTAGAACAATGATATCAGACAGAATTGCATTGCATAGGATAGTTCCTGAAGTCCTCTTCTCTTCTGGTTTCCTGTTCTCATGTCAGGAGTGATAGATTGAGATGCACTTCTGATAGTGTAGAATATCTAAAAAGTTTTGATTTTAAGACCATTTTCTGCGGAAGCTTTCTTACCCAAGTGTAACAAATAACAGGGATGATAGAGCTCAGCGCATTTAGTGGGATATCACTTTGATCCGTGAAGTTTGTGATGTTTTCGATTTGAAAGTATGAATAGGAAAGTACAGATTGATCTACCAGGAATCTGAATTTAAGAGCTAGATTTTGTTTCAACTGTAAAAAACTTACGCGCAGCATGGAAACTCATACTGAATCAGGTAACCTTTCACAGTTGCGAATAAAAATGTGAAGGCAAAACAAATCAGAAGATTCTTTTTTGTGAAAATCGATGATCGAAGAATACAAATTACGGCCCATCTGAAATCAGACATCGGTTCATTAAAATCATAAAGATCAATTTTCACCTGTTAACCGCCATTACAATCTGTGTGATGTTACCAATGTACCATAGAACCATGAAAATAAAGGAAATGAATACGGTAAGGTTGTTATTTCTTTCTTCGGAAACTATGAAACTCTGAAACTACGTTGTCATGGCTTTTCAGAGAAACAAAAATACTTACATTCAAAGTTATAGTGGGTGCCAGATAGAAAGTTGTGATTATTAAATGAGCAATATCATTCACAATATTGACACTTGAAATCACATAAATCGAACTTTTATCCCTTGCAAAAGCAAGTTGAAAAACTGGAGAAACTACGGTAAGATTGAGCAATAATCCAGTTGAAGATGCAAGAAAAAGAACGGATCCCAATATAATTTTAAGCGGTGATTCGAACATTTTTAGTTTTAGTATATAAGATTAGAGAGTAGTTCCAAGTTTCTTAAATAGAGTCACTTTTTTTTTAATCCAGTCAAGTGATTCAAATGATCGTCTGGAAAATGCTAAAACGAGAGAATAGGAATAGAATATTAGAGTAATGACTGAGAACAGGTGCTTTCACAATCTGATACCAATGTGGAAAATAAGTGTACTCGGGGGAGGGAGTACGTATGAAAATTGAGTTCATCGTCCATATTTTATAGTATTGTTTCCTTAAGGTATTTGTAAGATCAGGGAATCTGTCTTAATGAGACATATGACTGGATTAATCAATTTTTCTAAAGATCCAGAACCTTACAAGCTATTGAAATAGTTGAGCAAAAAAGAACCTAATCTGTTAGTCATATCCAAAGCTTGGTTCCGTTAGGCTCTAAGAGCTAGCTTGAAAAAGAGGAAGACTAGGTTAAGATAAATCAACTTTATTATGCAAGTAACTAGTCAAATGATTTATTGCTCATTCTCAGCATTCATCTGTCAGCTAGAAGCGATTCACACTTTGCCAGATGACCCATTTTGGTAGCTTGATTTTGGGTGAAACGTATTTCGCTATTTCAGGCTTCCCCATGGTTCCAAGAATGGTTCGCACACTTCGAATGTTTTGAGGTTCCATGCCTATAAAATATTTTATACAATTCCTGAAACATATCTTACCAAGTTACCCGGTCGATCAGAAAAATCATATTTCTGAGCTAGATCTTCAGTGAAAAGAGTTTTTCCTGTTTTCTTCATTCTTCCCGGATCCATTGCTAATCTTGCCAACGCCTTTCCTGTAAATTCCGTTGACTCTCCTTTCACGTAATACTCAGATTCATCCTTCACAAAATTTTCGATACTGTTTTTCAGAGACATTTCCGTCTTCACGGGCCCGGGAATCAGTGTTACAACGCAAACATTGTATGGCTAAAAATATTCAGATAGAATATCTAATTTCCTGTGTTATCAGATTACATTCAATTCCACTGCCATATCTGTAGACATTCGTGCTAACGCTTCTTTTCCAGCTCCATAGGCAACATTGAAAACATATCTGAATATATGAATTGTATAATAAGGGATTTTTCTAGAATTCGCTTACTTCAGGCCGCCCAACGACCCAACATTCACAATAAGCCCTTTACGTCTTTCAACCATCATCCGGGATCCATAAACAGAGCAGTAGTAGTGATTCCTGAAAATATAATTCAGATGAAACAGTGGATGAGTAATGTTACCTCAAGCCAACATCGTTGATGGAATCCCAAAAAGACGGATCCTGATCGAAAAACGGCTTACCAACCATTTCAGTCGCTTTCTAAAATGAACAGAAGCTTACATCAAAAATCACAATTTGAAGCTCACCCCCAGAGAATTGTAAACATTGTTCACCAGAATATCCAATCTTCCATCCTGTTCTTCTTTTATCTTTTCAAACAGAAATTTCACTTCTGTCATGTTAGAATGATCCACATACAGAGCGATTCCCTTGCCACCACGATTGGTAATTTCTGAAGGTTTTTTTTGTCCAAAAGAAAGCAATGTTCGTATTTGACCCACCCTTTGCCACATACTCCAAAGAAGGAAGCCCTAAATTGAAGTTGTCACTCAACTCAGGTCTCCTGCCAGTAATATAAACTGTAGCACCAGCTTCTCCAAGTTGTAAAGCTATTCCACGACCTAAATCGCAAACCTTTCATAACAATATTCGTACTTAAAATCTCACCGATTCCTCTGGAAGCACCAGTGACAAGTGCAACTTGGTCCTGTAGTATAACACCCATTGCAATACAAAACGACGGGGAATAAATGTGGGCGAAAGGAATCTACTGCTACCTCGGTGAACAGGGATTAAATGTCCGGTTTCAAGATTTACCCTTTCAACTTGTGTTACTCTGTCTGTATACCTTTTATAATTGGATAGATGTACAACAAATACTTGAAACAATAACAACAAAATACTCAAGTGATAGATCGTACTCGTTGTGAAGAGTTCTGCGTCACACTCACACTGAAATTAGACAAACTGTTTACGGCCTGTTTTTTCAGATTTACCTAATAGTCGAAATCTCTGGTTTCTTCCAAAACATTGCATGTTTCCTCAACTCTGGATAAGTTATCATCATCACAATTGCGTTGCAGGTTGAATGGACCGCAACAATCATAGTGAAATAATAAGATAGTGCTGTAATAATTAGCACAGTTTGAAATTTGAGAGTCAACACCAGAATACAGGGTTGGGCAAAAGATTGGTAACCAAAAGAAGACGGCACAGGGGTGGTCTGTAGGCAAATTGTCTCATTCCGCGGTAAAAAATTTTTAGAGCACCCAAAAAAAATGTGAAAATAAACTTTAACATATGCTCTAAAAGTTTCAAGCACCGAAATCCCCATCGGATTGTCGTCTGACTCGAGACAGGCCATCCTTTTCGGGGATGAAGTTAGAACATTTGGTTCTGTCACTTTTTGCTAAACATGTTTTTCCGTATGAGTAAATTCTACATCATTTTGGGTAGTCTAATATCACGATCTTTTAGGCACCATGACTTAGACAGCATGATTTTTCCAATAAGTAGTATTCCTGGTACACTTTCTTGCCCATCTAGATCTGCCAAAAACAGGAAAAATCAAGTAAGGTGTACAGAAAGTAGTGTCATCTTCGTAAAAGTTGAGATAGGAACATGAAACACTGCACATCTACTAATAAAGAGACGGGGGAAAATATGAGCATAAAATCAATGTACGAATAGTGCGTCAGCGCGCCAGGTTGCGTTAAATTTTGGTTACCAGAATTTTGCCCCATCCTGTACATACTTTGAGAATATTTTGAAGGAATCACGACAACAAAAGCAATGGAGACAGCTGGAACAATTCCTATGAGGGAGCTTTGAAACTGAAATTTATTTTTAGTGAAGTTAGCTTTGATGTCATATAGACCCACCTGCAGAACTAAATTCCTGACTGCCACCCGATGCTTCTGCCACGTGGCCTTAGATATCAAAGTTTTCACTTCATGGAGGGTTCGAACCATTTGAAGAACGGAGATTCCAATGGTTAGTCCTGATTGAATACATCCGAAAATTGCAAGAAAAAAGTAGACTGACATCCAATTATTCATGACATACAACTGAAAGTCTTTCAGAAATAAAAACTGTTGTTCGAAAAATGGATAATCTTTTCGTATGATAATCATTTGTTCCTCTTTGGAAATACCGCTCATGAAAAAAGAACCGGAGAATAAAATTGGGTAAACGCCAAGAATTGAAACGGATACATTATAGACAACCAATGGAATTTCAAATCGACTACTCATATTTGATATCGTTTTGTATTTCTTAAGAAAACAAATATTCAATAAGTTGACTTGTACGCTGGCCATGAGAGATAACAGAGTCTGAAACTTCGTAAAGTATATTATTTTCATGTAATTAGTACCATTTGAAGATCCACAGGAACTGATAAAAATTTGCCCAATAATCCATTACTGTACCCGGCAGTGATTGGAAATAAACCAATTGGTTGCATGAAAACTGATAAATGGAGATCGCCAAAAGCACAAGAAATCTAGAAAAACCCATATTTTCAACCAAACTGACCATTTTCAAATACCTGATACGAAAGAAGATAATACCGAAATGTTTCCAATTTCTTCCCTTTATAAAACAACAGATAACTTATGAAAACGTTACATACAACTGAAACTGTTCCAGACAAATAGAAATGTTCTGCTAGATAACTGGGTGGTTGGAATTCAATGTTAAAATTAGTAGACATTGGCTAGAAAATAAAATGACCACACGACAAAGTTTTTGAAATTTCATCTGTCAGTAAGTATCTGATTTTTGATTAGTAAAAATTGAAAAAAAAACTGAATAATTTATTTTGGTAAACTAAACAACAGAAATCAGTGATAGAATATTTGTCATTCAAGGTCTCTCGCCTGAGTAGATATATCAAAAAACTGATCTTCTATTAGAAATACGAAATGGACGGGTGCTTCCGTTGGAATTAGCAACCACGAAACTGACACTCTTTCTATGTCGTTGAAGTTTTCCTTCCTTGCTCCGAAACATAACAAAAGCTCTGAATTCTGGTATTGTGAAGATCATAACAAGACAGTTAATAGTGGAATGAGTTGTCATCACCGCAAGCATGTATTGTGTGAACACTGAAAACACCCGAATGTCTTCATTTGAACATCTTCATTTCGTAATCTTACGTTGTGCTCCTTTGAACGGAACAAAAAGAGTGGATACGATCAACATAGCAGGAAGGATTGCAATGGGGGTTGTCAAAAACTAAATTTAATTTCTTCAAGATTTGAAACAAATCGTAGAACCAACCTGACAGACAAGACTTTTCAGAGCCGATTTGTGCTTTTCCAGTGTTGTTTTTGATAGGTTGTGACTACAAAAAACAAGTGCTCGATACATTTGAAAAGCTAGTAAAGAAACAGTCAGAGTTGACTGTATACATCCGCCAATTATCATAATCACATATGTTAAAATCATGGCGTTCAGTTCATAATAGCCGAAATTGGGAAGCATCTCAAACTGATGTCGATACATGGGATATTTCTGTAGTAGATATTTCTTCACATAATTCCAAAAACCTGATCACCTTGTCAATCATTTGCAACTTATATTCTCTCGGATACTGTGCCAAATAAAATGGTACCGTATACGTAAGAGTGTAGGTAAGAAAGAAAAACACAATCGCTCTATGTGTACTTTTATTCAGCACGTGTTTGCTGCTAATTTTTGCGATTGCTTGATGTTTCCGTAGAAAACATAAATTCAAAGAATTCACTTGCGCTCCCACTAGAAAAGCTAGAATTGTCATACAAACATGTGGAGTTACATTAAATAGTTTCGAAAGAACTCCTCTACAATATCCAGAGACAAGTGGGAACAAAGGTATTGGTTGCATTAGAAATGTCAAATGTATATCAACCAAAGAACATGCTAGCTGGAAACCCATCAAATAATATCTGAATGAATCCATTTTGTTTCTGTGGAACAATAACAGATAGAATACAAAAGAGTTGATTGAAACAGATATGCATCCGGAAATGTAATAATGATGTATTAGGAATTGAGGAATTTCAAAATTAATGTTGAAAGCTTCTTCCGTCATGCTAAAACAGAACTAATGAGAAAACGAGAGGAGTGATATGACAGATGTTATAAGTACCTTTTTTTTGTGGTCGACCACAAAAAAAGGGGCGGAGCCTAAATATTTTTCCCCCCTGGGTCATTTCGGCTGTTTGATTGGCTGTAACTTTGGCTAGAAAAGAAGGATTAATATGAAAATATGCTTCTTCAAGTAATCGACTACGTAGATTTCGAATATGTAATTGTTTTCACTGAAAATTTCACCTGAAAAGAGAAAAAGGCAACGAACAAAAACTGGCGGCAGAAAAATGCCTGGGAAAGTGTAATGAAAGTCGATAACGCACAATTTTTTTTGTTATTTCCAGTAACTGAAGACTTTTTCTAAAAGGAAATAATAATGAAAATTTCAGAAAAGTTGCCCGAAAATAGTACATTACAGCCAAACTGGCTGTAAATATTGTGAAAAAATTTTAGTGGCAGAAAGTATTTTATTTCCATTCGAAAGATGGCGTACTCATGGAAAATTTCAGTTTTTCGCAATTTTACCATTAGTAGAGATTGATAACGCATGATTTCTTTACATATTCAGATTCTACGAAGAATTTCACATAAAGTGATTTTTGTGACAAATCCCAAAAAGTCGCCCGAAAAAAAATGCGATGCACATTTGTATCGAAATTTCCCTAAATTAATCGTAAAAATATTTTTTCTGTGCGCGCGCGCGTACCGGCTTTATAAGAAAATAATGCGCCCACCGCTAGTGTGTGCGTTTGGTGTAAGCCAGTGGTGTGCTAAGCGAAGATATGCGGGTTCGATCCCGCTTTTGAAAAACTTTTTTGAAAGTATTTTTTTAACCATACATTGGAATCGCAACGTTTTTTTTCAAACAGTAAGCACTTTTTCGCTGACTTCGTAGTCCATTTTTGTGAATTATGAATGCGTTATACTAAATTTTAATTTTTCTTTTCTTTTTTCTGCCCTTTCGGCTGTGATTTTGTAAAATTCGGCTAGGTAATTTTATAAAAACTAATAAAGCTATTTTTCCGCATTTTCCGACAAGTTTCTTTCCATTTCCAGCTGTCTGAAACCTAAATTTCAGCAGAAAATCTCTTGGTAAAACCCGTTCATCTCTCCCGCGCGGCAGCCTTGCGCTGTCGTCGCCCCGCCCACTTTTATGCGTGCGCGCAATGCTGGGGGCGACATTGGAGGAAAAGGAGGAGCACAAAATGAGCTGTAACTCGGGAACGGATGAATATTTTTGGAAGAAAATTTGGATATAAGCTAATTAGGAAGAGGGGATTAATTTAAAATAAAAAGATTTTAGGGAAAAACAGTTTGAAAAAAATGTTGTGGCCCCTAGATATAAGGCAAAAATAATTATCAAAGGTGCACTTGAGAAAATCAAAAATCAATCACATTTCGTATTCAGATATCATGACCAACAAATCAAGTTTAAGTAAGACCAAATTAACAATTTGGGTCAAATGATTTTATCGATAAGTTCAAATTTCAAGGGTACAGGTATCAGCCCAGAAACTGGGAGTATATCTGAAATTCTTTTTCCACCAGTATATAGCGTTTTGCTGATGTTTTCCGGAACGAGTGAATAATTTTTTTGAAGTTCGTGGGACAGATGTTATAATCGAAACTATTTATTCATGTCAAGGCAGAAAAATAATCAAGCAGCTTGGTTTTTTGAATTCATTTTTTTGGTGGATTCAGGAAACAAATGGGTTAAAATAGAAGATCAACTTTACTAGGAATCGTAGTGATTAATGTAGTGTATTCATAAATGCATTTCGAGCTGTTCGGAGGGTCACAAGCGATGTTGGTCCACTGGTCATCTGTCTCTTTCTGAATCGTTTACCTTCTTCACTCCAAAAAAGGACGAAAGCACGAAACTCGGGGAATGTGAAGATTACAACGAGACAATTTATTGTGGAGTGTGTTGTCATCACCATTAGCATGTACCAGGAAAACACTGAATTTTTATAATTATTTTTAAAATTGTTCTGTACTCACCTTGTGCTCCTTCAAAAGGAACTACAATTGTAGCAACTATAAACACAGATGGTAGAATTGAATTGGCGTTGTCAAGAACTGAAAAATAATTTTATTTCATTCAAGTTTTCATGCTCTCAAACCTGTCCAATAAGACTCCTCAACGACGACTTGTGTTTCTCCAATGTAGCTTTAGACAGGCTCACACTACTTAAAACCAAAGCTTTATACATTTGAAAAACTAACATAGAAACAATGGATACCGCATGAACACATCCGGCCATAACCATTCCCGAAAATATTTGCATCCAGATTGTAAATTCGTAAATCTCAAAGTTTTTCAATTGTTCAAAGCGGGTCCGGTATAAAGGGTATTTCTGTAAAGATTGTGATTTTTAGAACATTTTTAATTCATTCACACCCGATCAATTATCTCGAGTTTCTGTTTCTGTGTATTTCCAGTCAAATGAAATGGTATAGAATACGTGAAGGGAATCGTTATACATGATACCACAATAGAGTAATAAATTGTTTCAGACAAAATATATTTTCCAGTAACTTTAGAAATTACTCGATGTTTTCTGAGAAAGCAAATAGTAAGCAAATTGATTTGGAATCCAACTAAAAAGGACAAAATTGTCATGCAGTAATGAGGAGTTAGAAGGGAAAAACTTGGGAATGCTCCAATTGCAAATCCACCAATGATAAATGGAAAGAAAGGAACGAACTGCATCAAAAATGATAAATGAAAATCACTCAAAAAACATATTGTCTGAAAATTGAAATTACTTAATTTATCAGTTTCCAACTGTTCCACATCATTGACAGGAGCCCGGACAATTTTGCTCAAAGTTAAAAGTTAGGAGCCCTTCTATCACAAGTTTTAAGATAGATATAATGAGCGATACTTTTTCTCACCTGAAACGCTAGGAGATAATATCGAAAACTGTCCAATTTTCCTTTTCTGAATAGCAAGAGATAAAACACAAATGAGTTTAAACAAATGCAAATGCAACCAGTTATATAATAGTGATGTATTAAGAAATCGGGAACATTCAGATCAGTTTCCAGATATTTGTCACTCATTTTATGAAACAGGATTAAAAACGAAAATTAATCAGGAGCCCTGCATGGCCCGCAGATGGTATTTAGAAACGAGCTGAAGACAGCTACGATTATAAAAAAAGAAAACTGACGGGAAATCGTTGAGGAGAAAAATGATCAAAGCAAGTGAAAAACCGAGAAAACTAATATTAGGGTTGGAACAGAATTGAGGAGTGTAGTTGCAAGAGACATTTTACTTCCCTCGTCATTTGCATTTTATGTAAACAGCTTTATCTCTAGTTTTATAAAATCTTCAAAATATGAAAAAAAAACAAAATTAAGAAACTGAATTAGTCCACGAGTTCCTGACAGGTCTTGCAAGGCCACTGGAGGCAATACTAACTGGTGGTCTTTGTCCGATTGTCAGTCCTTTTTTTCTCCAGAAGAAAACAAAATTTCGGAATTCGGGAAATGTGAAAATGACTACTAGACAATTCACCGCTGAATGCGTTGACATTATCATGAGCATGTATCTAGTGAAATCTGCAATTTTAGAATTTTTTTTCGATCATCGAGCTCACTTTGTGCTCTATCGGGCTCACTTTGTGCTTCTGAAAATGGAAAAACAATGGTAAGGACTATTAGCATAGCTGGTAGTATTGCGATAGGTGTCGTCATGAACTTCAATGTAAAACTTTTTTCAATTTGAATTACAGGAAAAAGTTACCTGGCCAACCAAACTTTTAAGTGAAGACTTGTGCTTCTCTAGAGTGGACTTGGATAAACTTGAGCGACATAAAAGAAGACCTTTATACATTTGAAATACCAACAAAGAAACTGTTAGAGTTGACTGACCACAGCCAAGAATAATCATTGTGAAAAATGTAGACATCATTGTGTTTAGCTCATAAACTTCGAAATTCTCCAGCTTTTCAAATTTGGTTCGGTAATGGGGGTACTTCTACGATATTATTCAGAGTATAAAAATTACTATAAAAATCATATTTTCATCTTACCCTGTCAATAATCTTATATTGATCTTCTTTGGATTTTGCTGCCAACTGAAATGGGACAGAATAAGTGAAGGGATAGGCTAGCAACAGGAAAACTATTAAGTTGTAGACATTTTTCGACAAAACCCGTTCTCCGCTAATTTGAGCAATTATTTGATGTTTCCTTAGAAAACAAAGATTTAGTGTATTCACTTGGAATCCAACTAAAAACGAAAGAATCGTCATACAAACATGAGGTGATAGCAGGGATAATTGTAACAGGAGTCCAGCTGCACATCCACCGACAATATATGGAAAAAATGGGACTAGTTGCATTAAAAAAGACAAATGGAGGTCGCATAATGAGCAGAGAATCTGAACTTTCGTCATTATCAAAATTAGGAATTCTGAAGACTTGCTTGAAAAGCTAACAGGTAAAATCTGAATGAATCTAGTTTTCCCTTTCGAAACAATAGTAGATATAAAATGAAAATGTTCAGAGATAGAGAAATGCAACCGCTGACATAATAGTGATAGATTAAAAACGAAGGTATCTCGAAATCAGTTTTATTTTCAGTCATTTGGTTGTAGATTGAACTAATGAGAAACAGATTTGTGTTCCTGAAAAAAATTGTTGAAAACGGCAGATGTTTTAATATTCCGTCACATGGTAACGCATTGATTTAAATGAAGCATAAACTACTGAAAAATTTTATGATTTAACCGTTTCTATTTTTATAAGTCGTCCAGTTTTAGTCAGAAATGTCAGTTTTTCGAGTATTCACAAATAATATTCGCCGGACGCGGTGAAATATTTTCATTTTTTTTACATATTGATAAGAGAAGCATGAACTATTAAAAATAAGGCAGCAAAAATCATATCATCTTTATCTTCAGTTCTCATCGGGCGATCGCTTCTGGTTCAAGTGTACATGGTATCTTTCTTATTATCTGTTCAACTTTGACTGATGAATTTTAGATGGAGGAAAGATGAAGAACAATTCACGACACACACAGCCTATGGACAATTAAATCACATCTATTACCGGTAAGAAAGGGGAACTATCAATTCAAAAAACATTCAATTTTCGGTTTCCTCTGCCGACCCAAGTGTGATCCTTCGATCTTCCTCACAGTAGATGCTGTTGGCTTTTTGAGACTTCTAAATATCATTTATTTTTTTCAGAAAGTGGTGATATTCGATCTGAAACGAACCTGTTCCCACTTGAACTGAAGAATGCCAAGCTTGTCTTCACACTCGCTTCGGATAGCGTCCTTCACACATGGATTGATCGACTTCCACTTTTGACAGGCTTCCTTTGGCGTCTGGAAGTTTGAATTTTAATGAGGAATTTGAAAAAAAAATACTCACTCGTTTGTTTTCATTGAAAATTTCTCCTAGACATGGAATCTCATCTCTCTTATCATACAAACGATTGGCACACTCTGAGAACTCTTTTGTGTAATAATAGACAAACCCGCAGATGCTGATGTCGTTCAGGATATTCCTAATAGCTCGGCATTTGATTTCTCTTGCACATTGCTAAAAACTAATTGGTTGTAAGTACATTAAGTTTCAACTACGTACCAAAGTGACAAAGCACAATCCTCCCAGTGGCTCATAATCTTCTGGTCGTCGCAGAAGAATGTTCGTGTGATTCAGACTGGCAGCTGCAGCACCAAGTTCATCGTCTTTCTAAAAATCTCGAGATTTTGATAAGGCTCTATCTAAGTGGCGCTTACTTTTGCACACTCCATTGCTTGTGTTGCATGTTTTCTAGTACAAAACCCTGGATCTGGCATTTTAGCTTGTAGTCCAAACATGTAGACGGCAACAATCGAACCAACGATAAGTAGAATGCATAGACAACAAGAAATGTTGAGTAGCAAACATAGCTTACTGGAGTTTTTCATTTCTAAAACAATTAAAATCAGGAAGAATTACGATGTCTAGACATGAGACTATACTATGGAATGCGGAAATATTGTATTTAGTTGGATGGAAAAAATAGAATTTACAGATTTTGATTTACTAGACTGTTGGTAATTTAGAAGAGAAAAAGATCTTTGTAGAGTACTGATAAAATATTGGTGATATTTTGACATACGTTTTATCAGTTGACAGATTTTTGATATCTCTTATAGAAATTGAGATAAATGAGCTCACAGTGTTAGAGTGTTTCCGGTAAATCAAAGGTTGATGACGTGAAAAATTCAAATTCTGAAGAACATCTAAACATCTAAACACTGATACCGGCACACTTTTTGCAAGAATCCGCCCACTCCTCGAACGGAAAAACGATCAAAAACAGTTTTCTCTAATCGTGTAAGAATTCAAGGTCAACAGGTCAAAGTGAACTCGAGCTGAACTACAATCTTATCTCTTTATCTTTTTTTTCCAAAACTACCAAGGCTAGAAATGGATCTTGCCATCTATCATTTCATCAAAAGACGACGATCCGGAAATTACAACAACAATTCAAAAAATCAAATCGGTAAAAAGGTTGGAAAAAAGATGAAGAACCATTTTCGTTATCAATCAAATCAAGTCACGGAAAACGGAAAAAGGGTCTGATTCTTTGGAAGGTTACGAGATGAAGAAGAGGAAAGTGAAAAATTGATAGGACATGGGGAAGGAAACGAATCGGAAGGGGAAGAAAAAAAGGAGACAAGCAAGAATTTATTTCAAGAGTCATTTCGGAACTACCGGTCAACAACAACAATAGTACTCCTCGTGATTTCTGATTAGCCTTTTCAAGGGACTCTGAAACCATCTCGTCGAATTAACAAAAAAAAGTAGTCGTAGACAGATGTATATTAACACCCAATGAATGATCGATGTGATTTCTGATTTCTTCGCCAACTTTTTGTATCATCTTGGTTTCAAATTGAAAACCCAAGAACACATTTTTATATCATAACCCAGTCGTCGCCTGACTTAGTTCGACCTGGACACGCCCACGATATCTACTGGGCTACTTGATACATGAGTATATCGTCGTATAGTGTAAATAGGAATTCAGTTTAAAAATGACCTCAAGTTTGCAAGTTAGGAAGTGGGGAAACAATAGAAAAGAACAGAGACTGTTGTGTGGAATTGAAATAATGGGAAACGGATGGTATTGGGAATGAAGATCAGAACAGAATATTCTGGTACAGTTTCAGGACGCCTTTCCAGTCAGATGATTTGATCACCTAATTAACAGAACGCCCCATCGTCCGCCTTCTCTGAACTGTCTTTCTCTGGCAATGTTCGCATCATCGGTCACACCACAACCAATTTGGGAATAGTAGACCAGTTGTTTCGAGAAAACAGCTTAAACACAAAACAGTAAGCCTACTATAAAAGAATGGTGTTGAAAGGAGGTGGAAAACCAAACAAAACCTTGGACGACGTTTTCGATGACACGGTGTGCGAGATGAATTAGTTCAAATGTTGACAAAAACGTGAGTGAACGAATGAGTGGAGGGACCGCCTAACAAGCTAATTTGATCAGATCAATACAATGTTTTGAAATTTCGTCAGTCAGGCGTTGAGTTGGGGAAAACCGAAAATCAAGGCGGCAATAGAGAGGAACAATAGTTTATTAGCAGGACACTTATTTACAGACATGGCTGTTTTTAGATTTCAACACTTGAAGTGCATCCAGAAGATTTGTAAAAAATTAACTCTGTCCAACCAGACCAATAATTTCATACTCAATATCAATGGTGTTGATCCGTTCAGGTTTTGGCTCGCAGTACATGGATCGGTAGAAATCTCGAGCTGTCTGCAAAGATTAATGGTGATTTTAAGGTGAAAGAAAATTAGTTTACTTCAGAATAGCGAGTAACCAAATCTGTAGAGTTTCCATCAAAATTACATTCCTCATAAATGGCATCATAAATGCAGGGCTGGATGTCTAGCCATTGTTTGCAACGGTTGAATCGAATCTGAAATTGTAGAGTTAGAAACTACCGTATAACCTGTAATAGAAGGGCCCCCTGACTTTTAACTTTAAGCCACTCTTTCTCGGTTCCTGTCAAAGGTACAGAAAATTCTTTAATACAGGTTTTAAGGTAAAATTTTCATGTAGGCTGAACCCAAAAATGTTGAAGTTTCCTATTCTAGCTTTGGTGAAAAATATTCTAAAACTTTTTATTGTCTGAACTCGCGGTGTGCTTTGCATTGAACAGTGTATCAAGACAAGTGATGTTTGAAGTTTGAGATAGTAACTGAAATTCTTAGTTATACAGTATTTTGTTCCCAGATACTCACTCTCTCAGCACATTGACTAAACTCCGTCGTATAAAATTTATAAAACTCGCATGCTGGAAAATTGCCCATCACATCCGCTACAAAGTCATGACCATCTTCACAAGTTATTTTTGTAAAGCAGTTCTGAAAAGACAAAAACTTTCAAAAAAACGTCCTTGATGTCTGAACGAGGATCGTTTCTGTTTAATTGATGGAAACAATACCTGTGTGTTTTCACAAAGGTCGACTACTTTTTGATATTCCAATGGTGGTCGTAAAAATCGAGTTGTTTGATTTATGGCCATTAGTGCATTTTCTAGACGTCGCGTTTTCTGGAATATGAGATTTCAGCGTATTTTCAGGTTAAGTCTGTCTCACTTTGGCACATTCTACACCAGTTAGAAGTTGAGCTCGGGAACAAAAGTCACTTTTCGAGATGGTTGCTTCCCAGACCACATGAATGAATCCAATAAACAGCATTACTGTGAACAGTAGACAAATCCAGCAGAAAAGTTGGACTGCACATCCGCATGCCATATTTTTGGAATAGATAAATAGAAGAGATGTATGTGAAGCCGAACTATCTCCGGTCTTTTATATGATTTACTGTTCGTATCGATGGTTCCCGAACGGTAAAAAGGATGGCAATATAAGGTTCACACAGAAAAAAAAGAAACGAAATAATTTATTTCAACTAGAACAATAAGAATTATACACTTTTGGGATTAGTTTCAAACTTATTCTCCAATGCAAATCGATGAACGCAGATTGGCGGCCTCCTGAAAAGAGAATGGTGGGAAAACGGAAAAGAAAAAAACAGTTGGGATGGATATGGATGGACGGGAATCTTTTCACACTCACCTCCTTATAACGCTTCGTCATATCGTCACCGCAAGTGATTCCAATTTGCGTTCGTATGCATTCTTGGATTTCCGTCCACTGTTTGCACCTATTGTTGTTTATCTGAAATCAGAAGATGTTCATAGATGTTCCCATATTAGTACTGTAGTTGATTTAAAAACAATAATCTACAATACCGATCAATAAGATATACATATGACTATTTATTTTTCAGTTGTTTTTCGACCATTTTGACCAATTTCAAGAGTCTGGGGCTCGTCTGTCAAGTCTCCGATCACTTTGAAAATATTGGAGGGTGTGAAACAGACCTAGATTGAAAACTTTGAATTCACAGAAAAGTTTGAAAGATCTTAGTTTTTCAGCTACCGTAAAACCTCTAATAGAACGACACCCGGATCGTCCACTTTGAGCCTATATATCTCACTTCTTTTAAAAGATATCAAAAAGAGGTTAACTAGTAAAATGTTTATCAGGATATCAGCAACATTTTACTAATTAGCCACTTTTTGATATCTTTCACAGAAAATGATATATATAGGCTCAAAGTGGGCGATCCGGGTGTCGTTCTATTAGAGGTTTTACGGTATTTGCCAATTTCTGGAAGACATCCTTCTGGCCCGTTTTTTTTACTGAAAACATAAAAAAAACAAGCGCCTTTCAGAATCGGCAAATACCTAAAAAACTATTTTTTTTTCATTTTCTAAAAATTCAGTAAATCCAAAGTGTTCAATCTGTGTCTGTTTTACACCCTCCAAATATTTCAACGTTGTCGGAAGCATGATAACCAAGATACAGACTCTTGAAAATGACTGAAAGCCAACTGGAAAATACCTTTTTTTGTCTTTTATTGACCGGTGCTGAATATTTATGAATTTCCTAAATCTTTTTAAAATTCATAGAGGTGATCAAAAAAGCAATCATATTCAAAAATAATTATTCCAAACTCACTTCAACACTACCATCAAACAAAGTCTTCAAGCATGACCTATTTTCTTCTTTCTTGGCGATCAGCTGCAAAGTTAAATTTTAATAGACCCACAACTTCTTCAACTCACCTTTTCCGCACAGGGCGAAAACTCTCTATTATAAAACACATAGAACTGGCAAGATGAAAATGTATGAAGTACATCCGCTGATACAAACGATTCAATTTTACCAACGCATTTCTAAAAGTTCAATGTTCTATTCACTGGATTGAACTTCAACTTACAATAGCATCGTCGCATTTCTGAGACAACGTCTTGTATTCTTTGGGATTCATCAAAAATCCTTGCGTCACATTCATGTCACTTTCTAGTTCAAGCGCCGAATCAATCAGCTGAAAACAGTTTAAAAAGTACATTCATTTCAGCGGGTCAAATCACAACTCACAGGCACACAGTGACCTAATTTGGTGTGCTCTTCATTCCGTTCTAGCACTGACTTAACATATACAACAACAAAAAGAACAATAAGGAGAATGAGTACAATAGTGATTGCAACACTTAATCCGATCAATATATTCTTAGTTACTGGCTTCATTTCTGAAAAATGATGAAAGAATGAAGTGGTTCAACGTCAGAAGACGGGGAGGTAAATCCGATGGCAAGTGAAGGGCGTTTTCGGCGAAGAACGAGGTCGGATCGTATGACTTGTTATGTTATTTACGCGATGTTTTAAGGAATATTCAGGAATCTTTTGAATCGAGATTTTGATCTACATCTGATAATACTACAAACATCAGTGTTAAATCAAAATTTAGTACTTTTTCGAGATCGAGTAAATTGATTCTAATGCGGAAATGAGTGACCTTTAAATGACCCACACCAGGAAAAAAGAAATTAGAAGAGAACTGTGGTGAAACTGGTAGAAAAAGAATGAAAAGAAGAAGAGAGGGAAGTTTGAAAAACACAAAGAAGTGGTTGAATTGGACAATAGGAGGGGCTACAACCTTGGAGTAAACGTAGTGTAGTATGACGCATGTTTCTTTGGAAGACAACTTTTTGGCTGAAACATAAATGATGTGACCAATTAATTTAGCAAACATTTTCAGATCCTGTTATAGATTAAGACACGGCCCTAAAAGATCGAGGTTAAGGTTTCATAACTTTGTAATGACATTAATTCTTGGAGCAGAAGAACCACACGGCCATCATTGTTTTTCTGATTCTTGTTGTTTATTTCTTTCAGTTATCTCGCATTTCATACATGACTTCTTAAGAGACCTTTTTATTCTTCAAGGGAGATAGAGACGGAAATTCAGGATCCACTGAAAAGTCTTAAAAGTACTCCACTGTCGGCTTGTAATTTCTTGTCGGAAGTTGAGACGGGTTCGTTTTTTGGATGGATCTTGACTATTTCTTGGTTGGAACATGCCCACAAACGGGTGTATATCGGACCAAGATCAGGATTTGGTCGGAAGTTGAAAGTCGAAATACTACTAAATTGGAACCTTGTCATACTCGGATTTTGGTCGACATTAGTAGCGGTATTATCCGGAATCTGACCACCTTTCAAAAGTTGCCGGCGACGCTCGAGTAGTTAGTTTTAACACCTACACCTCACTGCACTTCTGACGGCAAACCAATTACGTTCAGACCCTATACGTCATTAGTCCGGAATTCCTCATTTCCATGTACATTCATTTCCATGTACATTCCCATCTCATTCTTTTCCACTTCATCAATGTTTGAAATTAATTTCGGGGTTTCTGGGAACTTCATAATGGTCTGTCTCGCCATATACCCATCATTAGATAAATTATCCACAATCTACGTCATTCGAGACTTACGAGAAGCTTCTCGAAGTGATTTTCGGAGATGATGGTACGTTTAAAGTGCATAATGTACGTATTTCAGTTGTCTGAACAATGCAGCGACGGCTTTCAGTTACTTCAGAATTAGCTGAACGATCAGACTGACGTTATCAATCTCAATGCTAGTTTTTTTCCAATACTACTGCCAAGGTGTGCTTATTTTTGTCTGTTGTCCAACGTCAATATCGTCTATTCGATCAGAAAACATATGAACTCTTTCGGGAATACTGTGGAGGCGAAATTTCACAGTAATTGGTTTCTATTAGATCTCGTACCCCTATCCCAGACAATAGTAAATTGGATTTTCACCTGGCATCGATGTGTTGTTCATTCCTCGATACTAGGAAGGCCTTATGACTGAATGTTCCGTTTTAGTTGAATGAATATTGCCATGGCAATATTTTGTTCCGTTGGTCAGTGTACACAGAAACGCAAACTCAGAGAGAGAGAGAAAACTCTACTCTGAACAATGCAGCGACGGCTTTCAGTTACTTCAGAATTAGCTGAACGATCAGACTGACGTTATCAATCTCAATGCTAGTTTTTTTCCAATACTAATGCCAAGTTGTGCTTATTTTTGTCTGTTGTCCAACGTCAATATCGTCTATTCGATCAGAAAAAATATGAACTCTTTCGGGAATACTGTGGAGGCGGTCACCTATATTTCTCCGCCTATTCGTTAGAATCGTAAAATGAATACTAATAATATATTCAAAACCTAAAACTTCCTTAAACCGGAACTGCTCGCTCAATCTCGAAATGAGTGCTCGTTGGATTTTGGATTATGTTTACCGTTCTGAAAAATTTGGAATGGTCATCGCTTCGTTTTCCAATATTACCCTCTTGTCTTTGCTCGCATTCAAAGCTTCAAGCTCATATGGTGCCTACCGTAACCTCATGGTTGCCTATACCATCGTTGAAATCATTTACTCTTTTTTGAGTTTTTGGACTGAAATGGCAGCTTTGAGCACCGACAAAGCGTATGTCGTTTTCAGTTATTACTACGGATACGTCGATCGTTCAATTGCACCATTTTTTCTCGGTTAGCCATCTTTCCCAATGTTAAGTACCAATTTTCAACTTTAGTTGATTTCTGTGGAATTTATTTCACACTCTTGCTGCTCCTGGTTGTTCATTTTATCTATCGGTATTTTGTGGTCTGCGAGTGAGCTGTACACCTTTTTTTTGTAATTGTGTTTAATCTTTCCAGTTTCCAAAAGTTGAATTATTTCAAGGGGTACAGATTGGCATTCTGGGTTAGCGGATGTGCGATTTCCGGATTTGGAAGCGGTTTTCTCAAGGTATTCACATTTCCTGAAAACGAGCAATTCTCAAACGAATTACGGTAAACAGTGAATATCTTATAGAAATTAGAGATTCAAAAACATTATAGGGACGATTTCATGGAGTTTTACAACCTGACCATGGATCAAGTCGTTTACAATGGACCTAATTTCTATGTCTGTGATGGACTCGGAGTTTGTGAGAAACCAATAGCGGTTTGGGCAACAACCCTTTACTTGACCGCTGCTCTTGTAAGAAATTTTAGTCTTGAATCAACCGCACGTTTAGCCTTTCAGTTTGTGTCAGTGTTCATTATGTTGTTCTGTGGATACCAATCTACTCAAAAACTCAATGTCAAAACTTCCAGCACAAGTGCACGCACAGTTGAACTACAGAAGCAATTGATGAAAGCGCTAATTATTCAGGTGTTCCAGAAGTTTAAATTAAACCAACACATATTTTCAGTCAGCCATTCCAATCGTCTTCATGTACATTCCGATCATTCTCCTTTTCGTGGCTCCGATGTTCCATTGGGGATTCGGTCCCTACGTCAATTTCGCTATGGCTACTCTTGCTATCTATCCTCCGATTGATCAATTTGCCATCATCTATGTAATCAGAGATTTTCGTAATGCAATCAAAGGTATCAATCCTTTTCTTCAGATTCATATTTCACTTTCAGACTTCTTCACTTGTAAAAAAAAGACAGTCAGCCCACAAGCATCTGCTGCGTTCACCACTTCCCGATTGAGCCTTAAATCAAACATCTGATAAGTCTCTCATGTTTTTCATATTACGATTCTCAGAAAAATAAACTTGTTTCCGTTTTGACAGACATAGAAATTGTGAAAAATCCTTGGGGAGCTCTACGTAGGGCAGTCTGTCTGAAAGAAATTTGGATGTTTCAGAAATCATATTAGGGACATGAGTTCTGATTAATGGATGAAATGGTTTCGCAAGTACTTCAGAGAATCCTATTTTTGGTATTATTGAAAAATGAGCCAGTTTTTTTGGATCCATGACTGTTTCATTATCGGTGGATTTAGTGCGAAGTTGTCGGAAACAGGGACGCGGCTTTTTGATTTGGGTACTTTTGTAATGAGTGTGATTCGGTTCTAGAAACTACTGGTTGGATGAGCTTGTTTCCAAAAGATCGAACGGTTCGCTCCACGGCAGCCTACCCACGGCCCAGGCCACGGTCTTGTTTCTGACAGCCTTGATTTGGTGTAGTTTGTGGATATTCTGGAACGAAAAGATAAAAGAAACATGATTACCAAGGTATAAATTGTTTACAGCGCAAAACTTCTACATTTAAATTTGACAAAGCTAGGATTTAAAAGTTATACTTCATTTTTAGGTACTCGATGAAAAAATGACGATAACTGTGAATGATCAACCTTTGGCCGTGGTATATACCATAATGATCTACTTTGATCTACTATGGAGTGTTTCATGTATAAAACAATTTTTCCAAGCTAATATTTTCTTACTCATGCCCATCCCAATTCTTGCCAGGTACAATATGTCGGTGGTTCATTTCCATTGAATCGTACTAGAACTTACGTTTGTAATCTATCCATACATGTATTGACCATAGTTTTATCGTTAAAGGAGAAAGACAGGAATGTTTTTGTTAACCTGTTTCCAATCGGCGGGTTCGGGCCAACCTGAGCCACAGCAGCTTAGCTGGTGCAGCACCTCTGAAGCTGGGGCACAACTTAAACTCCTCGACGTGCTTTTATTGACGAAACTTTGACAAAAAACTAGTTTTTCTATTAATTTTTGAACGGAGATCGCTGCAAAAACAAAAAACGTATTTTTGCAGTTTTCATAATGAGCAGTTTGCTTCCTAATTCTCGGAACAAGGAAATGCTGCTAATCATTTGGTCCCTACAGATTTTCTGCATCATTATAAAAGACAGCCAACCAGCGCCTAAAATTCATTCTCAGACGTTCTTTATAACATTTGTGACATACTTTGATCAAGAATATTTGAGAAATCACATTTAGCGCTCCCTTCGTTTTGGCGAAACTTCTTTCTACTTAATAAACACCTGCTTGTTGGTTTCGACAAGTTTTCAGATTATTTTCAGTTTCATTTTTTTTCTCGACGATGAGCTCTAAATTTCTGTTAAACTTGGCTATCCATACTTCTGGTATAGGATTCTTGATATCTCTTTTGTCGGAAATTCTACTATTGATGTTGATCGTTTACAAGTCAAGAGACAGTTTTGGATACTACAAAAATCTGATGATTGTGTATAATGTGGTACTGATCATGTATTCCATAGCAACGTCCAATGCGAATCTGGCCGCCCATAGTACTGAAACTTCCTATGTTCTATTTCGGATGTATAATGGCCCGAACAGAACCATTGGTCCGCTGTTGATTCGTAAGACTTGAAAATAAAGAGAATCGAAACATGTAAATTCAATTTCAGTGCAATTTTGCACTATGTACGTCACCATGCTGATCATTCTCTCCGTCCATTTCATCTACCGATACGTAGCGGTCTTTTATCATCGAATGCTTTGGATATTCAGCAAATTCTACTTGGCTCTATGGGTTCTCGGATCATTCACTCTCGGCTTGTTTCTGATCTCTCTGAAGTATTTCTTCCTCGGCGAGTTCGACTATTTCACTGATGAATTGAGGTATGCATATACCTCAAACCTCCTTTAAACTTTTAAAACCTGAAAATTTCAGAGAAGTCTTCAAGAACAATTACAATCTCACAATGGATCAAGTAATTTATAACGGTCCGATATATTACGTACGTTTCAGTTAGTCTGTCTCAAAAATGTTGAACTTTTAGATCTGTGATGATAAAGGAGAGTGCACTAAACCACTTGGTGTCTGGCTAACAATGCTCGCACTGTGTTCCTGCTTCGTAATCTGTCTGGGAGTGATGGGATATTTTGGAACCCGTTGCTTTTATAGACTATCCCAAATTAAAACGGAATTGAGTGAACACACAAGGAAAATGCAGAAACAGCTACTGTTCGCATTAGTGATTCAAGCAGGAATTCCAATTGTGATTATGTATACGCCAACTGCTCTTCTCCTAGTCTCGCCAATTATAGGAATTTCATTCGGAGCCTATTCGAACATTGCGGTTTCCATGGTTGCTGTGTATCCTCCAATCGATCAGTTGGCCATCATTTGGATTATAAGAGACTATAGAAATGCTATCAAAAGTAAGTAATAGAATTGTTTGAAGGGCCTTCCCTTCTATTAGTAAGCCCTTATATTGAAGGGGCCATTCTAAAAGGGGTTTTGCGGTATTTGTCGATTTCCAGGAATGTTCTGCAAAAAAGTTGGACCACAGGAAGCAACGTCGATCTACTCAAAAAATAGAACTTCTCTCTAGTCGGATAATTAAATTTGTTTTTTTTTTTAATTTGATTAAATTTGTTTTTTTTTAAATCTTACTATAATAAAACACATTGCTCAGGTCTGGGTGTCTAGAAATCGTAACATCAAAAAATGGTTTCATTTTGAACTATCAACGGAGCGAATGATCTCGCTAATCTTATGCAAACAGTTTTTCAGCTGCACGATCCCATGTGGTGTTTCACGAAATTTCAGATTCGTCAAAACTACATAAACTGGTCATTGAACTTTTATAGGAATATAGTATCTTGAAACTCAAAATTAGTGATCCGGAATTGTATGTCATCCTTATCACAGCAAAAATTCTTATCAATGGTTATGAAATCATTCAGGAATTCCGTAATTTGCTTTTCTGTTTTTAATTGATCGATGGACCTAGTGACTCATATGTTTAAATGATCTGTCTGCACTAATCGAGCACCATTTTGTTACTTTTAGTTCAATATTTCCTTCTCTTTGCCCTTGTCGGCAAACGATACAACATCATACGCGCAGTTTCCCCATTTTCTTTGTGTCTCTATGTTTCCACTCTCTTCTTTACTTTTTGCTTATATCAGATTGATTAATTCTTTGTGTATCCATTAGAACATTAGGCCATGGATTGCTCCACATCGACAGAAAACCACTCAATGGAAATCGCTATTCCCGATTTGAACACGTGCCAAATATGTGACCAACCAGCTCATGGTCAACATTTTGGTGCACTGACCTGCAGAGCGTGTGCAGCATTTTTTAGAAGATGTCACTTTTCGAAAGGAAGCGAACCTAGGTGTCAATACTTGAAATCTGATTGCAAACCGGATCAAAGAGGAAGGTGAGAATTGTCAAAATCCAGCTTTGAAATAACAACTTTCAAGTTTAGATGGAACTGCAAAAAATGTCGAATGGATAGGTGTATTTCTAGAGGAATGAAAACCAACAGTAAGTATTTTACTGGTGTTTTGAAATTTGAAAATCGAAATTCCAGATATTCAATACGATCGCGACCTTTTTCGATCTTCAGAGACGTACCTGAAGAAACGTCTACTACCTTCTATTCTCTCTGAACGCATTCCAGTGGTTTGTTTTGAAAAATTTTCGAAATCAATTAAAATTTTCAGACAGTTGAGTCGACGTTAGGATCTCCTCATTATATCTGCTTCACCAAAAAATATACAGAAGATAATAAACCAATCACCTATGTGGATATATCTGCATTCTCTGCGAAAATGTATGAATTAATGCTGAATGTGAGACTTTTTTTTTATCATTTCCGGTATTATAGTTGAAAGTTTCAGGGCCAAACAGATTACTCCAGGTTGAAAAGGATGAGCGATTTGGAGCAGTTGGTTCGCGGACTGGAGGACTACCGCAGCTTGCAGCAGCGAACATGTTTGACTGTAGGTTTTGATTTTCTGGAAATCAAGTTTTCATCAAGTTATTTTTCAGGAATCTTCATTCATAACTAAAGAAATTGCATTTTATGCATGGGAGCAAAATATTCTTGCTGTGGCCAACTGGTTGAATTATTCAGAGACAATTAGAAACCTTCCTATTCAGTTGAAAATGGATCTTCTGCAAACCACGTGGTTTATTTGGACGAAATTGGAAAGAATGGCAATGACTGCAGAGATGAGGGTGAACAGACAGTGTGGAAAAAATGTAAGCATTACATGAGCTAAAACAGTGTCTTGATGGTTTTGTATTGCTCATCGTTTCGCAAATAAACAACAGAGTCAATAATGAAGATCAAACATTCAACGACCAAAAGAACAAATTCTGTGACTTATAACAATTTTTTTCAGCAATTTGTGGTTTCTCATGAAAATCTGATTGACTACAGTAATATGAAGGCAGATATGAGTTGGTGGAGTCGTTATCATTTTGATGAACTTCAATAGTAAGACCGGTCTCTAATAAAATCTTTAATACTTTTTTCAGTTTGTTCGATTTAAAAGAATTATTTTTCGATGAACTGGTTTGGGAGATTATTGAGATTCAACCCGACCCAGTTGAACTTACCTATTTATTGTGTAGTCTATCTTTTGGATTAGCAGGTGGGTGTTGATAATCGAATACCCTTTTTAATCCTTTCATTGTTTTAGCAAATCGCTTATGCGAAAATCTTCAAGAATTTCTAGAGCAGTTTCAGGAAGCATTAGCTAACGATTTACACAATTATTTCATCAAGAAAAATCAAGTCTTATATTCCCATAGAATACGTCAGCTAATGAAAATTTATGATAAATTTGTGGTTCGTTGAAATTCTAGGAAAATTGTATCGAAACTCTCTTTTCAGAAACTTCGAAATCTTCGTTCTGAGAAGTATAGCGTCTGCTCGATTCTTGGAGTTTTCAGACTAAACATTTCGAACGCTGAGTACTTCCGAGTAGCCTGCTAATCTCTATTAGCAACAAAAACTTTTCTGTAAAAAGGAAAACTAAACATTTGAGGTCATTTTTCTCTGTTTTGATGTATGTCTTCTTCTTCTTTTGGCTTCTTCGGCGAAGCGTGGATTTTTATCAATACTGCATTCCCTTTCATTTCGCATGTAGTCTTCTATTTTCCTTGATTCCTTAATACTTTGTTTCCTCTATATATTTTATTGACAAAAACTAATATGGGATTCTTCCGATAGTTCCATTTTCTTCTTTTGGTTTCTCTGCCTTGTGAATAGATCTTTGACCGAGATAATTGACTCTACACTTCTTCCACCTCTTCACAATTCTCTTCTCGTCTGTTTCCAAGTAACAAGGCATTTGAATAAAGATAAAAGAAACTTAGAGAACAAGACGGAAGACCTTTTTCAAACATGAACCAGGTGAGCTCACTCTAGTGTTTGCTCTTTTTTCTCTTTTTCCCTCGATTCTCATACTTTTTCTCACCAATTTTTCGTTATTCTATTTTGTGTTATCATCTTTGTCGAACATGAAAAAAATTAATAAATCAATAATTGCTCTTTGTTACTTTGTGTTAGATCACATGACACATTTTTTGGGATTCTTGTTCCCAGTTGAAACTTTCTGAAGATATTACGAAATCGTCTTATCATTTTCCTATTTCAATTTTTCCCAGGTATTATGAGTTGTTCAACACCGTCCTCATCAGAATGCTCCATTGGCAGCGTGGAAGTGGACGACTTCAAATGTGAAATTTGTCTCGGAAAAGGTCATGGAAATCATTTTGGTGTGAATGCATGCAGAGCATGTGCGGCCTTTTTCAGGTAAGAAACAAGAAAGGAAAAAAAATTCAAGTTTGAAATTTCAGACGAATGATTCTTGGCACTGGATTCCGACAAAAGTGCCGACTGACGAAGAATTGTAAGCCTAAAGATGGACGGTAATTGTTTTTTATTCTTCTTGAAAATCTCAAATGTTTGTTATAGATGGTTTTGCAAGAAATGCCGATTGGATAAATGCTACCGTTTAGGAATGACACCAGATAGTTAGTCCAGATTTTTGAACGAATCCAAGTAGTAAAGTACTGAATTCAGATATCCAGCATGACAGAGACGCCCATCTCAGTTCCGAGTTGTTTCTGGAAAATCATAACAAACGGAAACTACAAGTGAGTGTTTTACCAACTGTGAGTTTTTTTACCAACTGCGAGCATAAATTGAAAAATGAGCCACACTGGCATTTCAGACAGTGGAAAAATTCGTTGGAGTACCTCATTCGGTACTTTATTTCAAGCGAGAAAAACTGCCCAAAAAGATGTGGACTTATATTGATTTAAGCAAACTTGTTCAAAGAACCGAGAAGATTCTGAAGACAGAACCTAGTTTTGATTCTGAGACATTCAACATGACGACGTTGGAAAAGCTCACGTTTGGATTAAGAGAAGCTAGAAAAAATCAGCAACAATTCCCGGCCATAATGAAATCAATGGGAAAAGAGGAAAATTGTTTTATATGGGAGCAACAACTGATGACTGCTGCCAATTGGATAATGTACTTTGATGAATTCCGAGCGCTTCCATTCGACCAAAAATTCGCAATGATCAAGTGTATGTGGCATCTATGGGGACGATTGGAACGGTTAGCAATGACCGCTGAAATGAGAGTTAATGGATATTGTGGAAAAAGAGTAGGTTGAAGTTCAGCTGGGATGATTGTATGTCGATTTTTAGGATTTCGTAATTTCACATGATGCCCTGTTAGACTATGATAACGTGGACTACGATCCTTCGTGGAGCACTTCGTATTCGAAAGACGAGTTGTTGTAGTGAGTGATTTTCAGTAGAGCTAAGGTTCAACATTTTTTATTGTTTCAGTTTTCTCGATGCTCCAACATATCACGGGGAGCCACTTGTTGAATCCTTTATCAATATCAATCCATCAGATACGGAGTTGGTTTTTTTGATTTGTAACCTTTGTCTACGATTAACAGGTAGGAGCTTGAGAAGCCATAAGACTATGTACATACTTTCTAATTCCAGGAAAAAAATTAGGTGGGGAAATCGAAGAAGTCACTCAGAAGCTACAAGATGTTTTAGCTAATTCTCTTCACAAGCATTACACCGACATAGAAATGCCAAGATATGCTCATCGGCTCGCAAAACTGTTGTCGATTGGAAATGATTGGTTGAATCTGACGCATAAGCGAAAGGAAAAAATGCAGGTTGCCTACATTTTGGACGTTTTTCATGTAGAGTTTTCTCATCCAGAACTATTCCAATACTCTGTTTAATTTATGGTTTTTTTTCAAAACATCAAAACGATCATCTGTACTTTCCATCTCACCTGTTTCTACAAAACGTTTTCCCCCGTGTTTCTGTCATGACAGTCTTCTCTAACCTCCGATTTCCTTTCCATGTCTCTGCTTCTCTATGTTTCCAATCTCAAATGACTCAGTCTCTCTGCAAACATTTTAGTCTTTTCCTACCCTCTCGTGTGTTCTGGATTGTAATTTCATGATTTCCATACATACATATTTAATGAAGTTTTTCCCATGATTTCGTTCATTCGTTTTATGAAATTTCACAGTAATTGGTTTCTATTAGATCTCGTACCCCTATCCCAGACAATAGTAAATTGGATTTTCACCTGGCATCGATGTGTTGTTCATTCCTCGATACTAGGAAAGCCTTATGACTAAATGTTCCGTTTTAGTTGAATAAATATTGCCATGGCAATATCTTGTTTCGTTGGTCAGTGTACACAGAAACGCAAACTCAGAGAGAAGCGCCTTTCTATTGTCTCGCCTCCAACGAAACACTTGAATCTTCTATTTCACCTTTTTCTATTCATTGTTACAGATGAACCCTTCAACTTCTACTTATGATTCCCCATTTTCTTCAAATTCTGGGAAAAACACCCCGGACACTGGAAAATGTCAAATCTGTTTTCAACCTGCTCATGGAAAACATTTTGGAGTAGAGAGCTGTCGAGCTTGTGCAGCGTTCTATCGAAGAGTGTTCGTCACTCATAAGCAACATTTTAAATGTCGAGAAGGAAATAAAAAGTGTGCTCCAGATGTATATGGAAGGTTGGTGTTCTTGTTCCCTAAACATAACTATCCGGACCATTCCAGGTGGAGCTGCAAAAGATGTCGAACTAAAAGATGTTTTGATCTAGGGATGAAACCAGATAGTATGTGTTTTTTATTATTATTGATTCATTTGAAATCGAAAATATTCAGATATCCAGTACAATCGAGACCACTTTTTTTGCTCGGAAGACTTTTCCAACCAAGTGACACGAAAATCGGACACGATCGTTAGAGCACCTTCCTTGCCTGAGTTTACTTCTTTTGTTGATCTGTCTGCTTTACTGGAATCGAGAAATAGGTTGCTCTCCGACGTAAGTCTTGAAACTTTTTACCACAAAAATCATAAAGTTATTTTAGAAATCTCAAAATTTTTTTGATGATTTGTCAGTTTCAAACCCTCTCCAAAAACTTGCATACGGGTTGAAGGAAGTGAGAAAACAACAAATTAGCAATAATATTCCAATAACGAAATGCATCGGGATGAAAGAATCACTTGAGTTTTGGAAGTCAGAAGTAGAAAGAACATGCATTTGGCTGTCTTATTTCGATGAGTTCCAAAATTTAAGCATGGAAGACAAAGTAAGATTTGGTCTTAAAAGGTTTCAAAACTTAAACTATTCCTTCAGATCCATATTACCACTTGCATGTGGATTATTTTCACAAGAGTGGAGAGAAGTGCAATGACTGCAGAGTTAAGAAGAGCATCAAAGTGTCAACACAAGGTAAGAAGTTTAATTTTTCAGATTATACAACCTTTTTGTAGGATTTTGCATTCACCACCTACTCACTGATAAACACGGAAGCTCTGAAATGGGATTTTGAATGGTTGAGTCACTTCCCATCAGATCAGATGAATACTTTTCTTGGGACGACGCAGATGATTTTGTGCGAGCCTTTGACTAACTGTATGATGGACGTTCAACCAACTGATGAAGAACTCTGTTATATTTTATGCGATCTCTGTTTCTATTTTCTGGGAAACAAAATGGGAGGAGAAATGCTGGAAAAGCTGGAACAATTCCAGAAGGTTCTAGCAGATAATCTCCACCAATACTATACGCAGCGAGGAAGTAGATATTCACATCGACTGGGACAAATTCTGAAAATCAGTCAGCAGTACAAGGTAAAGAATTGTGTGTCAAATAAAACTTCAAAAATAAGTTTTAGGCATTGATGGAAGAGAAGCGGAAAATTCGAGTCCTCGGACATGTTTTCAATGCTTTCCGTGCCAATTGGTCTCATACTGATTTATTCATTTACGAACCATTCCATTAAATAAAATATTAAGATTATTGGAATTTCATATTTAGCATAAACTGTTTTCAAACATCAACAAGTTACCTGAAAATGTTGATTCTTGATTTCATGTTTGTATACATAGTAACTGCGAGGGCGTATATACGCAATTTAACACATTTTCAGTTGTGACTTGTATCTTCTTTTTAACCGGTCAGAAAATAACGTCATCCTAAAAGTGGTATTCGAATAGAATTGATTTAACAATGTCGGGAACGAAATTAATTGAATTGATTTAGCCTTTGATCTTGTCTATCTTTTGATTTTGTATGGTCTGCGTCCTAACAAGTGTCTCTTTTGTCGTTTATGTACTAAGCTTAGTCAGTAGTCACAACCATTATTCTGTTTCTCTGAATCTCTCCCCATTTGTATGATTTACGCCACTAACCAAACAATTACTACTATACGCAGCGAGGAAGCCACTAACCAAACAATTTTCAAAGCGTATCGTAAATACTACGAGAATCGATTTTCTTTTATTCGGAGAAGGGGTCTTCGAAAACATACTTTTGCTACATTGACCATTCAAGTATGAGAGGATCATAAGTTCATCTTCCTGTCTGTATCAATTAAATGCTAATCTTCTCAAAACGCCCGACCTTGGTAATATGCGAAAAATAAGTCGGTGTGTTGTGGTGTTGACATTTTCGTAACCATAGGAAATATTCGAGAGGGGTTTCCCATAATTCCATTTCCCCTGGCAACCCGCTCGCGCGCTTTTCTTTCTGTCCTATATCTCTACATTATATAACTTTCAATCCATTCTTTCCACAAACTTTTATATATTTAGAAATGGACTCTGACTCGTCACCGTCTACATCATCTGCATCATCATCCAGTGTCAGTACACCAAAGTTAACATCGGAAAAATGTTTGGTCTGTCTTCAACCTGCTCATGGAAATCACTTTGGCGTGGACAGCTGCAGAGCATGCGCTGCTTTTTTCAGGTGTCGTTTTCGAATTAATCACATTTGATCAAATTGAACTTTATACAGACGAGTCTTCGTCACACACAAACAGCAATTCAAGTGTCGAGAAGGGGATAATAAGTGTACTCCTGATGAATTAGGAAGGTCTGTAGAATACTGTTACTTTGGTGTTTAATTGAACTTGGAAATTTAGGTGGATCTGTAAAAAATGCCGGACGGATCGTTGCTTTGCACTTGGCATGAAACCAGACAGTGAGAAATTTGCAACGTTTTTTAAAGTTATAATTTTTCTTTAGATATCCAAAGAGACAGAGATCGGATGGTTTGCTCTGAACAGTTCCATGAAGATCGAAAGAGAAAATCCCACGAATCAATTATACCACTGGTACATCTGATTTTTCGATTCTATATTCTCAGATTTTCAATTTTCAGACAGTTGAGAGGTTCGTGGGAAACAAAGTCATGAGAAATTATAGCCTTGGTTCCGGGAAGAATGTTGAATACATCACATTTTTTGATCTTTCTTCAATTATAAGCGACGCCGAGTACATTTTGAAAAAAGTGGGTACATTTTGAAAAAGATATCGCTGTAACTCAAAAAGCTAAGTTGAAAAATTTCAGACTCCAAAAATAGACAAAACATTGAAATTGAAAAGTTCTCTGGAACAACTTGCTTCTGGACTCCGCGAAGTTCGAAAGACACAACTTTGGAAGAGTATTCCGGAAATGAAAAAAATCGGTAAAATTGAAACATTCAATCATTGGGTGGATGACATGAGAAGAGCTGGCGAGTGGATCATGCACTTTGAAGAATTCAGAAAGCTGGAGCACGGCGAAAAAATGGAAATTCTAAAGTGCATGTGGCATCTTTTTTCTCGTTTGGAGAGGATGCAGATCACTGCCGAAATGAGAAGACAGAAACTTTGTGAGGACAATGAATTTGTCTTTGGAAGCTCGAGTCGGATCAACTATGAAAATTAGAGATTGACGGCAAATGGTTTTCAGAAGCATCGGATAAAGAAATCAGATAGTAAGAAGTTCATTTGTAATGGGTAGAAATATAACTTCAAATATTTTAGTTTCCTGGGTCCGCTCGAAGTGTATTTTTGTGAAACAATCATACGAGGTTTAGTCGAGTTACGTCCGACTGATGTGGAAGTAACTTACATGTTGTGCAATCTTTGTTTCCATTTAACCGGACAAAAACTTGGAGGAAGGATTCAAGAAATCACTGATCGACTTCAAGATGTGCTGGCAAATGATCTCCATAAATATTATCTCGAAAAGGATAGCTACTCAAGATACTCATACAGATTGACTAAGTTATTGAGTTTGAACAGAGAATATCAGGTATGCCTTGATTGCAAAAAGCCAATAAAAATATTTTTTTAGACAAATATGGAAACCCGGAGAAAAGGATTTTTCTTAGCCAACACTTTCAATGTGTTCCGTGTCAAGATGTCACATCCGGAAATGTTTCAGTTCTCGTGCTGAATTCCACTTTTTTTTGTTTTTCTTCTTCTCTCTTGGGATGTAAATTCTCGACAAATATCGTGTACAAAACTGTTTATTTCGCGATGAATGATCATGATAATAAAAAGGCAAATCGTATTCATACCCGTCTTATATTCTGGAAAGTGAACAGAAAGTGGACACGAATAGAAAGAACAATGATATAAGTATCAAAAAAGCAAAACTGGGAACACTCGAAAACCAAAAAACAAATTGGGAAAAAATGAATAAATTATAATATTGCACCTAAAATTCAAAGTCCTTGCTAGCGTGACAGTAAATCGTGCGGATTCTGTCCTTTGCAGGTTGAAAGTTGGACTGGAGAGATAGTGTAGAATAGTAGAAATTGAGAGCTCTTTGATAATCTCCAATCGATGCATAAATATTTCCAAGTGTGAAGTGTATGGCGACAAGACGAGGTGAGGTACTAAGAGCAGCTCCGGCAGAGATCAATGCGGAATTCAGAAGGCCTGCTTGATGACAAATGTTGGCTAGAGATACCAAAGCGACATCTCTCATATTTGGTGGAGCAGTGTGAAGAGCGCAACGGAGACATCCCATCGCATTTTCGGCGTTTCCAGTAACTCTCCAGTACAGGGAAGATAGGACGCAGAGCACCCAGTTAACCTGGCCATCCTCTGAAAAAAAATCGTTTATTAATTCAGATTTTTTTAATTTTAGTGCTTACGTGTATTACTGAGAAGCATTGCAGCATGAAGACGTGCAGCAACATGTTCAATGGTATCTCTTTCGTTACCCAGCGACTTTAAAGCTTCAGAAAGAGCCTTCTCAGGCTGATAGAACAGAAATTGGTCACTGAGAGCAAAAGCAGGAATATGATCGAGGCCGAGAATCGGTGAATTCTTGTACTTGTCCATTGTAGGACACACTGGTTGTAGGGACGCCATAGCTGGCATTGGTCCTCTTAAATCCACATACTTCTCGATATCCTCACCCTTGGCAGTCAGGGACACCCAAGTGGATGGAGCATTTTCAAAGATGGCTTCTGGCTTGGCGACTCCATTGCAAGACATCGTTGCAACACGTGGAGGCGGGAAGATTGCAATACCACGTCGAATTTGATGAGTTGATGGTTTCGGAAGGTCAGATGGAAGCTTCGCATCGTATTCTTTCATCACAGACTTCTCCCGAATCCAAAGGAAGGATAATGGCTTTTCAGGGATTTTCGCTAAATCTGAGTTCCATGTTTCCTCCCATTCGTTCGCCTCTTTTTCCTTCTTGGTCGGTAGAACATACTTCATTTCGTTGATTGCTGAATCCCACCACTCTGCTGGTCTTTCAGTGAAAAAGTTGTTCCATCCTCCATAATCCAATGGCATTTCACTGCTCTCAACAGTTTGTATTCCGTCTACTTGGTTGACCCAATTACTGACATCGTTTCGTGAAGTGACATGATTGAATACAGTCAAGAATGGAGATACAATGCTGGCGTAGTCCTGTGTCTTTTTACTGAATCCATCATAGTATCCATTGCATCGATGATAGGCAAGTATTGGTTGTGCATTTGGAAGCTTATGGGGTTCTACGACGTAGCATTGCTCTTCCATTTCTTTTCTTGGCTGAAAATAGAGGATATGAATTTTAAACCAGTTGTAAAGTTAACTTACTCTAATACAAACTGCGTTCTGGGTCACCATTGAACAGCAGACAGTTGGATATAAAGAGGAAATGGCGAGTTTCGTTGATTGTCCACCGCAAGCAATTTTCAAAAGATCTTCTTCAATAACCACATTTTCTGGATCTCTATCCATTGCTTCTTTCAAATGCTGAATTGCCTTATCTACGTCGTGAAGCAACATTTTCATTCGTCCTTGTACAAAATGGAAGAGTGGTTCCTTGTATCCAAGAAGATTGAGTTGTTGCATCAGAAATCCATTTGCATCGTTGATCATTCGTGTTGCTTTGAGCATCACTTGTGTAAGTTGAACTATTGAAATAAATGACTCTCCTGGTTTATCGAGGAAGGCTCCAAGAAGACATTTTGTTGCTTGATGTGCATTTCCTTGAACTCTCCAATAAAGTCCGGCCAAGTTTAAAGACACCCATTTGGGACCAATATTCTGAAAATTCGTCTTGTGATCTTCAATTTGATTATGGAATACTTACATGCTTGATGAGCAGATGAATTCTAGCTGCCATTTCATGTTCCTCCATCACTCTATCCGCCAATCGGACGAATTGAGTTTTCAATGTTCGCTCTGCATACTCATCTGTTTTCCGGTCAAACCGTGGATTCAGAAGTCTTTCGATAGCTTCGAACTAAACAAAAAACATTTTGAGACTGAAGATTTTCAGAATAAACTTACTCCAGTAAAAACGCGGAGATCATCCATTTTGACAAAATCACATCTTGGTTCAAACCATGGGAGAGGTAGACTGTCAGCTGGGAGAAGACCAAGATGAGTTGTCAAAAGTTCCGATATTCTGAAAATATAGGTGGTCATGAAATTTATGTAATCTACTTTTTACTCACATCCATCCTCGATTTTCTGGAGAAATGAATACTTGTGGGAACGTGTTTATTCTGAAAGGGTTCGAAGCAGATACGACTGCCTGACAGTCCAATGAATTTGGCCAATCTGCACGTCTCCAGTAACGATCCGCAGTTTCATCAACTCTCAAACAAGAAATTTAAAATTTTGCTGTTTTGAAAAAAATACTTACTCCTTGTCTGAAAATCTTGGTGGGATCATTCTGAAGTATCCTTCTTTTTGACAATCTCTCGATATATCCAGAAGTGTCTTCTCGAATGCCCTGTTCCTAGGATACACCTCTGTCACTTTCCACGCCGTTTCGTTGATAGGCGGTCTGTTTCGCAGAGTTTTTTCTCTTAATGGAGCCATCAATTCCTCATATTTTTCTGGAGAGCATGTAAGCTGAAAATCAACAAATTAATATAATATTTTCAAGGTCTTTATTTCAACACTCACCGTACATGAAATAGTGGCAGCTACATTCATTTTATTATTGGTCGATGGGAATCTATTGACTTGAGTTCTCTGACATTTTCTGACTGGAAGTAATTGGTTGATTATTTTTGACGATTAAACGACTCACATGGATGTGGCCCATATTTGACTTGATCATAAAATAACTTCTGGTTTGCTCGAATCTCGTTCGATGAAAGAAGAGCCATCACTTTGAGTTTCAAATCATCTCGTTTTTTGTATGACTTTTGAAAGTTGTTTTTCTCATTCACAAGACTTTCCAAATTGTCTTTTTGCTGTTCCAAAGCTTCATATAACCTCATGTGACAAGAAATAACGTATGCTTTTGACTCTCCTAAATCGAAAAATTGATCCAAAAGTCCACCATCTTCTTGGTTTTGTTCCTTTTTGGCATCCTTGAATTCGCTAGCTGCTTTTGCATAATTGTGGAACGTTTTACTGAATATCCCATTCCTTTCCTTTTGCGTTAATTTCAACTGAATCGTTGGTTTTTCAGTTTCCGGATCGGAATTATTGCTCTCCGGTCCAGTGAGAACTGAAGCATCTGCTGTTGCAGCAAACATCATTCCTTTATAACAAGCAACCATGTTATCCGTCGTGAGTTGCTTCAGAATAATATAAGCTTCTACAGAATATCCAGCTCTGTTTAGAAGTGTCGCTATGGATAGTCTGACTGTCTGTTCTGCATGTGCTGGATGGAATGAATCAATGTTTGGAGCTTTGGATTCGTCATTCCTGAAACGATTCAAACTTGTTTCCATTTGAAATTGATTATGAGAACTTACACAAAATGAATCCCAGTTGCATAACATGTCAACGCATATGATATTTTTCCTTGTGCTCTCCAATATGCAGCAGCTGCCATATGAAGATATGCATTTCGAGAAACTCGCTCATCATCATGGGAGAGCATACTAGAAAGCATGTTTCCGAATCGAGACATTCCTTCGGATCCACGTGTGAACTTGGCGAAATCCGGGAAGTACATATCCAGCACTTTTAAATACATCTCATCCTCGGCGCCAACTTTTTCGTTCATACTTTTTCCCAAATCCTGTATCAAATGTTTATATTTTCTTAGTTCGATCAAAAACTCACAACATTATTCTGGCCTTTCATCTTGACAGCTTCAAACCAATAGTTACATCTGGGTGGCCGTTTGTCAGTATCTGGAGGTGATCCAAAGTACTCTTTCACAAATGCGGTGTACTGTTGGTATGATTCGTGGAATTCTGGACAGAGTTCCGCAGTGAAGGACGTATGGAAACTGTCGGGTTCTAGTTTGATACCACGAGATTTACTGAAAATGGAAAAGAGAAATTAGGCTTTAGGATTTGGTATTTATAACAATATTAATGTGTCCATCGAATATTCAAACTTTGTGGTTGTCATAAATGCACTAATAGAAGCCCACCCTATACGTCCACTTTGAGTTCAAAGATCTCGGTTCCTATGAGAGATATAAAAAATCTGTCAACTAATAAAATTTTGATAATTTCACGAAAAACATTTTATCAGTTTGCAGATTTTTTAAAAAAATTTCGCATAGGAACCCAGTTAATTGAGCTTGTAATGCACGTATTGGGTGGGCGGCTCCGGGACGTTTCATTAGCGGACGTTTCGCTACCGGGATAATACAGGCAAAAAATAGGTTTAAACTAAAAAAATAATTTTTGCGTTTTCAAATATGCTTTTTTGATAGAACACAACCTGAAATTCGAAAAAATCTAAAACAAAAAGTTTCAAAAATTAAAATTTGGAAATTTTTGAAATTCAGAATGTCAAAAGTTTTTCAGAATATCGAAAAATGCACATTAAAAAACCCTCAATTTGTTTTTGTAGTCTGAAACCTATCCATTCGCATGTGTATTATCCCGGAAGAAACGTCCGCTAGCTAAACGTCCCAGAGCCGCCCAACCTATACGTGAACAAGATAATTGAGCTCAAAGTGCACATATAGGGAGGGCTTCCATTAGAATATTATATTTTTTTCCAGTGATTTAAATATAATTTGAAATAGAAAATACTTACACACACGCCTCTTCTTGCTGCCTAAAATCCTCTTCAAACTTCGGATTATCAAAGTTCTCGTGTTTCGAGATCTTCTTCCACATTCCCTGCATATCATCCACATGTTGTGATATCACTTTCACATTCTCCACTTGCTTCATAAAATCTGTCAATGATCCGGGCATCCGCATATGGTATGGAGTGTCCATCTGAAATTTTTTTCAAGTTTTAAAATTTACTCCATAATTATTTTTACCACAGCTTCGATCTTCTTCCCATCCTCACTTAGCTTCCAGTGATATGCTGAAAAAACGACCTCATTGTGGAGGATGAGAAGTGTGAAGAGCCATGCGAACCACTTTCGATCCATAGGCCCGACCCGAAGATTTCTGAAAACGTTGTAAATGAGAAAAATCGATGGAATCCTGGAGACACAGATCGGGAAAGGAGATAGAATCTGTAGTTTTCGGGTGGACGACGCCGAGAAAACGAAACAGTGAACACGCGTCACTTAGATTAAGGAATAGAAAAAGAAGAAGAAGAAGCTGGTGACACGATAAATGGATGAAAACGGGACGACGTAGTTAGAGTAAAAAGAAGAAGAAGGCGTGTGGATTGGGGAAAAAGAAGAAGACGAAACTGTTGAATGGTCTGCGAGAGAGTAGGAGATGAGAGGAGACGCAGACATCAAAAGATGTTATTTTATAAGAGTTAAGGGGGTGACCTAATGTCTCATGAGAAGACTGGTAATGACAGGTTTCGAGGGATAGGGAGGTGGAAAAGAAGAAAAAGGAAAAGACCAAGTGAGGAAGTGGAAACTTGGAAAAACTGAGAGATCCAATTGGGACAAGGCCATTTCGGAATGGAGAAGAAGTTTTTGGCAAGTAGGTATACTTCTGCCACGTGGATTGCTGACCTAATTTTTATTTTTATTTATTAGAGGCTTGCGGGTCTTCTGCTTCTTCTTATCCATTTTAATTGGATCGTTAATTTTTTTGATTTATAAGCAGTTTCAAAGGAAACCTTTTTTGCATGAAGATCACGTCAAATAGTACACACACACCCACAAGAAACGAGGTCGCCTTCTCCGTCTCCGTTTGTTAACGACATGCCGATGGAGCGAGAATGCATTCTTGTGGTACAATAAGTGTGATGAAACTCCATTTGATGTTTCTAAATTTTCCCTCGTTTTTCTGAAAGTAGAACTTTCCAAAAAGTTGGAAATGGAAATCTCTTTTTCTTCCTGAAATATTTAAAACACTTTTATTATTCTTGTCCGGCGGCGCTGATCCTTGTAGCCGAAATTTCGTTTAAAGGCGCATTGTCGGTTCTGAAGAAAAAACAGTACAATTTTATCCTAGCAAATTCGATACCGTATCTCGGAATTATTTTATTTTTACCTATTTCTTCCAGGTTTCTGCTCTTTATCGTTATTTATCCTTCGATTCTCATGAATAATCAACTGGATATATTCATAAAGTAGAAAAACGTCCAAAAGATGTCAAAATGAATCAATTTTCAGGTATTGTATCAAAGGCACATGCGTTTTTTTTCAGAAAAAAAAACAAGAGTAATATTATGCTTGTCTGAGAAAAAAAAGGTTAGAGAGTATTTTTTGCAGTCTGAATACGGTAGCGATATCGAAGCGGAGAGCCTAAATAGCACATATTAAGTGGAGACGCAGACACTATTTCTCTGCGTCTCACCCTTTTTTTCTCAGACAAGCATAATAACAGCTCTATGATTTTTGATGAGTTGATCTTATTTCCCTTACTCTATTCTGTGTCTCCTCTCTCTCTCTCTTTTCCCCGATCAAAAAAAAGTTCAGGATTTTAAATATTTTATTCACAACGGCATGTTCAGTTGTCGACGCCGAACACCACCAATACACTACTAATCAACGGACTAATTGAAAAAAATAGGGACAATTGTATAGGAGTCGTCCAAAAACGACGACTTCGTATAGGGGAGATGGAGCAAAAAGTGAAGAGAGATGACCACGTTTCAATTAAAGGGGGAGAAGTGATATAGACAGAGGAAGGGAGGTGAATTGGGTGGGGAGAAAAGGGACAAAAATATCAAAAAACTACAAACTCAAGTAGATTAAACATATTTAGAAAAATGACATAAATGAGAAAGAAATATGAGACCGGTGATCATCAAAAAACATGGGATTTAATGATAATAAACAATTGGATGGGGGGCGAATGTTGACAAATTGAGCTGATGAAATAGGGAAACACTCGGGATGATTTGAAGCTAAATGGGAGAGAAATTGGGATAGGAAGATTCGAAACAACGAGCAAATCGAATCGACTTTATTTACAAGTGATAAACCGAATTGGAACGAAATGATGATGAGTTATCCGGGAAGGGATACAGGGTCCGATGATGAAAATTAGATAAGAGGCTAAGAAAATTGGATAAGAGGAGGATGTGTTTTTCCAGATTAAAAGGGAAAAAGATTGATGAGAACTTGGTGAAAGAAAACAAGATGTTCGCGGTTCGATAATACAAATGGATGGATTGTCTCTTCCTGACATAACGAAAACGTTGTTCAGAGAGCAAGTCAAATAAAAATGGAACAAAACTGAATTACACAACCATTTCAGGCGAAAAAATGAATTTACTAAAGACTTAAGGTGGACACTGTGATGAGTTTACTACGATATCGTACAGTTTGGATATGTATTGACGATAGTACATGTTTTTGAGATACAGAAATCGTTCGATAATAATTTAAGATGGAGGCGTTGTCAGGCGGCGAACGCCAGCGTCGAGGTCACCTTGGCTGACCTAAAAATTAAAAGTTTTAGTACATTTCTATAGACTAATAGTAAAATCTCACTTGTGGAATCGCAATTCGTGTCATCAACTCCTCAACCAACTCGTTACATATTCCAGGACATGAATCTTCGACCTCTCTGAAGACATGTCTTAATTGATCGAGAGCAGCAGTTGCATGACGAGTTCGTGACAAATGCTCAATAGCTGGCAGAAGACTGCAATCCAAAGCTCCTCTAACTCGGGGTGCCGAAACATTTTGGGCTTCTCTAGACGGTGGCGGAGCTCCGTATCCATACATTCTGCCGTGGTGAAGGTTTTCTTGTGAAGACGTTGGAACATGGCTTTCGCGATAATCTTGTCGTCCACCAGATCCACCATGTCCTCGTTGGCGGACCATATCGGAGTATTCGTTGGGATTCTGATTTGAGCTGTGTCCATTCAATCCCGCTGATCCGTTTGTATACTCTCGACGGCCACCACTTCCGCCTTGAACACCATTATTTCCGGACAGTCTGTTCTGACTGTACTTCGATGGAGATGCTTGTGATGATGGTAGTCTTTCGCTCATCGGTCGGCTACCTCGCTCCAGTTCCCAAGAATTCGCAGAGCCTACTCTTTGTCCATTTGGTGAAACCATGGATTGTGTTCGTGCAAGAGACGACGTGGGACTTCCATTTGGACTTCCTAACGTTATGGTGGTAGCACCTCCGGAAGAGGCAGTGTGAGTTTGCGGAGCCATAGAGGAACTGAAGTGAGAAGATGAAACAGCACCTCCGGATCCGTAGCCAGAGGAACTGACAGAAGGGTTTCGAAGTTGTTCAGCGACAGCAGCGACTTGTGGACTTCCCTGAAAATTTCGTTCGTTATTTTCGGTTTGGAGAAGGTCCTTATCAGAAGGAATAAAACCACAGAAAGCATTTTTTACATCGGTATCAATTTTTGTGAAAAACTTACTCGGACTATAGTGCCACCAGGAGAGCCACTCGGAGATCGCCTCCCGACTTGCGCCTTCGGCCGATCAGTTCTCTGACGAACAGTTCCGTCGTCCTCGGCAGGTCCACGTGGTCCCCGAACTGTTGGATAATCCCATTTACTTGTGCCGCCTCCACCATCCGAATCCTCATCTAAATCACTGTCACTTGAAACGCCTGTCCTCGACCTGGAAAACACAATTGTACTATGTCAATGGCTTCTTTAAGTTTTGAACTATAAACAAAGAGTACAAAAACAAACCTATACTCAGCAGCTCTTTCAATCAAATCCACTAGAATGCTGTTTTTCTTTGCTCTTTTGATGAATTGATGTTTCAGAAGAGTGCTGGCTGACGGTCTCTACAAAAATAAGAATCAAGAATAGATTTAGAAAAAACTTATTCTCACATTTTCAGGATCTTTATTGAGGCATAACTCCACAAACTCCTTGAATGGCTTCGACCATTGACTTCCCGATAAAACTGGAGGCGGGTTTTTAGGAATCAAGAACAAAACTCTCATTGGATGAAGATCTGAATGCGGTGGTTCTCCGTTAGCCAGTTCGATTGCCGTGATTCCCAGAGACCAGATGTCAGCCTACAAAACAGATTTTCATCTAAAATGGAAAAAATAAAAATATACAGAGGAGACATGAGGAAAAAGAAGCGGTACCTTATAATCATAACTGGACTGTTTAATTAATTCAGGAGCCATCCAGAATGGAGATCCAACAAATGTGATCCGCTTCTTGACCGTTTCCGTGAGCTGTCCAGCAACTCCGAAATCAGCCACTTTCACATCACCATGCTCACTGACAAGTACGTTTGCAGCTGAAATTGAGGACAAAGGAGTAAGAGAACATATGGATGAAGACCCCAGGGGATAGGATAGACACGGGAAAAGGGTTTTAGGAATGACAAAAAACGGAGAAGGACAGGCAAGTACCTCGATACCGTAGTCGCCTTGTATAACTTCAGGAGCCATAAAGAATGGCGTCCCCACAAAAGTATTCGCTTTCAAAACTGTTGCGAGCGACTTTGCTACTCCATAATCACAGATTTTTACAGCCGCCGTTTGACGATCCAACAGAATGTTAGCCCCTATAATCCCAAAATCAGGCACCACAATTTTTGAAATTGATTTGATTTTTTTTGTCATTAAAGAAAGAATTTCTTTCAAAAAATCTCACCTTTGATATCTCGATGAATTTTTCTTTCACTGTGCAGATATTCGAGCCCTTTCAATATTTCCCGAAGGATCACGGCAATGTGACTTTCATCGAGCTTTCCACTTTTCGTCAAATCAAGTGCAGATCCTCCACCCAAATACTCCATTATGATCCATAATTTTGAACCCTGAAAATTATACATTTTTGACAACTACTATACATTGAAAATTCAAAAACGAACCTTTAGAAAACTACCGAAATATTTTGTCACATATTGAGAATCACACTGGCTAAGCACTTGAATTTCCTGCTGAATATCCTCAATTTCATCTTCTGCTTGCTCGAGATCGATGATCTTTATTGCCACAACACGTCCTGAACGATTGTCGATGCCTTTGTACACCTCACCGAAAGAGCCGCGACCGATGCGCTCTTGTTTCGTGAAGATGACTTCTGGATCCAGCTTCTGAAAGTATGAAATTTGTTGAAAAGAATTTATGTCTTCTAATGTGGGAAAAAACCTCCAACAATATTTTTGGCCGATGGAACATGATTCATAGTTATGAGTCGGTCCCAAGTACACAAAACCAGTAGTGAGTCAGGTAGTATTAAAAATACCGGCGAGAATAGTATAGGGAACTCGAAAAAGCACAAAACTAGAAGTACGAATCTTGAAAAAGTAGGGAGAAAATGAGCGATTTTTAGGAAAAGGGGTTTTCAGCTATTTCTGAGTTTGCTAAAATATATTTTTTTTGTAATTAAGCCCGCAAAGTGATATTTTTGAAGTGACACCGGTATCAAAATGCTGGCTGAAAACTTTCATTTTTCTCATAAAAATTATGAAGTTCGAACAATTCGAAAAAAAATGCAAAAATTTCCAAAATTCTCTCATGTGTGCAGATGATTGAATCATATATTCAGTGGAATTTTCGAAAGAGAAATTCAACAGATGTTTCGGTTTTTATGTCGAAGCGGTGGTAGGCTCCAAAATGCCAGGTGGCACCTATAAAGAGAATATGCGAGGTCCAAAAACATGTGTTACTGAGGCGACAAAGAGATACGAATTCTACTTTTGCAGAGGGCCGTACAGTCCTAGGCAGTCAGCACAAAAACTGTAATTTCTATGAAGCCAAAAAAACTTACTGAGTTAACAAACGTCATGTGAAAACTTCCAAATGAGACGTACACAACTAATACAGACTTCTCCCGAAAGTAACCAAAATATTATGTCAGCGGAACGGCGGTAAACACGGAAATCGATAGGAGAATGAAATGAGCGTGGAATGTGGTAAAGAGTAGTGATGATTCGACACGAGAGAGACACTCCTTCTACCGCCCCTAACTATATTTGCGCCTAATGATGAATCAAACACTCAACTTGCTCTACCCCTCCTCTCGTTCTCTTATCACTCTATTCTCTTTTTATGGCTTTACTTCAGGTGATTGTGAATGAACAACAGTTGACTCAACCAACAATGATAGAGTTTCGATTTTTAAAGGTATCAGGCTCGCTTTTCTAGGGAGAAATCGGGGAAATTCTAGGAGCGTTAAGCGGCGGGCTCACAAGCCGTAAAAGCACATTTTGAATATAATACACGCCCTGGGACTACAAATATAACTAGCCCTCCCGTCGTTCAATTCCTGCGCCATCATCTCTCTCGTCAAACGAACTGTATACTCTTCCATCCTGATTCTCTCCATCCATTTTCCCTCTCTCTTCTTTTTTCTCGAAAATTTCCGCTGTCACACCGAGGCAACAGCAGCACCAGCACACAGCGTGTTGTTCAAACATTCCGAACCTATGGTGAGGTCTGTATGGGGGATGGAACAGAAAAAGAGCAGAGGGCAACAGGAGGATTCAGGAAGTCCAAGCATAGCGATTTGAGAGCATCTTAATACCTAATTTCATTGGGGTTTGAGAAGAATTAAACATGAGTAGACGATAAAAAGGGCGAGGTAGCGGTGAAAAACGTGTCGATTCCGAGAAAAATACCATAAGAGTCATGAAATCACTAGATAACTAAATATGTCCTGTATGCAGTTGACACTGGAAAAAAACGTCATGATTCTAACACAAAACATACAAGTTACGGTTTCAGAAAGAAAAGTGTGAACAACTCAAAAATGAGCAGTCTGAAGAAATGTGTTAATTACAGTCGAGCATGATCAAAAACCGACGCGGGATTTTGCAATCTGCGTTCCGAGCAATTAAAAACGGTCGCGGAATGAGGGAGAGAAGAAAAAAGGAGGATACTAAACGTTTAGAGCAAACAGACTGCATTCCAACGTAACGATTTTGAAAGACTATCACAGAGAGTGCTTGTTATTTCTCACTGTTAGACAGTTTCTACTCATGAAGGATATTCCTGCATAAGAAATATGAAGTTTTGAGGATTAAAAACCGCCTCCTCCATCACCCACTGTTAGATAAAATGCATCGAAAATTGGGGGAGAAAATCGAGAGATTAGCGTATGGCAGAGGGCCGTACAGTCCTAGGCAGTCAGAACGATAGAGGACATTTTCGATTCGCTTTGGCTGCTGGTCACCTCTCTCATACATCGCGCAGTAGCGCGTCCGCCGGATACAAATTCATCGGAACGACGACGGACGGAAGAAGAAGGCGTAGACGCACTTCAGGAAGAAGAGGCAGAATGGGGACACAGTTGAAAATGTGAAAGAATTAGAAAATCTGCAAAACATTTCTGCGGTTCGCTTTTCAATGTGATGGTGGCAATGCGGAATGAATTTGAATGAAAAGCGTATCAGTTAAAAAACGGAACACTCCTTCATCTGTTGAATTCAACACACGTTTACTCTCTATGATGCTAATTGCTATGATTCGATTGAAGAGTGAAACTTGTTTTTCACCTCTAGCATCTGTACTTTTGTTCTATGTAATACAAACAATTATATTACTATAACTAATGGAAGTAGTGAGAAAAAACTAGGTAGAAATTGTAAACATTAAGATAATTACCTCGACATCGGATCCAAACGTTGTGAAATCCATCCAAGCTTTACCCGAGTATTAATTTTGAAATAGTGAGAGACGACGAGACGCGTCGAATGATAAAACTGAGCTAACAGTCGAAATGGGAAGCGGCGAGTTGATCGTCTCAAACGCTTTTTCAAAAGCATCCGTAAACACCATATATTACGACAACATGCAGACTCAGTAGCGAAACGGAACCTTCAAACTAATTTTACTGATAAATTTTTAATGGCAGCAAAAGTAGTTGTTGTGCATTTTCAGTGGAAAATTTTTAGAAAAGTTGCATTTTCAGATTTTAAAATTTAAGAAAAGTTTGTTGTTGTCGTTACGTCGCAAGCTTAGCACATTTTTTGTACTCTGATTTTCTAATATCGTTTCAAAACCAATTTTTAAAGATATTCTAATCATGGAAACTACACAGTTCGTAGGAAAGGTCTAATCATAGTTCGTAGAAAAGAAAGGAGAAAAAATAATTTTAAAAAGTCAGCTCCCGAACCAAAAACTTTTAAAACTCACACCGTTATCTTCAATTGGCTTAGCTACTTTTCGTCGTTCAGCTGGTTGTGGTGGTGGTGGTGATATTTCTGGTGACATGACATTCAGATTAACTGATAAGCTCGACGGCATAAATACTTCTGGAGACTGTTGCGGATGTTCTGTTGAGTTATAAATTCCTTGAATCGTTTTGCCAAAGTTTGACGGTTTGAAACCAGTTTCGAACCTATTCAGAGTCATGTTTTCTGTGGAATTCGTCTTAATTTCATTAGCAGAAACATATGTGATATGCTCTCTTGGAAGTGTGATTTGTGGAAAATACGAATTCTCTTCTGTTGGATAGACAATATTAGTATTAACAAATAGAGGAGCTGCATAGGAATTCAGTACTGGTGGCGGTGGCTCTGCATGCATGTCTTTCAGAGCTTCTGGTTCTCGAAAAGGAGGTGGAGGAGCAGGTGCTCGCTTCTCGAACCGTTGAATAGCAGACTGAACATTTGTGGCTCGTAAGATAGTATCAGTGAAACGGTGATCGTCCATGCCTGAACTATTGGATAGATTATACAGAAATGATGAATAGAAGCGATTCGAGGTGAAATGAGTAGAATGGAAAACGACACAGAAGGCGGCAAAGGAAAAGAAAAAACGTTAGAGGAAACTAGTGAATCGATAAGGAAGGCAGAATTATGCCATAAAAATTCCTGAGGCGTGATGCATTTCGATAACACTAGTAAAGAAAGTATCGTCTGCGAGAATAAGACGAATCAGAGGGGCAAAAAAATGACAGCTCGACAAACAACACTGATTGTGATAATATGTGGGTGACCGTTCAGAGCAAAAACGAACAGATAAAAGTGTGATCTAACTATACTCTGAGAAAACAAAAAATATTGTAAAAATTTTAGGACTTTTTCAAAGTAACGGAACAACAGCAGACATCAAACGGTCGTGCACTCAAAGAAGGCAATCGACTTGTCGAGAAAATGGGTGGTGAAATTTGATACAAACTTCTTCATCGTTCGGTCAGCAATTGTGCTGCTCAAAGCGGTCACTTTTTGCGACGAGAAGACACACGTAACGAGCCGAGAAAACTGAACAGAACCGAAAAAGAGTACAGGTTTCGGGATTATTCATATTTGTTGTGTAGGTCTCTCGCAACACCGAGAGAAGACGAGGAGAGAGTTTCTATAATCGCAACGGTCAACACTGTTTTACAATTACTTCTTTTGTTGGAATACAAAACGGAAAATCACCCCCTTCTCTCAACGGTTTCGTTTAAAACGACTCACCTCGATATAAATTCGATCCCATTGCAATGAATCATTCGTCGTCGTCGTTGATGAAATCGCCATCGAGTCGACTGAAATATGAAAATAGAGAAGATGTTCAGCCTGGACAGTTGTTGGCTGCTTGATAGAAGCTAGCAGAACGTGGTTGTTATCAAAAAAAATTGAGAAAAACAACAAAAACGGAAGCAAAGTACGTGATGACCCACATCGCACTGTTCTCGCCCCACAGTAACCTAAAAAGCTGTGGAAGAGACACATCGGTGGCAGTCTCCTACAGTCCCACAACGACAACTACAGTAGCAAAGTATATATGTTTTCAGGATCTATTTTCTCGTTTTTTGTGCGTTTTCATTAAATTTACTCGACGAAAATCAGTGAAAACAAAAAAAAATACTGTAGTTGTCGTTGTGGGACTTTCGGCCACGGCCACCGGCGTTCCTCTTCCACAGCTTCGATGTTTTGTATCAGAGTAATATCGAGACCTCACACAGTATCTAAAAAATTCGTCATTCTCAAAACTCCACGGAGACTTACATAAAATAAACACTGAATAGAGAGAGAGAGCGGCCTGACATTCCACTAATATTATATGGGTCATATCATATTTTATGGTTGTTTATGTAAACACGAACCTTCATATTGTTATACTCGATTCAGTTTGATGGTTAGAGGTGTGTAGTGTCGAATGGTAAAAAAGGGAAATCATTATTCTAGAACATTTTTGAACATGGTTTGAAATAGGTTGAAAACATGGAATATGGCTGTCTGAAACGGAAGTTACAGTTGGTCATTTCATCAGAGTTGCTCTTTTCAGGATTTATTGGAACTGATAAAAGAGATACGGGTGCCATAGGATGTTCAATGCAGAACTAGTGGTCTCAGAAGAGCCTTCCAAAATTTTTCTAATTACTGAAGGACATCGTTCTTTGTCATTGCCTGGAAGTTATGGTTTTTGTTAGAGCCAGGCATGGTTATTGTTCTGAGCCCATTGTTCGAAGATTCTAGTACTTGAAACTCCGGTTTCTAATTCGGAGTAAAATACGCTTCATTTTTTTAGGAATAAAAGTTCTTATAAAATTACAGATTTCAGATTTCTATTATGCACATCTGGGAATTGACTCCAATAGGTAAATTATCAGAAAATTCAAGGATTCACAGAGCTAAATTTGATTCGGTTGATCAACTTTCTAAATGGGAAGCAGCCAAATTATATATATTTAAAATTCAGTAATCTTGTTGTATACCGTACATATTTCATCTAGAAGAAGTACACTCAAACCGTCAACATTGAGCTCGTATATCTCATTTTCTGTGATAGACATCAAAAAGTGGGCAACGAATAAAATTTTCACTATAATATCAACATCATTTGGTCAGTTGACCACTTTTTGTTGTCTTGCACACGAAATGAGATAAACGGGCTCAAAGTTGACGGGTTGGGTCGCACTTTTTTAGAGTGTATACGGTAAGTTCCAAATGTTCCTTGAGAATATTTTGACTTCATTCATTCGTTTCAGAAGAATTCTGAAAAACACTCCAGAATGAAAAACTTGTCTCAACCAGGATGCTTGTAAATATTCATGGAATTTTCTAACCCGATCTTCAGGACATCCGGATTCCTTTCGATTTCTTCGGTGTTTCAATTTATTCAAATGCTCACAGCTGGACGTTTTATTGACTTTGATCCACCTTAATCGCCCTCTCGACTATTCTTCGGCTTTCTGTTTCTTAGATATCACCATAAAACGGCTTCAAATTCCTTTTTGTCCGTTGCTTCTCCCCTTTTGTATTGAATATCTTTCCCTTTTTCATCACCTCTCCATATGTCTCTAATCATATCTTTTTATCCAGTCGACCTCGCCCACATTCAACATTGCTGAAAAAAACCCGCTCTGTCCTCTGTATCCTTGGCTTTTGTGATAAACCTTGATATCTTAAGACCTCCTCTCTCCTTTCTCCTTCTCCGCCTGTTACGCAACATCTAGTGTACACTTTTGGCATCATCCAATGAAGCTCTCCCTAATTGGTACGATATCTTCTCTATCCACTTCCTGCCATCGAACGAACACGAACATTGCCATCAGAAGACGATTAACTTGTTTCTTCATCCTTCCCCCTTTTTCCCCTTTTTTCCTCATCGTCGCCCTTTTAGAGGAATTCACTTTCAGTGTTTCTTTTTTTGCTTCCACCCCGAAATATCTCAACTTCTTCACCTTCATTCGTTTTTACGCACTCTCTCTACAACCGATTCGCTTTCGACAATTTGTTCCATCCGAAGCAAAAACACTGAGAAATGAGATGTGAAAGTTTCGCCCCCGGACGGATTACAAAAAGTAAAAACGATCGAATTTGGCGATAGGGATTTTGCATGGTAGACAACCATGCCATTCTGGATTCTGATGTTGGTTCGATGTGTCTCACCTTTTTGATATTCTGGAAAATACATTTTTCAATGATCTCTATCAATAATTGAACTTAGCCCTTCATTCCATACCTCATTCTTTTTTTTAAATATACCGTAAACACTCTAATAAAGTTCCACCCAACTCGTCAACTTTGAGCCCATATATCTCATTTTCTGTGCAACATATCAAAAAGTGGTAAAGTGTTAAAATGGTTTTGATATTATAGTGAACATTTTACCAGTTGACCACTTTCAGATATCTTTCACAGAAAATGAGATACATCGGCTAAAAGTTAAAGGTTCGGTGGAGTGCTATTAGAGCGTTTACGGTAGCTCTTTGATCCCAAAAATCTCCTGATGGCTATTTACTTTGAGTCCATATATCTCATTTCCTGTAAAAGATGTCAAAAAAGGCTAACAAACAAAATATTTACCATAATATCAGCAACATTTTATCAGTTGACAGATTTTTGATACCTTTGACAGGAACAGAGATAAATTGGCTCAAATTTAGAAATTAGCAAGCTCTTCTATTAAAGTTTCTACGGTTTAATTTTTTGATTCCAAAAATCTCACGATAAATATGTGTCATATGTCTGATAAACTTTATATTAGGATATTTCCAGTTTCATCAAGCTAACAGATCAAAGTTCTTCTTATTATCACATTTCCTATTACATCTTTCAAATTCCTAAATCTATAGTTGCTACTCCCACATAAGGATCTCCACTCTATTTTCTGTCCAGTCCAGAAAATCCTGAATGAGTTGAAATATGGGCTAGAAATCCATCATTCCGTTCCACCCGCCTAGTTGATTGATTTAGGATCGTCTTCTGAATTCTGTAGACTTCATCATCTTCGTTCGTTGATTTAAATCATTGAATCAACAGAATGGCAATTAGTGGTCCGATATGACCACACAGCCACTTCGGATTTATTACCCGAAATTGGCTCGTAAATCACGCGTTCTTCATCATTTAGTTTTCCCGAAATCCAAAGCAGACCAAAAGAAGAACAAGAAGAAGCTAATTCGGTGTCATCATCTATCAGAGACGCTCGCTGACCGGCCAAGAATAAGAAGAAGCTGATTGGAAAGAGAAAAAAGCTTCGGGAGACCGTTGTCCGTCGAGACCGTCATTTCTTTTCTCCCCCTTTCGTTTCAACCGCTTCATGTCTCTTGCTTCTCGGGATAGAAATTTCTGTCTCTTCGTGTTATAATTGATCCGTTTCACCAGATAATATACAATTTCAACTTCTCCCCCCCCCTTTGTTTCCCTTTTTCGCACTTCTCACTTCCCCCCAGTTTCAAATGTTGCTTCTTTCTTCTAGCTTCCACAGTGACGTTATCATCCAGTAACCAGTTTTATCCCGATAAGAAGACACATCAGACTTGGCTATGTGCCAAGACTGGCATCCCATACGTTTACCTCAATTATCTTGGTTCTAGTGAAAAATATAAAATAGGTACTTGCCAGCTAGAATGTTCTACGAACGTTTTATCAATTAAATTTTCGATATCTCCCCCCAGAACACTAAATAAAGGGTCCATAGGTACTGTAGTGCCAGTGTATTAAAGAAAACTAAAAACTTTCAAAAAAGAATTAGTCAGTAAGCCCCAGCTAAAGGCAAACCGATAGCGCAAGTCCTATCATCCATGACGAATCCTTCCTTTAGTTTTGCAATACTACAAAAACTGTCCAGAAGCAGCACAGAGTTATATTATTCTTCTTCTTGTTCATCTTCTGCATTGTCGCCCCTTCCTCGGAAATGTTCATCTTCGTCTTCTTCTTCTTCTCCATCGTCCATCGTGGGGCCCCTCTGGTCATGTATCGCCTTCTCACACCGTAATCCTGTCTTCGTGTTCGGCAGTCTGCGTCTACGACTCCTTCGACAAGCTTCTTCTCTCTTTTCTTAGATTGTCGGATCGTCTTCATTCAGCCGGCCACCTTCTTCTTCTGCTTCTTCAGCTTCTCCCCTTTCTTATTTTCTCTGGTTGCCCTCCGGGCGTGTTATATTTCCTGCTGCTACTGTTTACATCTTCTCGGATTCGCTCTCTCCCACCTTATCGTTTTCGAAAAAAACCAATAGAAACTTTTACCACCACCACCCCACCAATACACTCTTAAACTGAACACGATCTGGGTCAAAGCTTGTGCTTACCACTGTTTCCTCTTTTTCTTCTGTTTCTCTTTAATTGCTTTCAAAATGCCACGTCATTTTCAGAAGTCACCAGAAGACGGCTGCCGTGTCCCGTCGCCGAGACACGATGCCCATTCGGTTACTGTCTCTCTCAGTGGTCATTCTATTTCTAGCTACGTCTACATACTCGGTAAGTTCCGACATCATCACTCTTCCCATCTCATTCATCTGTCATATTCTCTGCCCATCTAATTATGTACATTTATATTCATTCGTCCCCACCATCCACGGCAAATTATGTTTATTTATTACCTAATCGGCAAAACAACAACAAGAAAAAAGTGAACAATGCCTTTTCCTTTGCCGAAAGATCGGACGGATGAGATTGTCCAAGAACTAACGAACCGTAGAAAGGAGGCATTCCTTTTTAGTCTAAAAAACTTGCGTATGTTTAGAAACGCAACGAAATTTTTGATTGGCCAATCTAGACATAATCCAAAGAATATTTTAGATGACATCTTGAATTTCTAATATTTTTTCCAGCAACTAAACGATGGCGATGCTTCATTTGGAGATGCACCACACTCACACAGACGGTTGTACGGAATCAGGAGGCTGAGGGTTTGTTAGAACATTCAAGTATTCAAGTTTCAAAACTTTACAATTTTCAGATGCTCCGCCCCATACCTCAAGACATTGAACATTCTCCAACCCATCAGTTTGTTGATCGTAGGCGTCAACCTACCCGATTCTCCTCCGAAGATTCTGATCAGGTCAGTTGAACGTCAAGGGCTTGAAGTTGGCATCATTGAAGGGCAAAAACGTGTTTTATCCATATCCTCCCCCGCAGTTGCCATCTGACTCATTTTTTTGGCTTTCTAATCCCTTTCTACTACTACTATCCTCTGACGTCAGCGGAGTGAAAAAGATGCATAAGAAAGAGAGAACGGTAGGGATACATCAAATTCATCAAAAAGATTTGCCATCCGATACCATACGATTTGTTAAAAGGCGAAGGCCACAAAAAACGACATTTATGTGTATGCATGTCTACTTGCGTTGTCCAACACTTTCTAAAGGGACGGCATGTCATCCAGAGTTTTCGAATTGGACTTCCCGCTGGCGTCATCTCAACACAAGTATCCCCCTGTCTCTCTCCGAATCTCGAAATCGAAACCGCAAATTCTGGTTTCGTAAGCCTGGATGCCCTCTGTGTCGGTCACGCAAAAGGGAATCGGGTTGAATTGAAGAGAAAGATTGACTCCCGTATTGTGTCTCGCTTCGCGAAACTATGCCAGATGACCCCCGCGCTTATCTTAAGCATTTTGTTTCATTCCAAAACTAGCCATTCATCCATCTCATGCGGAGAAAAAGAAAATCAAGTGAAAGTTCAAATTCCATTTTCAGGATCAGGTGCTTGTCCCGAGGGCAGTGGCGCCTCCAAGAGCAGCTCGTCCAGCAGTTACATCAGCAGCTACAGAATCAGCAGAGACGTCTGGAGAATCAACGACGTATATTGTTCAGACTCCAACGAAGTTTGGAAAAAGTTTAGATGATGCTAGAAGAAAGAGAATTGAAGCCAGATGGAAGAGGTTGGGTATCAATTTCAAAACTATCAATCATCCACTTCTCAATACCGTAAGTGATTTTAAAAAGGTCTGAGCAATTACTATCACACTAGTTACTAGAATAGTTATAAGTCATAACAGATTTTGTCAATGTTTTTGATTCATAGGGTGGCGCACAATTACCAGAACTGATAAAAACGGGTATATCTTTAGGCATAAGTATGTTAGAAACACGAAAATTAGTGGAAGTAGGAATTTTCGTTTGATTCAAATCTACTGAAATTTTTAATGCGTTTCCTCAAGTCAAGGTGTTGTTATGATTGTTCAAAGATGAACGGCGTAATGTTTCTTGCACACCATTGTCATTTTCATGAGATAAACCAAATTTGACAAGTGATAACTCAGCTGAAAGTTGATAAATTAATTTGAAACTTGACCAGTTTACTGATGAACTAATTTAGCTTTTCCATTTTGAATTTGAGCCCACTACAACGATTTACTCAAATAGTGTAAACTTTAGTTCGATCAATTATGAGCCACCCTGTACATAATTTGAAAAACACGATACACTTTTACAGGATTCTGAGCTCCCACATAACTCCCACGGTCACCACTACACGATTCGCCAACTGAATGCCCCTCATAAAAAGATAGAAAAAATGGTTGAAGTTGAAAGACCACAAGTAGAACAACCAATCCTTCATGTTGTCAATCCATTGGATCAAGGTATTTTTTGTCCAATTTTGTTTTTGTGCTTTGGGTATACTACTCTTTCAAACTCATTAACTGCTCTTTCCGGTGGCTTTGAATGTAATTGTGCTTTAGGATTTGTACCGTCCGAACCACAACCGCAACTGATCCCGGCCGAGCTCCCCGTATCTGGAAACTATCACTCTCGTACCAAACCTATTCTGAAAGGTGTCAAATTTGTGCAAGAAAAATTGTCCGTTCGCCCTCGTTTGAGGATTCGTCGTCCTGGTTGGTGCTTCTTTTTTCTTTGCTTTCTTGGTCTATCCAATTCGTTTTCTTTTACTATCAAATAATATTTCTATAAATCTAACCATCTATGTTAAAGGAGAGAAAGCTGAACTTCCAATGCCAGAAGATCCAAATTTGACTCCATTCATGAACAATGCCAGAGCCAAATTTGGTTATGGAACAACTACTCTTCCACCAGCAACCACAACAGTATATGTTCCACCAACGACTGCATCCAGAAGACCAACAACGACCACAACGACCACAGAAGCCCCAGAAATAGCCTCTTTCGGAATTTCCGGAGGTGATTCTGAAATCATCGACACTGGAGATTCGGGTCTAGTTGGAAACGGAGACTCTGGTCTTACTGGAGACTCTGGTCTCGGTGGAGATTCCGGTGTGCTTGGACCTCCAGGAGATTCTGGGGCTGGTTTTGGATTCGGACCATCTGAACTGCCACCAGAGTTCCAAAATGTTGGATTTGGAGTAGGAGGAGGAGATAATGGATTCAACTTCAACGTTCCTGCAGATAAGATGGAAGCTAAAAAAGAACCAACAACAACAACAACACTAGCACCAACTACCACTACTACAAAGAAACCAGTGCCTAAGAAGCCAAAGCATGTTCAGAGGTATCACAATTATCAATAGATTATTGATTATAAAGTATCAATTGTTTTCAGAAAACAACCAAACCCAGCCGTTGATAAGGACGAGCCAGTTGTCATTCCACAAAACTCGGGACTTCGGCCAGTTTCTCCACCTAAAGAATTCTCCGGAGCTGGTGGATTCGGAAGTGAGTGATTAATTTTTTATCTATCTCTTTCCCTCTTTTTCAAAAAAAAAAAAAAACAAAAATTTCTCAGGCTTCGGAGGAGGCGGCGGCGGATTCGGAGGCGGAGGCGGAGGTGGAGGATTCGGAGGAGGCGGCGGTGGATTCGGAAGTGGATCAGGACTTGGAGGAGCAGCTCCACCAGCACCACCACCACCGTCCGGACCAGACCCAGACTTTGGAGGAGACACAGGAGCAGCGCCAAGCGAAGGAGACTATTTCACTGGAGAATCAGCATTGACAAGATCCAAGGGTCCAACTGGAGATGGGTATGGACCACCAGTATTCCCAGGAGGAGCTGCTCCACCACCAGTTCCAGCTGTCGGTCTCGGAGGAGCAGCTGCTGGAAAGTCTCCATACAGTGGACAGGCTGTGGATCAAGTTGAGAACTCAGTTACCACAGTGAAACCATCTGCACTTTTGAGTGTTTTGAGCAAGGCAGATACTGGATTCAATCAAGTCATTGATCATTTTGAGAACGGAACTCCACCAGAAGCTGCATTCATTGATATTCTGGAAGTTGCTCTTGGTTCTCAAAAGCTTGATTCTCAAGCCAAACTTTTGGGACATGTGGATAGAACCATCGGATTAGACAACCTTCAGAGGATTCAACGGTGGGCTAACACTGCTGGAGCTATGGATGTTTTCAAGGATCAGGTATGCACAATTTTATAAGCTGAAATCTTTGAAGATTTGATTTTTTTTTTCAGTTCCTGAAGTTCGCCAAAAATTTCCAACCACCGCCAGATCTCTTGCCAACAGTTCCTCCACAACTCGAGTATCTTTTCAAAACTTCAGGAAAGTAGTTATCATATTTTTCTCTTTGTCTTTTTCTCTAATTTATTTATTTTCTTCTTTTTTGTCTTCCAATTCCAAAAGAGTCTCATTACCTAACTCATTCCTTTCTCATAGTTTTATTCCCTCAATTTTTAAATTATTTCTTCTGATTTTTTTCCTAACGATCGACCTCAAAACGGGATAACAAACAAGTCTCGAGCAATAATTCGAATTTGTTTCCAAACGATTTTCCTTTCTTCTGAAATTTGTATGTTCTTGTTTTTTTCTTGGTTCTGCTCATTTCCTTTGCCATCCACTATTTATTCACTTAGACAGTTTGAAATACAAAAAATTATGAAAATAAACAATGATTATTTGTGTTTTTTGTTGAGAAGACAAGTTCCAGAAGAGAAGAGAGACAACCGTAGAAGGAATGGATGAATGACGAAATAAAGAGTTTGGAAGAATATGAAGAGAATGATCGATGAAAATGGAATAATTGGTTTTTGTGGTTTGGAAGAAGAAATCACAGAAATCAAAATAAACAACTACAAAGACATATTAATCATGTATTTGGGGAAAACTAGAAGGACAAAGAAAGAGATTCATGTCAACATTAGGCAATACTTAATACTAGAACATTATGAGTATCTACAACATTTACACGAACCATTCATTCGCTTTCATCATCCATCAAATCGGCCTTGGTCTTCTCGGCGTTCTCGATTTGAGACATGAGGTTCTCCAGACGACGTTTGATTCGCTTCTGATCATCGGCAGCGCATTGAATGATGATTTTCAGGAAGTTCTGGCAAGTAGCTCCAACTGTTTCCTCGTAAGAACATGCATTCAAGTAGGTTTGGAGGCACTGAAACAGTTATATATATATATATATATATATAGTTTTTTGCATATATGATGCCGTGCCGGTAGAAGCTTAAAAATTAAAATCGTGAGAAAAACAGCCTACCATATAATAACACTTGGCGAGCTCTACAACCTCCAATAAAAATCCACCGGCTTCGAAAGCGTTATTATGGTCCGGGCCGGCATTTTTTAGCAAGGCTGCCGGTTTTTTCCGGCCGGCCATCAAATGCTGGTCGGTTCTTGGTGGAGGTTGTAGAGCTCGCCGAGCTCCATCTATTGGTTGTTGTTTTCATAATTTCAATTTTATAGTAGGCTTTGGTCCGGCCCGTGCCGGTCCGGAATCGGCCCGTCGAGTAAAAAACCTACCAATTTGGCCTTCTCAATGTCCGACTGAATCATAATTCCAACGTCTTCAATCATAGCACTTGCATCTTCTAATGCCTTCTTCTGCTCCTCATTTCTTGGAGTCTCGACAACAACTTGAACCGTCTTCGTTCTCTTCGTCAAACGGTCTGTGATAGCTTCGATCTCCTCACGATCACACTCTTCCAACTTGAACATGCAATTATGGACACTGATTTCTCCAAGCGAACGAAGAATTTGTTCCTTCTCCATTTCAAGTTCAGCAGCTTTCTTTCTGAAAAATGAAACACTTTTAGCTTCTGAATCATCGCATACGTGCAGAATGCAAATTCACTCATCTTGCCCTACGTGAGTTTATACCCGAAATAGAAGACAGTTTCCCGCAAGTTGAATGATAAGAAAAAATTGCGAAACAATTTGGAACCGAATTTCAGTTCCCTATGACGTCATATTGCTCACCTTAACTGCTCAACTTGTACTTCAATCTTATCCAAAGCAACAATAGTTTTGGCGTTGAAATCGACGACACTCTGATTGCGCTGAAGTTTCTTATTCCCTCTTTTTGGTTTTCCCTCGGTGATTGGAGATGTCAATGGAGATGGATCGCCGTCCTGAAGTATTAATAAAAGATACAGAACCGTATAATTTTCAACTTACCGTTTCATGTTCTGGACATAACTCGCAATTATCCTTTCCAAGAATAATCTTGGCAATGTTGTCCTCGAGGTTTTCCTCTCCTTTTCCAGAATCACGACTTCCTTTCTTCTCCAGTTTTTTCTCATAAGGCAATGGAATCACTGCTGGTCTCTCCGGAACTTCAGTTTCTTTTGGCTCACGAGTACGGGATGGAGGACGAGATGTTGGTTTCGTGTTTGGTGGAGTCGTTTGACGTTGTTGTGGAGCAGATTGTTGCTGTTGCTGAGGCTGTTGATGGTATTGCTGCTGTTGCTGTGGAGTCTGATTCTGCTGAGAATTACGTCTTATTGTTCCATATGGCGATTGAGGGGTTGGACTTCTTCTGGACTGCATTTGTGGATTTGGAGAAAGTCCTCCATCTCTTCCAAACCTGGGAAAATCTGGGAAGTTAGATCCATTGTTTGCGAATCCATTTGGGAAGTTTGGGAAGGATGGGAAGTTGGACCATTCTGGATCATCTGGGAATCCAGAAAAAGAACTTTGAAATTCCGGAATTGGACTACGATGGAAGTTGGAAGAAAATCCGTTGTTATGCATATTGTTGGTATTCACAGTGGGTCCTTGTTGATAGTTCTGCTGCTGTGAAGGCTGTGGCTGCTGGGGTTGTTGCTGTTGTGGCGGAGGTTGACGATCGTTGTCCACAGAAGATGATGAGTTACTTCGACTATGCGAGTGTGTCTGTCCGAGGATTTTGATGGGGATGTTCTGAAAAATTCTAAATTATAAAAAGGTCACATTAGGAGTCGGAAAAAGGAAATAAATGATCAGTTTTCGAAAATGGGTTGGTGTCCTCTTCAATGTTTCTGTCTAACTGATAAGAGTGCCCGTCCTTTGATCAAAAGCTAAGCCCCGCCTCTTTTTCTCTTTTCTAGTTTTTGTTTAGTTACTTTTTTTCTGAAATCGAAAATCGAGTTTCGAAATAAAAGTACGATTTGGTTGTTTCTCTCCTGCTGTCCTATTATCGTTCAACACGTTCGACAGGTCAAATGGAACGTTTCAAATTTCGATGGATTAGCGATGGAAAAGATAAGTCGGTGAGAACCGATTTGCATGTACAAGGCCATTTTCGCACCCCAATCAAAGCAAACGTCCAGAACATTCTCTCTTCTCTATCTATTTTCTTATTGTAATAGTTTCAGTTATCAGTGTGGAAACATTCTTAGACGCAGACGCATTTTAAGCAGCTGTCTTTCGTCTTTTTTACATTCTTCTTCAATTTGTGAGAAGAATATAAAGAACGGCAAGCAAAAACAAAAACAGAGAGCACGAGAAAAGTTGTAATGAAATTGGGAATTTCTGAAGATATGCTCCAGATGGGTCTTACCCCTAGTCTAATATTTGCAGAAGGTTACTATTTTTTACGAAGAACAAATAGTAGTTAGAGGTACATCAATAACTGATAAAAACCGATAAACTTACCACGACTGGCATCGTTAGGGTCGAGTGGTAGGTAAAATAAAGCGGGGTTGAGTGAGTGAAACAGAAACGAAAGGGTGTCTCGTTTGCTTTCAATATGCGCCGAACACACGGACCGGATCGCCACTCTTTTCTTCTCCTTTTGCTTCTCTTTTTCCTTTTCTGGAGGAGATAGAGTTAGAAAAATATGAAAGACGAAGATGAAGCCAGACACAGACACCGAAACAAAACTTTTTGACAGTCACTGGTGGCGGTTTGACACACACGGTCTGAGTCTCTCTCGGAAAAAGGAGAAGAAGAGAGAATGGAAAAGAGAGAGTTACGAAACAATTGGCGCACCGACCACGCCTCCCGATTCAATTCTCCGCAGTTCGGGAGTCTTCGAGAAGAAAACGATCGAAAAATAGCTCGGGAGGATCAGAGACCCAGAGAAATGGTTTGAAGAGAATAGCGGCAATCAGTGAAGCGCAGAGAACGAAAGATGACACAGTGATGGACACTGTTTTTGAAAAGCATGGGTCTTGTTTTTTCAGCTTTTCAGCTTCCTCATGATATCCCAGACATAAAAAAAAGTGTTGGGGTTTTTGACATCTATTATTCCAAAAACTTTATTTCAATCTTTTTTCTGATTTTTGAAGTTCCATATTCCAGATTTTTATAGCTTCCCTTGAAAACTGGTCCGTTTGAGAAGAGAACTTTCTCGGGTTTTATCAAAAAGTTAAAACTCTAAAGTTCTTTCTCTGGACAAAAAAAAACAAACATTTTTGTAAGGAATCAAAATGATCCACAGGAAAAAGTCCACAATTTTTTGATCTCTCCCTTGTATTATAAGTGCTTTGGGTTTCAACCAAATTTCGAAATCCTTAATAATTTCATAAGAAAACACGAATTCCTGATATATCAACGTTCTAAAGTAATTTTTAGTCAGTCGCAATTAATTATGCCCAGAGGTAAAATGTTTTCAAAATTTCATTTACAGTAAAACCTGTATTAGAAGGGCACCACAAGTGTTATCTTTAATCAACTTTTCTCGGTTCCTGTCAAAGATTTCAAAAAAAAATGTTCAACCGATGAATTATTCATCATAATATAATCTATATTTTATCAGTTGGCAGACTTCTGATATCTCTAATAGGAACAGAGATAATTGAGCTCAAAGTGCATGTATAGGGTGGGCTTCTATTTGATCATTATTAATCTGTTCGTTTTTCATAACTTATTACCAATTCTTATCAGTAGACAAACACATTAAAAAGAACCACAATCCTAGTTTGTTTTATTCCTTTTTCCGAGGGAAACGCCCCAACAGGATAAGGATCGGTTGGAACGGAGGCAGTGAACAGAAACAAAGAAGAATCAAATGAATAATGGAAGAAAGAATTTGAAATATTCGGTGCAATCAGTAAAATTGTCATCATCGTATATCAAAACAGAATTTCGAGTCGTTATCTGCCGGCGAATGACTAACCACAAAGAACCGCCGTCGACCCGTCCCATGGTCAATTGATTTTATAGTGGAAAAAAGGATTGAGACGAGACGAAACAATTATTTCAGGGTGTGGTCGAGTCAACGGAGAAAAACATTAGAAAATGAGATGAAACAGGATGAGGAGATAAAGAAAAAAGAACATGTGATGAGAAGAAGAAGAAGAACCGAATGGAGGAATCGACAAAATGATGAGACGGGCGGGGTCGGTGTCCAAACATTGGCGAAGTAAGCTCACCAGTTGTGCTTTTCACTTTTTCTGTTTTATTTGAAAAACCAAACATAATCAGTTTAACGCCTTTTCCTATTTGTACCGTGCAAACAACATAAAGCAAATTTTGTATTTTTTCGTGTAGGTCGCAAGAAGCTTCCAGAATTTATTACGAAATGTAATGAAATGAATCAAGGTGCGAAAAAATGGAAATTGAAGAAATCGGTGAAAAAATCTTCATATGTAACTGTCACCTGATAGTGAGCAACAATCCTAAACAGGTTTTCCGTGGGTGGAAAGTTACAAAACAATGCCAAAATAATATTTTCCTAGTTCTGGAATCAAAAACATACCGTGGTGGTCGTAGAAGTCTCATCCATTTTTGACAAAGCAGAAAAGCAGAGAACTTAGAAATACTTTTTTTTAAAAGTGACTGATAGTGGGAGCAATAGAATTGCAACTCTCATATCATGTTACTAACGGGGTGGGGTTTCTAACCCATCGTAACTTTTCACCCAACGTGATAGTTCTTCAATTTTAACTGGAAGAGCACATGTAGATAAGCTTTGAAATTATCAATGGTGTCTTCCGTTTTTGGATAGTTTCAGGGATGCTTGGAATGGCCTTTTCGGAATTTTTCGGTTTTTTGAAAACTCTGAGTTTCAAAACTTCTTCGTAATTTCGGCTTTGCGGAATATTCTGATCGGAATTTGATTCCGGAAAAAAAAAACTTTGAAAATATTAGGACCGGAAATCCGTTCCGATCATCCCCTGTCATTTGCCTTCTTGAAAATGTGTGAGTTTTCTGAAAAATAATGATCCAAAATTTGAAAAAATTCACAGGGAAATACGCTTTGAACCGGCAACTTCGAAGTTCAAAATTTGGTTTTGATCTTGTGAAATTTCCTAATAAGGTCGTTACTGTTCAACCGATCATTGATCATCTAGTCGTTCCCCATATCGGATACTTCCGTAAGGTTTCTGAAAACATTCAGAAGTCATAACAGCCTTTGTTCCATTTTTCGGCAATTTTTCATTTCTCCTACTACCTTGCTGACTCATGATTTCCTTCCTTTTCTTTTTTCTCCTGGACAATTTTTGCATCTCTCCACCCACACGTACTTGTGTCTGCGTATGTATACAAACAATCAGTGATAGGCAACCAAAACGTTCGTCGTATTTTTCAATGTCAGAAAAAAAGTGAGGGAATACAAAAAGGGAACAACGCATGGAAAATGTTTACAGAATTGTACAAAAATAATGGATGGTTTCAAAACTTGACTCCTTCTTTGCTGAACGGAATCGAGAAATGCCTGGAAAAAAGTTTATGAAAAAGGGATTTTAGAAAATCAAAGTTACTTGAAATTGCAAGTTTTGTATTCAGGATTGTAGAAAACCAAATCAATTTTGTCTTGGTTGACGACTCGTGAGGATACCAGAACTAATCTGAAAACTATAATTTTGCAGGAATTGCAGAGAAATTGCTCACGGAGAATCCACTACGAAGTAAAGAATAAAGTTCCAGAATTTGGTCTCGTCACTTTTGTTTTTTGGCTTCGGAATGACCATGGTCAACTGGCAAACTGGGAATAGTTTCGCGAAATCTTTCTGTTCAGAAAACTGGAAAAGCTCATCCACGGAAACGAATTCGTCAAGATACAATGCTTCTGAAATCCATCATAACAAAAAACTCATTTTACCGTAAAACCTGTAATAGAAGGGTCCCACACTGTCAAGTTTGAGCTTAATGATTCTGATATTATTATTATTAACAATTTATCAGTTGAAAAATTTTTTATATCTCTGACAGCATCCGAGCTAAATTGGTTTAATATTAAAAGTTAAGGGACCCTCCTACTACAGGTTTGATATTAACCTAACCAATGTATCGACTGTTTAAGAAAACTCTCATAAGTGTATCCAAATCTACAGAATTCCTGTCTCTCCGAAGATTTTGATGTTCAAAAGTCAGTTTGAGTTTCGCACGAACCACTTCGATTTGATTGTTCTCATCAGGTGCTGCTTGACTATTCACTTTCACCACTTTGCATAATGGCCACTTTTTCTAAAATTGTGGAATCAGAGAATGTGGTTGAAATAAATGGGAATCTGGTCAAAACAATGAAAACAGACAAGTATTTTCAAAAGTTTCATACTTAAAGGATTCATATCGTACGTCCTCTAATAGAAGCCCGCCCAATACATGCTCTTTGAGCTAAATTATCTCGGTTTCTTCAGAAGATATCAAAATTTTGTCAAGATAAAATATTTATCGTAAAACTATCAACATTTTATTGATTGACTAATTGTTTATATCATTTGTATGAACCGAGATAAATGAGCTCAAAGTATTACCTTCATTTTCAACTCCAGTCTGACATCGAGCGTTGACTCCGAAGCATGCACAATCACACAATTTTCCTCGGAAGAGAAAAGGAATTGACTGTGTGACACTAATCCATCATTGTTTTCCTGTAATAAATCAAAAAGTTTTATAAAGTGTGAAGTACTTTCCTTACATTTTCTCCTGGCAAGAACAACGCCGATCTATATCCATCTCGAACAGTTTCAAAGTAAACTCTGAGCAAGTTATAAGAGCATTGATTGATGAAAACAGAAAGAGCACTGAATAGCTGAAAAAAAATCGTAAGGCAAAACGAAATCATAAAATCAAACTTCAATATTCCGTTCTCGTGTATATGGGAACAAAAGATCTCTGATGCACTTCTGCTGATCAGGAAACTGAATGTAAAAGTTCTTGTATGGCTGTAAAGTATTCGTTTGATACAAATGCAACAAAGAAACCATTCGTGTCTTACATCTACTTTTTCTAGTCTGAAATAAAGAAAAAACGCCAGTAGAAATACAACGAAATATAAGAATATAGCGAAATTCATTACTGCAGTAGTTGTATCCGATTCAATTCCACAGACACTTGGATCTACTGATTTTATCTTCTCAGCAAGCGGATATGTTTTCTCATTTTCAAAGGGTTCGCCTTCTGAAGCAATGGTGAACAATGCTTAGCGTTCACTCTGCTTACAGCTACGCTCTATCTTCGCCCGCGTGGCTCAGTTGGTAGCGGCGCCGCACTTTCATTACTCGTCTGACAAGTTCAGTTTCTCGAGAGGTTTATATGCACGAAAATTCAAGAAAGCTATTTTTTCAAGTCCCTCACTTTTAATGGAACGGTTCCTTTCCCATTCTTCCACTTTTTTGAGTCTATTTGACTTTTACCCTTTTGCATAACCAACAAAATTTGAACATGCGGAAAAGAGAAAGTACCTGTTTTATTATCCCATCCAGGTGCCTTCACTTTTACTTGTTTTTTGTTCATTTTGTGTTGTTTTGTTGAAAAAAAGAAGGAAGATCAAACGGGAACGAAATGGGAACTTGTTTCGGATTTCAAAACTTCTCCATTGTTATTACGGAAATTATGGAACGGAAGAAAACGAAATGAATATTGACAGATTTATGGTATTAGGTTTTTTTCAGGAATTCAGGAATTTGGGCACAAAAATTAAAAAGAATAGTGAAAGTGAGGATGAGGATCAATTGGGACAGTGTAAAAATGCGAGAACCAGATAGAACTTTTTTATAAATATTCAAAATATTTTATAAATATTCAAAATACAAATTGTTTGAAAATCGGCATCTGAAGCATTTTTTCCATCCTCGAAATAGAGCCCGAACTTCTGAAACCTAAAAATCCTACTGGGGAAAGACGAACAATGATTCAAAAGATTTTTTTTTCGGAAAATAGAAGTCGTTAACACAAACCTCAAGATTGTAATAGAAGAGCCCCTAACTTTCAAATTTGAGCCAGTTTATCTCCGCTCCTGTCACAGATATGAGAAAGTTTTCAACAGACAACTTGTTCATCAAAATACAAATATTTTATCAATTCACATATCTTTGATATCTTGCACACTAGCCAAGAAAAATTAGCACAAAGTTGACAGCGTGGGGGTTCGTTTTTCAGCTGATCTTTTGATTTCCAGATGTTCCGGGAATTTATCGTATCAGAAATCATCAGTTCCAATTAGGTTCACCTCTTTTGCAGCTCACCGAGAGCTCATCAGGAGCAAAACCCAATATCCAGAATAATGCGAATCCACCCTCACTTTTCCTATGACTTCTTTTCTATTCACCCAGACCTAATACCTTCGCTTTTATTTCTTATTGCCCTTTTCAACCTGCCTAATCCTTCTTTTTCTTGCATTTTTTTGCCACTTTTTTTCAGTCAAGGTCTCCAAACATCATCTGACTTTTTCATTTGTCAAACTTCGAAATGATCTTTTACGATTTTTGTTTTCTTACCTCCCCAATTTAAATCAAGTTTCTATTTTTGTGTTTCCTCGTTCAACTCAAAAGGAAATATCTTACTACATAGAACGACTGCGTAAATCTCTTTTATTCCTTTACCAACTCAATCCTTTTTTTTCTCGATACGCATCAACTGTGTTCACCTCTCTTTTCTCTATATTTCATATGTTTCTCTTCGAATCCACTGATCCATATTTCCCTTTCCGCTAACAACCCGACACGGTAATCGTTGGGATGGGATATTGAAAAAAAGAGAAATAGAAGTGACTAAAATATAGATCTCTTTTCCCCCTGGGTATTTCCTAACCTTTGTTCTGTCCAAATATTCAAGTGTTACTTTTTTCAAAACTGTCACCTTTTATAAAACTCGTTGTGATTTGTGGCCGAAAAATTCGGAAAAATTACCGGATGACCAACAGTTTTGCAAAGTTTGTAGAAAGAGTTTGCGGAGTACTACTAGTTTTTCTGGGATATGGGAAATCAAAAAGTTCAGGTTAGGCGAAGATTTATGATCGTTTAAAATATAGTACGGGTAATTGGGACAGTTTGGAAATGTTGAGTCACTAGATCTCTGCATGAAAGGGCGTTCCAGAATTTTTGAAAAGCCACTATCATCCTTTAGAAAAATAGTGGACACTCGAAAGTGGATATTTGCTCATTTTTGCCCAAACGTTGCCTATCCTAAGCCCAGTTTGTTTTACGAGAAACTTGGAAAATTGACTTTTTCCGGAAACTCCTTGAGGTCTGTAAAAAGACTTTGATTTAAAAATTTCAAAACTATTGATCCTATTTGTTGAAACTTCTTGATTTCTACCATGAAAGCTGTGATAGAATGTCAAGTTTGAGCTGAGAAAGTTTTATCATTATTCTTTGATGAATTCTCATAGAGATCCCTGATAAGGATTTTCCACTTTTTTCCAGATTGATTAAACCAAGGAGTGTCTATTTCTTCGAACACAATCACTCCACTGACATTCATTCTTTTTTTGTTCATTGTCCGCGTTGATCACCAATTACCTCTTCTTTGTCTCCTGCTTGTCCATCCTCTTTCGTGATATCCAATTTTCCTTCTCTCCTCCTTCTCTCCAATTTTACCAACACAAATATTTCAGCCTCACAACCATTTTATTATTTCTGATTCTCGTGTGTCCCAACACGTTTTGTTCCCTTCCATCCAATCTGTGTCCTTTATCGAGATGTTGTAACTTGTCTTGACCCTGTAAATGCTTCTTCTCATTCACAATAGGGAATCATCAACAAGTTGTCTTTTTTCTTACTTTTGTCCTCCTCCTCCTTCTTTTCCTTCTCCCATTTTTTCATGCCACACCTCATAAGTCACTAATGTTTTTCTAGAAAAATGGCGAGAAGAATGGTTCTTCTTTTTCTCCCGTGCGAATATTTACTTTTCCACTGTACCGAATATTGTATTATCGTCCATTATGTTGTCCCCAACCGTCTTAGAATTCCAGTAATCCGATTGTTAACAACTCTTTCACCGTTTTTTTTCAATTCCATTTCATTTCTACTGTATTTGAACAACTGTTTTTCTTGTCTACCTTCTTTATTCTATTCAAAATATTTAGATTGTAGTTTGACGATCTTTTGATTGGTCATTTTTTTTCTTGAAAAGGAGGCGTACTGTCCGGGGGGAACACCCATTCATTTTCCAATCTATGACCATAAAATGACGACGGTTGAACTGATCATTTCAAGAGACCGTTCACATTACTTCCGCTGAATTTCATTCATTTCGAATTTTACTTTACTTGAAAAAAATTCTTGGGAATCAGTGACCAGCGTCAAGGTACCAGAAGTGCAAAAATCAAACAGGTTCAATTAATAGGAATTTCTGTTATCGTAGGCTAGAGAAATTTCGCAAATCTTTTGGCCTGGGCTCTCGTTATTGCCGTAAAACCTGTAATTGAAGAGCTCCCTGGCTTTCAACGTTGAGCTAATTTAGTTCGTTTCCTGACAAAGATATGAAAAAATGCCCAACTTGTAAATTGTTCAACACAATATCACGAACATTTTATTTGTTGACAAAATTTAGATATCTTGCATAGGTGCTTAGAAAAATTAGCTCAAACATAGCAGTATGGGGCCCTTCTATTACGGGTATTTCGGCACTTTCCCTTTTCCTCAAAAGCCTTCAAATGTTTATGTATAATCTACTTTTCGACTCAATGTTTAATCCTTATCCAAATTGTTCAGAGCCATCGAGATCAATGAGGTTGAACTTTCCTATTACCTCTTTTCTCTACTTTATCAATTTCAAAAAGCAAACACTATTCTTTTTTCTTTCCTGCAAAAGTTTATTTTTCCTTCCAATCTTTATTGGACTCTTTACTTCGAATCTACTAACCAGATTTCTTTGATTTTTCGGTATGTTGTTAGTGTGTGCTCACTGAACCAGAGTATATTTAGTGATATTTGTGAAGGGGGTAGATGGCAGGAGGGTAATAAATAGAGTTCAAACAGTAGTAAACGTCCGCCTACTTCCCGACATTTAAAAAGGAGGGTCCTTCTCTTGCTCGTCATTTTTGTAGTTTAATTCTTTATCGATTTTAAAACTTCCAGAATGATCACACGTGTCGGCGACGTCGAATCGCCCAGAAGAGGGAGCCCCAGTGAAGTATTCTCTTCCGATATCAATCACATTCACAGAAATCGAAAGGAAGAAAAGAAGGGGTGAGTGGGAGTGTTATTCTTAACTGGGAGTATGGTTTTATCTAGTTTTGGAGTTTTTCGGCCTCATTTCGAAAGATAAATTTCAGCGATTCTTTCATACCGCACTTCCCCTAATAGAAGCTCACCCAACCCGTTAACTTTTAGCTCAATTATCTCGATTCCTGTAAACGATATCACAAGTTTGTCAACTAATAATATGTTAGTGATATTATGATAAAAAGTTTGTCAGTTGACAAATTTCCGATGTCTCTCACAGGAATCGAGCTAATCAAGCTCAAAGTTTGCTTTGGTGTGGGATCCTATTATAGGAAATACGCTAATATCAAAAGTCCTCATTATCAAACTATTTTTTAAAGGTTGAAATGCCAAAAATGTCTACCGTTTCTCAAAAATCTATATTAAAAATGTCCTCTAGTTGACGAGTCCCTGTAATAGAAGGGCTCCCCGGTTACACAATGGAACAAACAATCGTAGGACATGTTCTCCTGATACAGAATTTACGGTATTTTCGGAATTATAAACCGGAAATCCAATCAAGAATCTTGAATTTCCTTCTTACATTTTTTTTTTCTGAAAGTCAGTTTTCCAATACATGGCTGTCTAAAGTTACTAACTGGTATTCCTTTTACGTAGCCTCTTATTATGGCATTATTATTTGTAGATCACTGTTATACAATATGTGACATTCCTTGGACACACACAATGTGCCCACCTAACAATATTTCAACAACCTGAACATCGGTTCCTGTCTGCTCTTTTCTAAACACATGTTAATCTTAAAAAACCTTTTAAAAGTAAACTTATCTCCACCCCTTTTCTGCCAAAAGATCAAAATGTGTCCAAGAATCCCCCCAATGTTTGCTCTCACTCCCCAACGGTTTGCTCATTGTCAAAAATCGGCGAGAGACACAAATTTAGAGGGACGAGTGTGCAATGGAAACGGGAGCTATTCCCATCCATTCGCAGATATTATTAGCATGCGGATCTCTGTAGAGGAGACTGATGCCATTGTATATTACCCCAATTCGCCACGTCCCATAGACAATAATCAGTATGCGTGCTCAACGGAAACTTTGAAGAATTGCGGAGTGTCTCCTAAAACGTTTCGGACGTTTCGACGGAATTTTTACGGTTTCATTCGCTCAAGAAGGTGACTCACTAACAGTAAAACAGTAACGCATAGTTTCCAAATTTTCTGTTAATTGGGTTTGTTACGGAAATATGGTTGACTGGTCGAATGAGGAGGATTGAAAATAGAAACCAGTTGTAGTGAGGGTACCCGTCATGATGAACACGCCTTCAAAATTTTTTTGAAGTTTCATGACGAGGTCGTTCAGGATTGTACTCTTGCCACGAGGAAGAGGCTGTCGTATCTCATCCTCTTTTTTTCTCACTTGTAAGAGGATTTCAGTCGCGGATAAAACACTGATAATATTCCTACAATCCTGAATTTTTATATCACTTTTTCCATTTTTTCTTCTTTTTTTTCTTCGTATTATTCGCCCAATAGGAACTTATAATAGAAATGGGTCTAGGAGAGCCAAAGTGAGTTTTTCGTAGAAAAATTGGGGGGGGGGGGTATGCTGTATACCATTTGTTTTTTTAACTTGAAACTTTTAATTTTAATCTTCCAGATGCTCAAAATGGACCACTATAGCACTGGGAGTGATCGCCATCATTTTCCTTCTGACTACGATTGCTCTAGCTATCGTTGTCGGTATCAAATACAGTGAAGACGACAAACTGACGTCCGAGGTGAGTAAACCGATTTTTCTGTGTCTCGAAGATAATCCTTTTTTTGTTACGACTCAAAACAAATAGTTGACAAATGTATTAGTTAGGTAGTTAGTTAATTAAAATTGAAACAATTTATCAAAACGAAACAGAAAGTAAATCGGTCAATAAACGAAGAGCCAAAGCACGAGAAGACGATGACGACAACCGAGTTTCCAACTACCACTTTGAAAAGGGTATTAATAAATATTGTATTTGTGGTTTATCTAGATCAGGAAAGCAAATTAATGTCATCTAACAAAGATAATTCATTTCCTTTGTAAGAAACTCACGCATCCCCCTTTCAGGCGATTATTCAAAGAGACGAAACTGGAAAAGCTCAATTCGACTGGCCTACACCTTCTGGAAGTCTCTTTGCTCATTACAAAAAGGCAGCTGTTACTTCTGATCATGGACTCTGCTCTGAAATCGGAAGAGATGTTCTGATTGAGGGTGGAAACGCTGTTGATGCTATGATCGCATCTCTTCTCTGCATCGGAACTGTTAATCCACAATCATCTGGAATTGGAGGAGGATTCGTGATGACACTTTACAATGCGTAGGCGGCATCCTTTTAAAAATGATTCCAACAGTTTTTTTTCAGGTCTACTGGAATGTGCCAAACTATCAATGCTCGCGAAACTGCTCCGGCTGCTGCTACCGAGACAATGTTTGTTGAGAATCCAAAGGAATCTGTGATGGGATACAAATCCATTGCCACCCCATCAGAACTTCACGGCTTCTGGACTGTCTTCAACTTGTATGGATCTGGAAAAATCACCTGGGCTCGTCTGTTCCAACCATCGATCACTTTGGCTCATGATGGCTTCCCAGTTTCTTCAAATCTTGCAATGGTTTTGGCAGATAAGGAAAAATATATTCGGGAAGAAGAAACCATGAAGTGAATACAAATCCCGTTTTCCATTTAATATTGAAAACAATTTTCAGAGACATCTTTGTGAATCCAAAAACAAATCGTGTCTACGAAGAAGGAGACATTCTGAAGCGTCAACGACTCGCCAGCACCTACGCTCTTCTCGCTAATGCCACTGATCCGGTTGAGCTGTTTTATAAGGGAGGAATGGCTCAAACGATTGCCGGAGAAATCACTAATAACGGGGGATTTGTGAACGAATCGGATTTGGCGAGCTACGAAACTCTCATCGACGATGCTCCACTTCTCAGCACTCATTTGCCAGGCGACTACGAAATGTGTGGACCACCACCACCATCATCCTTCGTTATCACTCAAAGTATTATTCAAGTTATGGCTCGTAAGTACTTTTTGGTTTTTTTTTCTCTGATTTATTATTTTTATAAATTTTATAGAGTTCTACAAGGACGGACAAGTTGATCTGGATGATCCTCTCGTCTATCACAGACTAATCGAGGCTGAGAAATTCGCCTACGCACAGAGAACTAAGCTTGGAGATATCAAGTTCGTAGAATCAGCAAGAGCTTTGGTTGATGATATGATGACTGAGTAGGGAAATTGAAATTCTGAATTTGTTCATTAAATTATTAAAGGGAACACACAAAAAAGATTGCTGCACTGATCAAAGACACCGCCCAACCATTGGACTATTACGGAGGAGATAAGAAAGATATGGTGAGTTTAAATTAACATCGAAGTTATGAAACAGGGTCCTAGATTTTTTAAAACTCATCAAATTTCAGCCAGATTCTGAACAGGAGCTGCAGGTAAGAATCGGGTTCTTTAGTTTATCATATTTTCACTATCTTATAAGTTATTCAGTTTTTCTTACATAGAGAGATCAGAATAACTTTCAAAGTATATTTCAAAACGTATTCTGACACTTTCAAAAATTTCAGCCAGACTCAGAAACTATCAATAAGGTGAGAGTGCATGAAGAATAAGTATTGTAATGTGGCGGTGCATAGAAATTGGTTATTATCATTTCAATTTTCATAATTTTCATTTATAAACAAAAATTCAGTTTCAACTAGCGTTCTATAGAAAGAAATCACTTACAGGCTCCTGATCACGGAACATCCCATGTCTCGATCATTGACTCTCATGGAAATGCTGTTTCTTGCACATCCACTGTGAACCAAATGTAAAAAACATTTAGAGTTTAGAATTCAATAAAGAGGATTTTTTAGTCTTGGATCAATGCGTGCTTCTCCAACTCTAGGAATCGTCTGGAACGATCAGATGGACGACTTCTCAACACCTGGCCAGAAGAATTCCTTCGGATATGCTCCATCGGAAACCAACTTCATCGTACCTGGAAAACGGCCGATGAGCTCAATGAGTCCAATGATCATTTACAACAAAAATGAAAATCGAGTTGAAATGGTTGCTGGAGCATCTGGAGGATCTTACATCATCTCATCAACAGCTCAAACTGTGATCCGCACTCTTCTCTTCAATCAAACTGTCAAAGCGGCGATTGATGCCCCAAGATTCCATAACCAGTACCTTCCAGAAGCTACAGAAACCGAGGAAGCCATGCCAAAAGCATTGAGAGATGTTCTTGTTGAGCAATACAAGCAGAATTTCACAGTGGTCCCACGACAGAAATCAGTTGTTCAGGGTCTCATTTCGATTGAAGGTAATTCATTGAAGATCCTGATTGAAATTATCAAAAAACTTGTAGGCTTCGTCGAGGGCAACAGCGATTTCCGGCGGAAAACTGCCACATATCCAGCTGGTTACTGATCTCTCTCCCTTAATTTTCTCTCTCATCTGTTTTTGATACTTACTTGTTTCTTAATACTTAAATTTATTCAACAAATTGTGCTCCATTCTCCCCGTTTCTGTGAATATCGATCGTGTCATTTTTCGACACTCTTCTCTCTCTCCCCTTGAAAAACAACACAATAATGTTGTAACCCCCTCGTAGCTTTACACTTCTTAGACTACTTGGTGATTTGAAATCTAGTCACCCGGGTACATTCCATGTAAGTAATGGTTAGATGCATTCCATTTCCCCATTTTTGCTTTGTTAGAATTTCACCTCTTTCCTCTCTTCTCAAAATAATAAATCTTTATTTTCTTTTCAAAAAAAAAAATTGAATCCAAAAAATTGTACTCCTTAAGCAGCCTTCTCCACAATCGTCTTCTCTCTCTTCTCATTTGGGAACTCCAATTGAATATTCACAGTTCCCAAGTCATACGTCTTCTTGGCCTTCTCACCTCCGTTCACGAAAGTTTCTGGAAGGATGTAGTTGAAACGACGGAAGGCAGTCTGAAAAATTATTTTTGTTTTGAGGAGATTCCGAAAGATGGCCACCTTCTCCAACTTCTTCGGGTCATCATCGCAATGGTGGTAGAATGAGATGACTGGCTGAAGATCAGTCTCGTTCAATGGGAATCCGTTGGTATTTCCCTCTACATGGAACATTCCTTGTGGTCCGGTGTACTTTTCATCGAGCACTTGAGCAATATCTGGAACTTGAATCATGAGGTAAAGTCTTATAAGAAATACTTACCATCCTTCTTTCCTGGCTTCACACGGAACAATCTGACTCTGACATTGGAAGCTGGTTCCTTTCCACAAAGAAGAGTTCCTTTGGCTCCAACTGCTTTCTTTCCAACGATACTAGCTGCCACCACTACCGATAGAAGACACAATATAACTAGTAATTTCATTCTGAAAAATAAGTAATTGTGAGCTTTAAAGTGTTGTAAAGCAGCAGAGAAGAAATTTGGGTTTTTGACAAAAACATTGAGGAGAACGAGGAAAAGAGCGATTCGTTTGACGGGGAAGAGGCTAACACAACAACTGATAAACGAGAGGTGTTTATCGTTTGAAATCATAGATACGGAGATAGTGAGAGGAAAAGAGAGGCAAAATGCAGAGAAAACTCTATCTTTCGATTGTGTTGATATTTTGATCGGTGGTGATTGTGGTGGAAAACTTTTTCGAATTGATTGGAATGAAACAGTTGGTAGAGTTGGAAATAAAGTAGAAAAATGTGAAGGAACAAATCGAAAAATCAAACTTTATGATAAAAATAACGATTCGTGTTTCGTCTAGTTCTTGTCCGACAGTAGCATTATCTCGAAATCATATATCACAACAATACAACGCAAATTCCAGGTAACATCATTTATTGGGAATATCTTTATGAAAGTTTTCAAGCCACAACCCTCATTCATATTTTATTTGACAAGAGTTTTGAAAATTTTTGTAATATCATTTTCCTCGCTTATATTATTTCTCCTGACCCAATAGTTTTTTAATTGCGTTCTAACAAGGGAACCATGTTTAGCCTTCATCTCAGAATTTTTTCTAAATTTATCAGAATTTTTTCTAAATTTGCTCATTTATAGTTTCAAATACGGGCTTTCTTTTGATGTATTTGGTTTTCTGCACAAATTTGTAGAATCCGAGAAAAGTCCATCTGAAAATATGCTGTTTTTTTGGTCTCCTCATTCCCTTCCACTTTCCCCCCTTTCCTCTATACATTCTCCACTGTGGAAGAAACGAGCAACAGTGGCCGAGTGGATAGCGGGGATGAATAGTAATCACAAGTTCCGTCACTGTCCATTTTCTTTTTTCTTTTTTTTTCTTTGATGTTGGAGGAATGCTTTGAACTTTAAAAAAAAAATCAAAACTATGTTTGCTCTATTATTTCAGTAGGAAAAAAGCTCGAAAAAGAAAATTTCTGAAAAATTATTGAAGCACTGCTGAAAAGCCTTATCTACTCAAAATGTCAGTCGAAATCCCCCTATTTGATCATATTGGTTGCGGAACTGTCATAAATCAGTCAAGAAGTATGTATATCTATGTTTTCACAATATTTGAGTGCTATTGGGTGATTTTCGAAGGACTACGATTCATTGGAGTTTTGGAAGAAATTACTTATTCGGATTTCAAAACGGATATAGGCTACAGAATCTTGTGATATGGCTCATTTTATCAGTTTTATGCGTTTAGAATTCCTTTTAGCACATTTAAAAAATTTTCGAAAAATTGAAAATTTCGCAAAGGGGGGGGGGGCCATAGCAAAAATTTTTTCAAAAAATATTTTTTTTTTAATGAGGAAACTTTGTAAGATTGTAGAGAAAACAAATACATCAAAAGAAAGCCCGTATTTGAAACTATAAATGAGCAAATTTAGAAAAAATTCTGAGATGAAGGCTAAACATGGTTCCCTTGTAAGTGTTGTATTTTTCAAGATTTCACCAAGGATACCACAACGAATACGTTTTCTACCTCATTGCTAACTGTCACAGAGCGACTTCGTAAAACAACAAGAAGGATCATCAACAAGACAACCAGAAAAACTACCACAAGAAATCGTAAGGACTACCAGAACCAGAAGAACTACCAAAAACTAGAGAAACGCTAAGACAACAGAGACACCGAATTCCGAAGAGAAGAGCCAAAAAAACCGAAGAACCGGAGAAAAAAAACGCAGGCAAGAAAATCAAAGAAAAAAGATAACAAAAAAAGAAAGTTCACAAAGTTAGGACATCCTGGTGTTTCTGATGCATCCTGATGATATCCTGATGATTCGTCCCTAGGAACTCGAAACCTCAAATTAAAAGAATTAATTTTTAGCAGTTTTCTTTTTTGTTGTTACCTCATCGAATTCGCATGAAAGTTTCTGAAATCCTTCTGCAACTGACGTGGACGGCGTGGCTGTTGGGTATCTTAAATTACATTTTCGTCAAAACTTTTTTCCAAAATTGCTATAGTTTGGAAATTTTGATAGTTTTTTAAACTGGATTTCATTTTTGAAAATTTATCCTGAGAAAAAATATATTGTCCGGATGAAAATATATGAAAAATTAAACTTTTTGAATTTTTATTACCTTACCTTCAATTCAATTATGCGACTCCTGTCATCGGAAATCTAATCTGGCTAACCTCGGAAATTGTCCTGGAAGCAGTCGGCCTTGAAAGTTTCTTCATCCCGGACATCAAACAGCTCCTGGAATTTTAAGGCTTTTTCTAGTTCTGGATTTCCCCACACGTGTAAAAAATTTCAGTGGCACCTCTTAACTCCCATGCCAAGCAGCGCCTGGAACTTTTAATTTGAAAACTAAAAAATATCTCCTTATTCTTCAAAATTCTGGATTTTATTCTACTTTTCACTGTTTTTTTTAAAATTATAATTTTGTCATTTTAATGACAGCCCAGAAAATGTTTTTTAATTTGCGTATCAGACATTTCTAAAGGATCTCTTTAAAATGAACCTATGAAAACATGCATTTTCCGAATTTTCAAAAAACAGGACACGCCTTTCGCCACTCCTCTTATCTGAATTCCAATTCTGCTGATCACCGTAACTGTCGAAGAAGTTGTCCTCGAACTCTTCGAAGTTTGTGCATCACGAACGCCAAGCAGCTCCTGGAACCTTAACATTGGAAACTAAAAATAAAGTTTCCCTTACCTTTAGTTACTCCCGTCAATTTAATTCCAAACTCTAGCAATCCTGGAAACTGCTCTCGAAGTTGTCCTTGACGTCTTCGAAACGAGGGCACCTTCTGAGAAAAAAAGGGATATCAAGAATCTCCTGAAACTTGAACGTTGTAAACTGAGTACTAACTTTTCCTTATTTTCCTAACTACTGGACATTGTCCCCATTTTTTTAGACTTTCACGAAGGTCACAATAAACTTACTTTGAGTTCACGAGAAAGAATATCAGATACCGTAAAACCTGTAATAGAAGGGCCCTTAACTTTAAACTTTTAGTCAATTTTTTGTTGTCAACTGGTAAATTGTTTATCATAATATCAGAAGTGTTTTGTCAGTCAACCCGTTTTTGATATCTTTGACAGGAAATGAGATAAATTCGATCAAAGTTGAAGATTCGGGAGAAAATACACAAAAAATGCGAAAATCAGATGATTTCGAAACTTTATAAATTTCATTAAATTCAGATTTTCCAAAGAGAAAATATCAGAAATTTAGAAAAAAAAACCCTTTTGTATATTATTGACCAATACTGTATTTGAAAGAAAATTATTTTTCAGTTCTCCAGTGTTTCTTCCTGGTCCGATATTTGCTGATAACAAAAAAACTTCAAATTTTGACTTAACTTTCCTTTCGATTTGAAACTAATGAAACTGGAAAATCTTTTCTAGGATTTCATTCAAGCCAATTGGAAACAGTAAGGCATTTTCATATTTAGTTTTGAACTCAATACAAAAACCAAAAAAATATTGGCACCTGTGAGATAGTTTGCCCTGACGCCTACATCTCTTCCTGAGTAGATGTTTACAAAATCAAAGTTACGTATTTCCAAATTCTAATTAGTCTAATGCTGATCTCACTCTATCCCCAGAGAATTTTTGATCTTCTGACGACCTAAATTTAGACATGTCTTTGTGACGAAACAGAGCTCTTCCCACCCAACTTTTACCTCCGAAAAGAAATCTATTTTATCTTTGTCGTCCGTTGTTTCAACGTCACATCCGGGATTTTGGGCTAGATTCCAATTTATTTTCTGTAAGAGACAACAGGTGCTTTTTCATATTTTTTTTCCCCCATTAGCTGAGGCTCGACACCCCAGTGAAAGGATGTACTTGCCACTAAGAGGGGTTCATCATTTGTTGGTTTTCATGATACCGGGTGGCTCACAAGTAATGCCAGCTTTATGTCGGAAATGTCAAGGTTGCATATTTTTATGACGAAAAGAGGAAACGCATTATTTTAGCCTTCGGGAAAGTTTGACCTCCACTTTTTCTTCTCTTGTTTTCTTTTCTTCCTGATTCAGGGCATTAGAAATGGGACCAATAAACGTATTGTCATATAAAAAGTAGATTTTCTGAGGTGCACAGCTGAAGCTAAACGAAAAGCCCAACGCAAACATTCTTCTCTTTGGTCTTATTTCATTCACGCGGGTCCTTTTTCTTGATTTATTATGGGTTGCTCTTACTATTGTCCTTTTTTTATTACAAGTTGCTTATCCTCCTAAATATACTCATGTTTCCATTGTTTATGGGTGTTGGAAAACAAGAAAACTGGCATGTGACAAGTCGACTGATTACAATTTTCACACAATTAGAAGATATTGAAATGACAAACAGAACGGCTCGACAGGAAACTGAAGAAATATGACGTCCGTTTTGGATGGCTATACCGGAAAATGCCATTTTGGTCATAAAACACTGTCTATCATTGAATAATTCTTTTTTTTCCAATTCTTAGGGATCATCTAAGTTTCAAAATTTAGGAAATTTAGATTTTAACAATCATTATAAAAATGTTCAATTTTATCGGAATTAATATGAAGAATCCAAGTATCGGAGTCGAAAAGATGCCCTGTCCGGGTCCAGCAAGTTAGACTACAAGATATTCTCCCATTCTAAAAAATCCTCTACCCCCATTTCTGAAAACTTCTCTTCTACGGCCTCCCACAGAAGAAAGACAAACTGCAAATTTAACTTTGATCTACCATGAAAAAATTTGGCATTTATTACAACTTCTGGAGCTTCTGTAGTATTTTGGAGCACAATTTCAGCATCGAAAAATAGTTCTATATGTTGAAAACTTAGATGCAATTTTCTGTAAGAAAACTTGAAAATTTGCCTTTTTTAGAAAATTTTCTATATATCCATACAGGATTCTGAAACCACTGATTAATTTATTAAAAATCATTTGAATCATTTTGAATTTCTTAGTTAAAAGATGCCG